CCTCCTGCAGGCTGTAGATGCAGACTGCTGTTTCAGCTGGTGAGAAAAGCAGGGTAGGAGCAGGGTGAGGAAAGGGTGTGGCATGGATAATTGGTGAAGAGACTATTGTTCCTTTTAAAAGACTGATAAAGAGCAATAAATTAGCAGTGTTTTAAGCAACGAAATTCAATCATAACTTTATTTTTTAATTTGAGTACATTTGATACTATACGGCCGGGCAGTCTGCCTCACAAATAGCCTCCACACACCCCTTAACAATAGCAGTATGCCACAGTACTGTCCAGTCAGCCCTTATTGTCCCTGTCTTATTACCTCCTTACCAAACGGATCATTTGCTACTAACAGCATTTGTTTAAATGGGAACTCTCAAGCGCACAGGAATCTTGCCCTAGTATTCAAATATAGTTTGGAGACCACATTAGCAATGTCCCATATATTAAAGGATACATCATTACTGTAGAGATGCTCTGCTGACAGAGGTTTTAATGTACAGTAAAGCCGGGCCTGGCTTTGTAATCAATGCCCTTTCTTTCCTGTAACCAAATTAGGGTCGGGATAGGGGAGGAATGGAGGAAACAGCTGATACCCATGGGTGAAGTCATTGGGTTTGCAATTGACTTGATATGCAACTGCAGCTGGTTTTCTGGAAGACTAGCAATAGGAAATGAACACAACATATAATCACATGCTTTTACTGAATAGGAACTGCAGGAAATCATGTGTACCTTTTAGGTGTCTGAGATTGGAATTAATGAAGTAAATGTATGTCTATCCCACCTTTCAAAGCATGGAGTATCGTTTGTCTCTTTGTGTTGCCTACTGGTGTTAAAGTAACTAGTGGCAGTGTAGATCTCCATTTGTTTCCATTCCCCCAGGACTCATTGACTCAGATGTCCAGTGGATGTGATTGACGGGATTGCTGAACAGCTACATTGTGGTGAATTGGGTCAGGGTGTGATTTTGCCTTCCTGCTTATTGTCCTCATTCTTTCACTATGATTACTTTTCAGTCTATAGTGATAACCATTTTACACGTCACTGTAAAATATCTATACTTTTTTCGGTCTTTAGGTCATTCTTTTTCATATTAAGGTCACTTGGAGATTTTTGTTTTACATGGTCTTTTTTAAATGTCAGGATACTTAAACCACAGCAGACTCCCAATCTCTTAAGTACTGAGCAGCAATCCAGATTATTCCAAATCCTCCTATTGCTGCTGTGAGCATAAATTCAACAGCAGCATGACAAAAAAAAGCCGTAGTAGGAAGGTATCATAAAAACACGTGCAGGCAAATGGCTGCATACGCAACAGTCACAACCACTTATGGGATTTAATGCATACACACTGTGGCCTTTAACAAGTGAACAAGACATGAATACAGATCTGAACACAATCGGTGTCTTCAGTGAAGTGTGGCCGCATGCAGTTCATTTACAGTGTTGCCCCTGCGGTGATCTGAAGCCCCTTTGTGCTCTCTCCATCTGAAAGAAATGCATTCTGCTGAGTCATCAGATATTAACAGCTGTGTTGCATTAAATGGGTTAATATATGGCTCTGTGAACAGGGAAAATATCATTTCCATCAAAACCTCAAAATGCAGACCCATCGCTGTTTTCCTCGTTTAAAGTCCCCAGTCACAAAAAACACACTGCTAATGGGTACATGTGTATTTTCTTTGCAAGTCATGTGATACCTTTTGCTTTTGTGTGTGCAGTTCTGGGAAGTGATCAGCGATGAACACGGCATCGATCCCACCGGGACTTACAACGGAGACAGTGACCTGCAGCTGGACAGGATCAGTGTGTACTACAATGAGGCCACTGGTATGTCAACTTACATACATAAAGGGTATATTATGAGAACACATATTCACCTTTGCTTTTTCATTCTGAGGTAAAACACATGTTATTACTTTCTCATGTCTGCTGTCATGCATAGATTTTCCCACATTATATATTTTTGTGTAACATCCAAGACTGTGGTTTCCCACATTATTGAGCTGGTCTGTTTTCTCTCTCCCTGTCTTTTCTCTTTTCTCGACAAGATAGTAAATATGTACCTCGTGCCATTCTTGTGGACTTGGAGCCTGGCACCATGGACTCCGTGAGGTCTGGACCCTTTGGGCAGATCTTCAGGCCAGACAATTTTGTGTTTGGTGGGTGGAATTAAGCTTTATTGTCATGATATTGAAAGACTACATTCTTTTATGAGCAGGGTAATAAGATCAGCTCACCTGTATGTCTCTTCTTCTCCTCCAGGTCAGAGTGGTGCGGGAAACAACTGGGCCAAGGGTCACTACACAGAGGGAGCTGAGTTGGTGGACTCAGTCCTGGATGTGGTCCGCAAAGAGGCAGAGAGCTGTGACTGCCTGCAGGGCTTCCAGCTCACACACTCTCTTGGTGGTGGAACTGGATCCGGTATGGGAACCCTGCTCATCAGCAAGATCCGCGAGGAGTACCCCGACCGTATCATGAACACCTTCAGTGTGGTGCCTTCCCCCAAGGTAACATACTCTTTTAAGAAGTTTTAATTTAAGTTTTTCTTGCCTTAGGTTTTCTCCTCTAAAATCATGAGACTGAAAACAAATCTGTGTTTTCTATCCTCAGGTGTCAGACACAGTGGTTGAGCCTTACAATGCCACCCTCTCAGTCCACCAGCTCGTCGAGAACACCGATGAAACTTTCTGTATTGACAATGAAGCTCTGTATGACATCTGCTTCCGCACTCTGAAACTTACCACCCCCACCTACGGTGACCTTAACCACTTGGTGTCCGCCACCATGAGCGGGGTCACCACCTGCCTTCGTTTCCCCGGCCAGCTCAACGCTGATCTGCGCAAACTTGCCGTCAACATGGTGCCTTTCCCCCGTCTGCACTTCTTCATGCCCGGCTTCGCCCCCCTGACCAGCAGAGGCAGCCAGCAGTACAGCGCCCTCACCGTCCCCGAGCTCACCCAGCAGGTGTTCGATGCCAAGAACATGATGGCTGCGTGCGACCCACGTCACGGCCGCTATCTGACCGTCGCCGCCGTGTTCCGCGGCCGCATGTCCATGAAGGAGGTCGACGAGCAGATGCTCAACGTCCAGAACAAGAACAGCAGCCACTTCGTGGAATGGATCCCCAACAATGTGAAGACCGCCGTCTGTGACATTCCACCACGAGGCCTCAAGATGGCCGTCACCTTCATTGGCAACAGCACAGCCATTCAGGAGCTGTTCAAGCGCATCTCAGAGCAGTTCACAGCCATGTTCCGTCGTAAGGCCTTCTTGCATTGGTACACCGGAGAAGGTATGGATGAGATGGAGTTCACCGAGGCCGAGAGCAACATGAATGATCTGGTGTCCGAGTACCAGCAGTACCAGGATGCCACCACCGAAGAGGAGGGAGAATTTGAGGAGGAAGCTGATGATGATGCTTGAAGATAAAAATGTGAAGGTCAAGACATCAATGCCAAAATCTAACATTATCACAAAAAAACAACCATTAAAGTAAAGAAGGAACAAACATAGTCTGAAGTAGTGCTAGAATTATTCTTTAGCATACATTAGAAATCCCTTAAAATAAAGTTGTCAAATGAAAACATGTCTGCCTTTCTTAAATGTGTGCATATAACAGATCTTCATTGTCTGATAAAACTTTAACTAAGACTCAGCCATTAGTCACATTTCAAAACAGTAGAAATATAAAGGGTTTGATACAAAGCGCATTATCAGAGATGAATGAATGTTAACTCTGTTGAGAACAGCTGTTTTTGTAGGAGGATAATGATGCATTCATGTGATGTTTCCTGCAGCTATATGAAACATAGCTGCATCATTCACTTTGGAGATGCTTGGATAGGGCAGTTTATGGTTTATGGTCTTTCCCATGAACATTAAGCTTTAAAACACTTGAATAAACAGAGATTCTGAGTGCAGACATTCAGTGGGTCAAATATGGTTCCCATGTATTATTGTTTGAATGAATGAGGTGTTATATCTCAAGGTTTCTATTTGGCAAGAATGATGGCTATGTGTGCACGACCAATTTGCAACATACAGTCAGGCAAAGATTTTTCTCCACATTCCCACAACTATGAGTCAAACCTCGTAACATACGGTATGTTCACTGCACAGCTGTTTTTATGATCTGTTTTGCTTAAAATTCCTTTCAGGAGGAGGTTTAGATGTAGGTGCCCCAAAAATAATGTAGTAAGTACTTGTCTAACTTTTTTATTATATAGATTATTATATTTATATTAGCATATGAACACAAGAATTACAATTGTTGCTGGTGCCCGAGGCATGACTGGCTATCATACAAAGGGACCCCAGGACAAAAATGTGCTACCGGGCCCATATTCCATGTATGTTATAATATAAGCTCACAATTTACATAATAATGATCTTGAAAAACACAGATATCGTCTTTGAGACAGATCCTCATGTTTGGGTAAAAATGCAGCAAATATCACAAGCCCTCTCTGATATCAAGTTAAGTTGTTCTTTAGGGCTGCATATATTCATATCCACATTTTCATTTCTTACGGCTCCTAAATTCTGGGGAGGCAGAGCAGTTTTTGTGTGTCAAAACATGAAGATGGAAAATGAATCAATATCTGCAGAAGGGTATTCATTTGGGCCACTTGATTTACACATCAAACTGTTTTTAAAACCTTTTCTATTACTTTTGTATTAATGAACAAGTGCATGTCTCATAGAATATATTAAGACAGTTGGACTCGTTTTTGGTTATGGTATCACAATCCAATAATTCTGTGTGGTCCCTTTAAGACACTACAGTTGTGCGGGAATGTTGGTCCAATCAGAAACTTTTAAAGTGAGGCTGGGAAAAAAATGACCAATGGCAACAGAGTCCAGTGTGAGTGGTCGGTTAACTGGCCAATCACGTGCATTTCAGACACCTCTTGTGGGCGTGTTCTATTCTTTCCAGGATGTGTGTGTTTATTTTTTTACATATCTCCAAAAGCGTGTGAAGGTAGGTAACAGCAGAGTACATTTTTTACGAATATGTGGCACATTTGTAGTGCAACAACAATGCAAATTAACTTGGCATTCATTTGAACAATTTTAACATGCAGTCGGGTGTATAACATTGAAGCCACCTCGAGTCGATCGTACTTCCTTTATAGTTTTCAAGGTAAATTATTCTCTTTCTTGAAAGCAGTAGCACATTATATTTACATTGATAATTGTTATTGACAATATAGGGCGAAATTTAAAAAGCAATAGGTTAATTAGCCTATAACATTTATTTTTTTAATTAGACGTTAGAATAACCAAAACTATCAGTTGACGTCTTTTGCGTAGTTTTGTTTGTATGCTGACCGGAAGTGGGATTGCTGCAAAGTGATTTGATAGACATGTTGATACAAGTTCGATAAAAGTTGTGCCAGCGTTGCTTCACTCTACAAACAGGATTCAAGCAGAATTTAACAAAAAAAGTATAGCAAATAAAAGCTATTCAGGCTAATGGTAACGTTGTTGCCTAGCAATATCTACTAACGGTATATCCAGCAATGTTCTCACGGCTAGTTAAAGCTAACGTTGGTGGAAACAGACTGCTTTAACATCCATTTATCTGTGTCTGTAGTATAGTAGTCGTCCTGTCCTACCCTGTGTGAGGTATGGATGCTACTCAGAGGATCTGTGACTCAATATTGGAGTCAGATGAGGAGGATCATGAAGATGAGAGTGAAAACAAGAGGGGACGACCATTGGCTAAACTGTGTATCTTAAAAAATGCACACATACCTGAGACAGGTGAGTGGGCCTCTATTGCTGGTATTACTGCTATTGTTTGTTGATTTAGGCACTTAGTTGAATTAACTTAACTTGTCTTTTTTTCTGATGGGTGTTCTCTGTCTCCCAGAGGTTCCCCTCTTTTTGGGAGAAAACGTCCTGGGCCGTGACCCCTACACCTGCGCCGTGCCCCTGATAGCACCCTCAATTTCAAAGCAGCACGCCACCATCTGCCTCTCAGTCTACAGGAAAAGAGGACGTCACAGTGAAGTGGACATAGAGGCTTTGGTTTGGGACCAAGGGAGCATGAATGGGACCCGCAAGGGCCAAATGAAGCTGACACCTAACGTACGCTATGCCCTCAGCGAACGTGACAGCTTGGTGGTGGCAGACATCCCATGTCAGTATGTGAGATGCGCTGAAGATGCAGTTTCCTCTCAAGGGGACGCAAGGACTCCTGTGAGCAGACATTCAGGGGTAAAGGCCACGCTGCTACATGCCACAAGCACAGGCGGCAAGAAATATGTCAACGGTGGTACAGGAGCTAGGGTGTCATTACCTGATCAGGAGGACGCCATGAAGACCCCTGGCGTAACCACTGTTCTGTCCTTTGAGCAAACCCCAACCTACCCAGAAGGGAGCCTGGTCCCAGAGTCTGACTCGGACGGAGAAAGAGGGGAAAGAAGGCGCAAAGCAATAGGTATGTAAATAACGTTATGACAAACTGAAATGAAGTCTCGTTTTTCTATCATCTGTTATATAAAATATATATTAATAAGGGGGTGGGATTAAATTCCCACCCCTTTTCGGATGTGTAATTAGGTAGATCATTTGTTTATATATCATTTGTTAGTCAATAATATTTTTGTTTATCAATTTGATACTGCTTGAGTTTGTACAGTATCATAATTCTCTTGTTTCATTTCATTATTATTTTTTATTTTTTTTGTATTACTGTTTTACACGTTCGAAATAAATCAAATCTAAATTGTCTTTTATAGTGTCCGATTCTGACTCCCATGAATCCAGTCCCAGATGTTCAACATTCCTGAGTCCCACAAACAAAACTGTTCCTGAAAGGTAAAGCAGCAACATCCTATACATCTTTAAAACAAATCTGTATTCATAACACAGTCATTCATCTCAGTGAAGATGTGTGCTTTTATGCAGTGTATCCCTTATTTGACTTTAATCAAAATATGAAATGTTAAATTCAATGAAAAAAAGACCGAGGTGATAATGTTTGGACCCAGTGGTGGCCCCAATGCCCCGCCTGTCCTGGATTCTCTTGTCCCATATGTGAAACCCATTGTAACAAATCTGGGTGTACGGATTGATCGTGATTTTAAGCTCGACAAACATCAATTCTGTGGTCAAATCCAGCTTCTTTCAGCTAAGAATTTTAGCAAAGGTCAAGCCTTTCCTTTCTTTGAATGACTTTGAGAGAGTAATACATTGTTTTATATCCACTAAACTGGATTACTGCAACGCTCTGTACATTGGAGTAAGCAAGGCTTCCCTGTCTCGCCTACAGCTGGTCCAGAATGCTGCTGCACGCCTCCTTACAAGGACAGGCAGGCGTGAACATATTACGCCTGTACTCGCCTCTTTACATTGGCTACCAGTCAATTTTAGAACACAATTTAAAATGTTACTGTTCGCATACAAAGCCCTAAACGGTTTAGCCCCACCGTACCTGGCAGATCTTTTAAAACCATACACACCCACACGGTCACTGAGGTCAGCTGACAGATTACTGGTCGTCCCTAAATCGAGGTTGAAGCAGCGAGGAGACAGAGCCTTTGGAACGAATTGCCCCTCCAGGTTAGACTTGCTCCAACTCTGCCTGTTTTTAAATCTCGTTTAAAAACCCACTTCTTTTCCCTGGCATTTACAGACCAGGTGACACTTGTGCTGTTCAATTTGGGTTTTTATCTTACTAGTGTTTTGTATTGTTTTTACGTCATTGTTACGGCCCGCCCTCTACTCCGTGGTAGTGGCTCGTGGGGAGACCCGCAACATAAAAGAAAATACACAAAACATCCAGCACTTAACGGCGACCATTTATTTCAAAGTACAGCCGTTACTCACATGGGCCAACCGGCAAAAGAACGAGGACTGGCAAAAACAAACAAAAAGAAGAAGGGGGCCTGGGCCAGCCACACCATGGGCCGTAGGACCCAGAGCTTCCCTCCCCTACCCAGAGATCTAACAAAAGTCTACGGGTAAAATAAAGCCGTGAAAAACTATACTAACAGGTCCTCCAGAATACACATATTAACACACAACAAAAGAGGTCTTCAGATCCGAAACAGCAGCGAGAATGTCCACAGACAGAGTCTTCCGGCATAGCGATAGCCAAATGATCCTCCTCCTCCAGTCTCTCCTTATAGCCCGGCTGAGTGGAATCAAGGAACACCTGCGCAGAGGCGGAGCCAGGGGCAGACCAGGTGCACCTGGTTTCATTGTCTCGTGTTGTAGATTTGTTTCATGTCCTGTCTGTTTTTTATGTATTTATCCTATACAGTTGTTGATGTACAGCACTTTGTTCAACTCTGTTGTTTTGAAATGTGCTATAGAAATAAAGTGGATTGGATTGGATAGTCTGTAGTCTTTCTAAAACCAGTCACGTTTTTTTCCCTCTGTTTTACAGTGAGGATGAAAGTCCCATCACACCGTCCTCCTCCACTAAAAATAGGCCTCACAGACATGTCGGCTTCAGCCTCGAGGAGACAGACATGGATGCGGGGCGACAGCAGCTGAATAACAAAAAGACAGTTGAGACTGTGGACGATAGTGCAGAGGAGGAACACAGGGAGGAAGAAAGAACAGCACTGGGAGGGACAAAGTCTGAAGAAAGTGAACAACATGTGCCAGTGAAAACGGGAAGCAATGTCAGTCTCTCAGGAGAAGATGAATTGCCTGAATCCACACCATCAGTCTTCACAGATCCGATCCCTGTGTTTGACATGGACAATGACACTGATGTGGAGGGAGAGGAGGAGGAGGAGGAGGGGGTAATATCTGCATGTCCTGTGACCTTGACTACAAACCAACAAGCTGATCAGCCCCCAGACACAGCCCAGTTTCACATGGACAGTGATACAGATGTGGATGAGGACGATGATGCCTGCTTAGACCAAGTTCCCAAAAGTTTGCCTTCCTCTGCTGACCTCAACAAACCTCATGTGATTTCAGTTATTCAGCCAGAAGGCGTCACTATGGACAGTGACACTGATGTGGATGATGATGCAATGTCAGACGCTGCAACAAATGCAAAACCCCCGTCACTTCAGAGCACACAAACAGCTGACTCTGCTTTTTCAACGCAGGTGGAAAATGTCCACCTAGACAGTGACACAGATGAGGATGAAGAAATGGAACGTGGAACAAATAATAAATACCCTGAAATAGATGAAACTCCCACTAGATTAGATATTAGGCCTGACTCTAACCCCGCCGCGCCTGACAGCCTGCAACTAGACAGCGATACAGATGATGAAGCTATTCCTGCACCAGCACTCAGTGAACCCTCTTCTCTCACAGAATCATGCACCACTGCACAACCAGGAGAAGATTTGGATATTCTGTCCGACAGCGACACAGATGTGGAAGAAGATTCTCCTCTGTTCATAGCTCTTGTTGTCTCAGACGTATCAGTGGATCCTGGTACAACGTCAGATGATGCAGATCCAGATGTTGATGAATCCGTCGTGCCACCTGCTGGGGACGCAGCTGACCTTAAAGAGGACAGTGACACAGATGTGGAGGATGCAGCTGAGGGCCAGATTCCCAGCCTGCAGAGAGAGATCACCCCTGGGCTGCTGGCTCCTCTACAGCAGAACTGCTCCACACCTGTACCCCTAACAGGTAACCTGTCAATCACTCTTCAAATGAGAACTACATGGAATTAATGTATTATGGTTTCATGTGCAGATAACATTTCTTTGATTCATTGTTTGGTTTATAAAATGACAGAAAATAGTGAAAAATTCCCATTGTAATTCTGCATAAAAATCATTACATCTAAGAAGCTGTAGTAGTCACAAATAATCAACCATCAAAATAATTTTGTTTGCTTACAATAGGTCAGAATGTCTTTTTAAAATGACTTTAGCAATCAAGATATATTTAATAGCATTCTTCAAATCTTCAATATTGGAAATTTAGATTTGTAGAGTGTAGACTTATCATCCCCATACTTGATTAACTTTATACATTCTTAAAGGTGGGGTAGGTCATTTTGGAGAAACCGGCTCGAGATCGCTAGAATTTGAAAATACACAGCCGGAGAAAATCTGCCACTTCCTTACAGAGCCCCTCCTCCAACACACACGAACGCGCACATGACCAATGAGGGCACGAGATAAGTTTGTGCACAGATGGAAGGCTGACAGGCAGGTAGGCCATCCAGTTATTTTAGCCGGGCCGGCTCAGATGATTGGTCGTGCTTTTTACAGTATTACGGCTTCCACAGATGACATTTTTTAATGGATTTTTTGTCAAAGCACTTAAGATATTCATTGCTATCGGGATGTTAAGAGCATTCCATGGAATATAACAAAAAGTGTATCTCGAGCCGGTTTCTCAAACTTACCTACCCCACCTTTAAATGATTCTTAACATGAAATATTAGCGTGTTAAAACGTTGAAATGTTCTTACTTTAATTGACTTTGGGATTGTTTCAGAGAGAGGACTGGAAGATATGGATACTCAGGCTTTCATCAGTCCCTCTCCGGTTCCATATAGACGTAAGTACAGTAAATCACCTTTGACTTTGTTTTCTGTTTCTAAGAAGACATAACATTTAGACCCTTGCACAACCTTCTTTATTTGGTCTCCTCTGTCTTTCCAGGTGCCGTAGCCCCTATAGTATTGTCTGCCAGCTCAGGGCGTCAGGAGGATGAGGACTTTGTCGTGGCCGAGACGCAGTCCTTTGTTCTTCAGACCAGAGAGCGTCAGGGAAACCCTCCACAGGACCCCGGCCAGGCTTTTCCCCTGGAGTCTTCTGGTGATGAGAGAGGAGAGCAGTCCAGCAGAGAAGCGTCTTTCCAGTTCGGACTGTCGGACAGCAAACATCTGCAGGGTCAGGCTCTAGCTATGGAGGACACTCAAGCTTTTGTGGGCGGGGGTGTGAGTGTGAGTATGGAAGACACCCAGGCATATGCAGCCGTCTCAAACGCTGACAGAACCTCCTTGGAGAATGATCCGAATCTGGAGGCTACACCGGCCTATGGGAAGGAAGCAGAGCCTGCCAGATGTTCAGAAATGTCTGCAAAAGAGAGTCAGGTGGATTCTGACCTCGAAGACACACAGGAATTTATTACAATGCCAGACAGCGATTCAGAGGATGACACTGATGATGATGAGTCAAGAAACACTGCTACTGCTGACACTCAGGCTTTCAATGTGCCCACGTCTTCTACTCTTGCAATGGCTGAAACCCAACTAATGCCTGTCTTTGAGGAAGACGAGAGTTCAGATGAAGAAAATCTATTTTCCTCTGTACTACAGGTTAAGCGAGAAGAGGGGGAAGAAGATGGAGAGGCAGATCAACCTCAGAAGAAGCATCACAGTGAAGCTCTGTCTGTAGCTGAAACCCAGCCCATGGCTACAAGTGGAAATGAGGAAAGTGATGATGAGGAAAGTGATGATGAAGACTTGATTGCAGGTCCACGCAAAAGAAAAGCGAAGCCACTGCAGCTTGACGAGGAACAGACACAAACGCTCTCAAACTCTGAGTTGTCTCTTGAAGCCCAGCCTATGCACATGGGTGTTTCTGAAACCCAGCCCATGGCTACAAGTGGAAATGAGGAAAGTGATGATGAGGAAAGTGATGATGAAGACTCGATGCCAGGTCCACGCAAAAGAAAAGCGAAGCCGCTGCAGCTTGACGACGAGGAGACACAAACGCTCACAAACTCTGAGCTCTCTGCTGTCCAAACTCAGCCCACGGATGGAAATGAAGAGGGTGAAAGTGATGAAGAGGAGACTCAGCCCCTCGCTAGTTCTTCTGACGTCCCTGCTGTTGAAACCCAGCCCGTGGTTGCTGGAGAAGATGAAGAAATTGATGATGAGGAGGACTCAATTCTGCGTCCACGAAAAGGAAAAGCGAAGCCGCTGCAAATTCAAAAAGAGGGAACGCAAGCGCTCACAAATTCAGAGGAAAGGGAAGATCAATCAGAGAGGGAGAGAAAGACAGAAAGGGAAGAACAAGAGAGATTAGAGAGTGAAAAGACAGAAAGGGAAGAGACGGAAAGATTGGAGAGAGAGAGAATAGAAAGGGAAGAGATGGAAAGATTGGAGAGAGAGAGAATAGAAAGGGAAGAGATGGAAAGATTGGAGAGAATAGAAAGGGAAGAGATGGAAAGATTGGAGAGAGAGAGAATAGAAAGGGAAGAGATGGAAAGATTGGAGAGAGAGAGAATAGAAAGGGAAGAGATGGAAGATTGGAGAGAATAGAAAGGGAAGAGATGGGAAAGATTGGAGAGAATAGAACAGGGAAGAGATGGAAAGATTGGAGAGAGAGAGAAAAGAAAGGGAAGAGATGGAAAGATTGGAGAGAGAGAGAATAGAAAGGGAAGAGATGGAAAGATTGGAGAGAGAGAGAATAGAAAGGGAAGAGACGGAAAGATTGGAGAGAGAGAGAATAGAAAGGGAAGGGATGGAAAGATTGGAGAAGAAAGAGAAATTGGAGGTAGCGAAAAGGGAACTAGGAGAGAGACTTGAGAGGGAGAGGATTGAACAGGAACACCAGGCAAAACTGGAGAGGGAAGCAAAGGAAAAGGAAGAAGAGAAGCAGGAAGAAGAGAAGCAGGAAGAAGAAGAGAAGAAGAAGTCCAAAACCCCAGCGAGAAGCCGAAGAGCCCCCAGAGCACGGACTGCTGCCCCGTGTTCAGCAGAAGCAGAAGCAGACTCCAGAGCAGCCAATGACGACGTCCCAGCCAGGAGAACCAGATCTCGCTCCAACTCTTCCAACTCCGTCAGCTCAGAGAGGTCCGCTTCAAGTGTGAGCACCCAGGGGGGCCGGGGGAGAGGCCGGGGGAGAGGCCGGGGGAGAGGCCGGGGGGCCAAGAGGGGCAGCAGCAGTGCACCCCCCCCAGCAGCCAGCACCAGAGGTACCAACAGGAGGAGCAGGAGCACGGCGGCAACACAACAGGACACGAATGATGCTCCTCCTCCAGTCCTCCAGTCCAGCAAGGTGTCCAGCTGCAGCGTGAGCTCTCAGAGCAGAGGAGAAGGAAGACGAGGAGGACGAGGAGGAGGCAGGCAGCGAGGAAGAGGAAGAGAAACTGAGCCCATCCCTGCTATCAATATTCAGAGTGAACAAATAGTGGATCCCACACCTGCAGCCAGAGGCAGGACGAGCAGGAGAGGAGAGGAGCTTCCCCAGGAGGACCAAACTGATAAAGCAGACCCTCAGCAGGCCCCGACCACAAGAGGGCGACGGAGAGCTAATGCCTCAGAGCCTAACGCTGCAGAAAAGCAAGACACCTCAAGTCAGGAGTGTGCCAGTGGAGAATCACCTCTGCCTAAAAGGACTGTGAGGGGAAGAGCGGTAAAGAGTGAGACTGTGGAGGCACCAGTAGCTCCTGCAGTCAGTGAGGGAGATAAAGAGTCGAGGAAAGGGAGAAAAAGGGACTTGGAGGAGGCCGATACAGAAGAGGCCTCCAGCAGTAGCCACAAAGTGTTCAAAGGGAAGGAGGAAGCCCACACGCCAGAGGAAGCAGGTGACACGAAAGAGGAGATTCCAGTGCCAGCTAAGAGAAGAGGTCGAGCATCCACCGCTCAAACCAACAAGATCGCAGGTGTTCCCTCCGCTGAAGTGGAGGGAAGGGAAGAGAGTGAGACAGTAGAGCAGGTAACTGTTAAGAAGAGAGGCAGAGGGCGGCCATCAGCGGCTCAGAAAAAGATGAAGCAGGAAGAAAGTGGATTATCTGTGGAGGCATCAGAGGTGACTTCATTATTACATATTGGAAATTGTTAGGTCTCAGAAGTGTTTTTTTCTTTGAGACACAAATACATTAGTGCCGAGACATACATCAGACCAAACGGAAAGCTTAGAGGTATACCAGGAACTCGTGTCCTTGAGGAAGGCTTTTACTTCGGCTTAAGGCCCTGTGGCTTTTTTTCTCTGTGAGTCAGCCTTTCATAATGTACTGCATTAACATCAGGGGCTGTCTGCGTCTCCCCAACTCTCTGAGCAACACGAGTAGTCTGACCTGCTCTTCATCACCATTAATACACTAATGAATTAAGTAGTCACACTACTCTGCTCCTACACTCATCACTCTCCTTCTGTGTTTCATGCTTCGTCCTTGTCTGCCTTTTGTCCTTGTCTCCCCTCCCCTCCCTCCCTCCCTCCCCTCCTCCATTTTACAGCCCCAGACTCCCACCCGGAAGCGACAGGCTCCTGCCGACTCGTCACCTGTGGCAAAGACCCCTCGCTCCTCCTCTGCTTCCCCCGGTGGTCGATTACGATCCGTCAGCCATGCCTATAAGGTTTATATAGTTTCTTACCTCATAAGATGGCATATTACCAGAAGTCTGAAGAGTAAGACAGTCCGTAGAACACAGAGAAAATCATTTAGATGAATTGAAGTGAAAGATACCAAAACACCTGTATAGAAACTCTCTCACACATCAGTCATATGATCACTTATTCCCAAAAACTGTCTCAAGATATTGGTATACTGTTTTTGGGGATGGGTTTTAAATAGTAAGGTTCATTTTGTTTCAAGATTCAAAGGCTTAATGTCATATGCACACAAGCTACAGTGTAAAAATCGAGCTCCTCCAACAATGCAACATAGTTATATAAGACATAAAACAATAAGAAAAGAAAATAACGATAGTGTAAGAAAAAACTGAGTAGAATGTTGCAGTTAACTATATACATGTTAGGAAAATAAATAGTGTGTGTGTGTGTGTGTGTGTGTGTGTGTGTGTGTGTGTGTGTGTGTGTGTGTGTGTGTGTGTGTGTGTGTGTGTGTGTGTGTGTGTGTGTGTGTGTGTGTGTGTGTGTGTGGGTGTGTGTGTGTGTGTGTGTGTGTGTGTGTGTGTGTGTGTGTGTGTGTGTGTGTGTGTGTGTGTGTGTGTGGTGTGTGTGTGGTGTGTGTGTGTGTGTGTGTGTGTGTGTGTGTGTGTGTGTGTGTGTGGTGTGTGTGTGTGTGTGTGTGTGTGTGTGTGTGTGTGTGTGTGTGTGTGTGTGTGTGTGTGTGTGTGTGTGTGTGTGTGTGTGTGTGTGTGTGTGTGTGTGTCAGGTGCTGTTCACCGGCGTGGTGGATGAAGAAGGGGAGAGGGTGTTGGCTCGTCTGGGAGGCAACATGGCCAAAGACGTGGCCGACATGAACTGTCTGGTGACCGACAAGGTGCGCAGGACCGTCAAGTTCCTGTGTGCCGTGGCTAAAGGCATCCCCATCGTCACCACACACTGGCTAGATAAGGTTAGTTCAAACATTACGTTTTATCTCTCTATATACAGAGGTGGGAAGTAACTCAGTACTTTTACTCCTGTACAGTACAACTCTGAGATACTTAATCTACTTGAGTATTTCCATTTTAAGCTTAGTTACTTCACAGATGTGGATGAATGATGTGAAATATAATCAAGTCTTAAATCAGACTTTAGTTCCACCTGGAGTAAATCCACAAGCTACCCTGCAGTATACAAAGTCATTCAAACTAGCTGCACCTTTACCAGCTTTGAGAACACTTTCATGATCAATCATTATAAAACATATCATATATATTATTCTGAAATGGACCAATCTGCACAACGACTACTTTTACTGTCGCTACTTTAAAGGGGACCTATCATGCAAAATGCACTTGTGTACGTCTTTTATACATGAATATGTGTCCCCGGTGTTCCAGGGAACTCACCAAGTGTCAGAAAACACAACCCTCTCTATTTTCCTCCATACCCAAATCTCTAAAAAAGGGGCTGCAACGGATCTGATAAAAACTGATCCAGATTTGAACACTGTCCTGACGTCAGGACGGTGGCGCTACGGCTATTGGGCCAACTCCACCAATCAGGAGGAGACAGCCACAGCCATTGCCGTTCGAAAGCGCTGGAGACGATGTAGTACATATGCCAGGCCAGTAGATGGTGCTGTTCTCACTGAATCTGCCCAGAGCTAGAAATTGTCAAATTGAGCAAAATAAGGCATGGCTAAAATGCATGATCTGTTTGGTATTTTGAAAGAAAAAAAAGTATAAATATGCCTTATATAGGTATGGTCCTACACTATATTATTCAAATATAGCATGATAGGTCCACTTTAAGTATATTTTGATGCTAATACTTTTCTACTTTTACTTGAGTAACATTTTGAATGCAGGACTTTACCAGAGGTACTCCTACACTCTGGTACTTCTCCTTCTACTCAAGTACAAGATCTGATTACTTCTCCCACCTCTGTCTATATACACAAATACTACACTCGTTGAAGGAGACAGACTAATATAGACGCTCTTGTTGTGTTTCTACTTTCTTCCTGTGCTTCAGAGTTGCAAGGCCGGGAGCTTCCTGTCTCCTAACACATTTGTTGTGAAGGATCCGGAGCAGGAGAAGAAGTTCAGTTTCTGCCTGCAGGAGTCTCTGAGGATCGCCAGCAGTCTGCCTCTCTTACAGGTACTCCAATCAGAGTTTTTATGTCTTATATCTTTCCTCAGAGTGAGAGGTTGGCAGAGTGTCATTTCCCTTGGCAGGTGGCACAGGGGTTGTGGATAATATCGACAGATGAGAGACGAATCATGACTCGCAGTAGGAGTCCAGACGTGCTTGTGTAAGAATCCTCCTCGGCCTATAAAAGATGTGAAACCCCTGACATTTTACCATTTAAGCATCGCTTTTACGTCAGCCTCTCTGTAGTTGAACAATCTTTCCATTGGCACAGCGGAGATTGTTCACCATTAATCTTTGTCTTGTGGAAAGTAGTTTGACATGTATTCTTAATGTACTGCTTATGTTTAATGGGCACTTCAAGTAGGGAGGCGGTAATGTTTCCATTTCTGTTACACTCCCTACCCTGCATGGTTTGGATCCCAGCTGAACAGATATCGTTTAATACCACATACCATACTGACATAGCTAGCTAAATGCAGGCAGGTATACACATGTAATACAAATGTCCATTCTTAAAAGCCTTGTATTGATTTTTTGCTGTGATTTTACAAAGACACATGATGTTTATTAAATCTCTTCTCTTTCTCTTAGGGTTATCAAATCCATGTGACCAAGTCCGTGGAACCCGAGCCGGTTCAAATGAAGGATATTATCTTCTGCAGTGGAGCCACCTTCCTACCTAAGATGCCCTCTTCTCCCAAGGTAAATGAACATTATTTTGGGACAGTCTCTTTATCTTATCATTCAGTACATCAGTAACTATTTGACCGCCTCTCTCAGCCGCAGACTGTCGTGATTTCCTGCGAGCAGGACCTGTCTCTGTGCGGCCCGGCACTCTCTGCCTCTCTTCCAGTCGTCACTGCTGAGTTCCTCCTCACTGGCATCCTTCAGCAGAGACTTGACCTTCAAACCCACAGACTCTCAGCCCCTGCACATTCCCTTCAGCCGGCAGGAGGCAGGAGAAGGGGCAAGAAGAAGAGTTAGCACCACAGGGGGGTGCTGTGAATAAAAAAAACACCATGTAGGAAATCATTACTCGTAGATTCCCTTTCAAATCAGAGGCCGTAGAAACACTGTTTGTCTAAGGACTTGAATGTATTGTAACAAAATGTTGAAACATTCTTTTACATTTGAAGCTTTCTATTTTTGTGAGAGAGCGATTAAAGTAACTTAATTTAGTCTGTAGTGTTTACCATTTTCATGTTTAAAATATATTTTCTTGTCTAACATAACAATTGCAAGAGCTTAACATGATGTTGCTGCTATGTAAGGTGGGAAATAATAACCCATCAGCCGTTCTTATCACGTTCCCCATCTCTCATCTGTTCTTGCTCCTCCCCTTTCTTGGTACGAAGATAACAAGCAGGCTTATTGTCGCTACTCTCTATACCTGCTAAGTGCTTCTCAATCAGCCGGTTTGGCAGGTAACCGCAACGAAGCAGGAGATTTATATTCATGTTTGGGTGGAGGGCTAGTGGAAGCGATGGGGGTCAGAAAAAGGCTTGTTTCCAGTACCTGATAAGAAGTGCATAGTGCCTTTTTATACCGAGCTAATCGTGAACTTACCAGTGAGCCTTGTTCCTCTTTCTCCATTAACCATCACCAGCTACTCCATTAAGGCTTCAATCAATCCCATTACCTCCAGCCATGAGACGCGATTTATAGGCACCTGAATGCTGATGCTGCTTCTACATCAATATCTTATGGACATGCGTGTATCTATGTATAAATGTTAAAAAAAAGACTTGTATACAGAACACTTGGTTTCTGTCACACAGGAAATGTTTAAACATGTTTGTATGTCAGTATTACCAATGACAACATTAAATATCTTTTGTATAGTGACTTTATACGTAATCTGCATATTTTTGTCTTTTTTTTTACTGAGGCCTGATGCTTTAATGTGATGCGATAACTGCAGGATGGAGCTTAAAGGAAACATTAACAAACTAACTTTGGATTTAGATGTGTTGTCTTTGCCAAGCTGCCATTCCCAAGGTTGGGAACTTATCATTGCATTCCCTTATCTGAGAAAGATACATTTTTTTACATTTTCCAGGTCTTTCCTCTAAATTATTTAATTTTAATTTTAAAATGTTTTTGTTCTTCTAGAGCTCCTTGAGTTTGGGATGTTTGCAGATGATCATTCAAAACATCTGAATTATTCTTATTGGGAGATTAGATGTTGTAAATATGTCTTCAATTGGAATTGAAATGTGCACATTTGATTAATCATTTTTTCCTGGTATGCTATTGGCTAAATCCCCTTTAATTTACTTTTCCTTGTATCTTAGCCAAAGCCAATCAACCAATGAAATGCTTTTATTTTGTAGAAAACACTGAGATTGATGATGCGATTGGAAGCAATGCATCAAAGCAATCCCTATATTTCAAACACGCCTGTTCTAAACTCATTACCATCTACTTTGGACATAATGTGTGAGCTTAATCTGTTTAAGGACACTTAGATATGTGCTGAATCAGCTGCATATTCTGCGGCTTGCCAGTGTAACATCTCATTAAACCCCCCCAGAGGAGAAGGTGTCTTTCAGCATGACCGAGTCTCACCGGTGATTCCCGAAACCAGCCGAGTGAGCAGAGCCCGACATATTCTGAACACCTTCCAAATGTTGAGTCGGAGTCGTGAAGTGCTGCTCTTGAGGGGGGCGAGGTTGGAAGAGAGGGAGACGACGAGGGAGAAAACCGGCACCGTTCACACACATTATTTCCTCCTCTGAACGCGTCTCTGCACACCGCGACCGGGAGTCTACAGAAAGGTGAGATGCTGAGCCATGTTTTTCTTTTTCCTAACATGCATGAGATGCGAGTGCTAAAATGTGACCGGTGCACGAAGGGTTAAATTCTGCAGCTTTTTTTGGTTGATGCGCTTCTCGGCTATCCCGGCCCGGAGGACATGATCAGACATGAGGATGAGAGCTTTATCAGCGAACACACATTAAACTGTCACTGAGGGAAAGGTGTGGAAACATGTTCATGCGGTGGGAGCCATCATTGGATCATTTTAGATGTATTTCATTCATTTCCCAGCCTCCTGGTTGGATTCTAATGTAATGCAGATGTATTTTGTTGCATGGTGTCAAATGTGTTTCATTGCCTTAACATCTTAAATGGAAGCAGGTAACATTAAGTAGGCCATTAGTGCACCTTAATTGGAAACATACAAAAACTGCCTTATTTTTATTATCATTATAGGATAATTAGGCTATATGTTATGTTTTATAGACGTATTTCATTATCTCAGCAGCTGCTTTCTCTTCATATAGAAGTCAACTGGTCTATTAGGTGACATTTTCTTTACAGTTAACACTTTAGTAGCATCCATTATGTGAGGATGCTCCATTGCTCCAGCCTGAGGCTCTTGGCGGTGTTTCTCCGCCTGCAGGGTGCTGCTCACACACTGTGACCAGAGCTGCATGAAGGCCGAGCCACAGGAGAGCAATGGCTGTATTTATTCTCTTTTTTCTTTTACCTTTGTCCAATTCCACATCTCCCCTGCTCTTGTCCGTGAGTCAATACTGTACACAGCTCCTCCCTCATCTTGTCCTCTGATTTGACTGAATCTGACAGGTGCAAGCAATATGGTGGAGACCTTCCTTATCCTTTAGTTCACTGCAGCAAGATTTGGATACAACAGGTTTTTAGCTGCTACAGGCTTCCTCAATAAGATACACTTTAGACATGATATGATTTGGTTTTCGTCTGGTTGTTTGAGCCTCTTTTCCCTGCATCATTATGAAATGTTATATGGGTTGTAGTGAGGCAAAGAGTAGTTTTGACATTTGGGATAATGTCAAGTTTTTGAATTTTGAAAGCATCTCATTTCAAGCCCCAAATGTGTCTGTGCACCTGAAGTAAACATTCAGCCATTTTCACTTGTTCCTCTTGACGCAGCAATCCTTTTTTTTCTTCTTTTGGATGCCTCATGATTTATAGATGTCTTGCGCTCTGAGAGGAGGGCACAGCATGTGCATCTGAGTGTTAGTAAGTTTGTTTTTCAGCTCACTTCTAGCATGCCTCCTCACTGTCAGAGGGACCCCACGTCGAGCCATTTCTCCTCATCACTTGTGCAAAGAGTAAGGTGAAAACGAAAGAGAAATGATGAAGGGGTAAGGACACAGAGGTGGCTTTGTAAGGTCCCCACATCTGCAGTCATTGAAGGCATTTCCGCCTCTTTAAAAGCCTGCGGACAAAGACCTGCCTGTCCTTCCAGTCAGCAGGGAGTTTGGAGTTAGAAGGAACACAGGCACAGGCTTTGATTTCAGAGTGGGATGCACTGGCTTAGATTATATAAGATAAGGAGGTGGAGAGGATGAAAGAGACATGATAAAAGAGAGACAGATCCAGAGAGAAAAGGGGAAACGAGAGAGATGCCCTGAGATCGGCAGCCAAGGGTTTCGGGGTTGACAGGAGGGATGGCACGTAGCTGTCAAACAGAGGCATGTAAAGTTCAGGGAGGCATCAGAAGATGACAGGGAGGCTTCAACAGGGTCATGATGTTGGTAAAATAACACTTTAAGATGTGAGAATGGTGACATCAAATGGAAGAAAGGAGGGAAGAAAGAGTGAAGGGGGAAGGAGGGTCAGGAAGAGATAGCAGATGGCATATTTGTCCATGCTCTACAGCCCAGAGGGCACTGTGTGTTATGCTCATAATATACAGTAGCTTATTGCATGTGTTCTTGCATGTTTGTGCTCAGCGAGTCGAACACTTTTAGCTTTGGCCTCAAATGCTTAAAATCTCAGAGTAAAGAAGAGTATTTTTTCAGTTTTTGCTTCACAGATCTTGTGTGGAAACACCAGATTGGCTGTGGTGACTCCACGAGGCCCACTGCTGTGACAAACAGATGGACTAGGTTCACTTTTTCTCTCTTCAGAGACAACCCACATCTCAGATTTCCGTGTTAATTAAATGCTGATGGTAACAAAGGTCAACAGCTTAGTTTTTAGTTACAACCAGTGCATGATGCAGTGGCCTCACATGAGGTGTCACACCCCTGAGAAAAAGGCTAAAAGAATCCAGAAACAATGAGAAGTGCAGGAATAAAATGACAGTGGAATTTGATCTGTATGGATGACCGTTGTAAAGGAAAGGAAAGGTGTGTTTGCCAAGTGACACGATTCTGTGACGCAGCATTGTTTCATATTTTATTATACAAAAAACCATCAGTGGGCTTTTGGGATTTGGGCCTAGTGGGGTGTGCAGATGGCAGATTCACTGCAGAGGGCTCCATGAGACATTCTGTGTAACAGGAACTTTAAAGGTCAGATGAGGATGCAGTCAAATGTACATTTTTCCATTTAACTATAGAGAAAATAGCCTCACTGCTCACGTTGTTTAGATTACTCATATACAAAGAGGCGGACATACAGGAAGTGCCCACATACATCTCTATACAGTGTGAAGATGACCTAATGCGTCGTCATTTCCACCGGGAATAGTGTGTCTTGTGATGTCTGCTGTGTTTACAATGACACACTTTAATATTCGGTGCATGTTTATTAGCTGCTGCAAAGTGTGACTGTGAGCACTGCAGGTGTTCCTCACAGTCCCCTCCTGGGCTTTCAAATGAAGACCGCAGCAAAATGTCTTTTTGCAGAAACTCTCTTGATGTGTTGCCTCAGTGTAGCAGAAGGCACTTCACCTCACCATAATCCCCTCAGTGTTGCAATTCATCACGATTGGATGCCATAGTGCGGTGTAGGAAATGTGTTTGCTATGTAGCGCTTCCCGTCCTGAACACTTCCAAGTCATCCTTCAGACCTCGACGGTGTGGAGACTTTGAATTATCTGGAGATTCATGAATTATTCTGCCTTTAAAATCAGGCATATAATCAATACACGATCCTTGACAGTGATTCAAAGCCAGCTGGCTTTCTCAACATGCACATCCACTTAAAAGAGAAAGGCCTCTTTAAGACATTATTGCCTGTTTCTATGGCCCTATATCCAGTCTATGGATTGGCATTTAAACAACATAAATCTACTCATGACCCTGGCTTTAAATTAAGGTCATGTATGCTATCTAGTTTGAATGAAACTGTCATTAGTTTTCTCAACAGAGCTTGTACCACAGGCTGTTTTTGTATATCTGAACTTCAATAATAACCTCCAGGCAATGGCAGATAAATTGAGATTACAGTGACTGTAGATCAGCAGATTGTCTTTTCAGGGAGTTTTTTTTTTGTAGATGTTCTGTGTGATTTGATAGCCTAATGGATTCCTTAATCCACTTTAAACAACAAATACAGGATAAGATGAAAGAAAGAAAGAAGCCAAGACAATTACATTACATGACATGTCACTTGTTAGACGCTTTTATCCAAAGCGACTTACATACTCAATACTGTGGGCAATCCCCACAGGAGCAATTTGGGGTGAAGTGTCTCAGGGACACAACGACATGCTGACTGCAGTGGGGTTTGAACCTGTGCTCCCCTGATCCCAACACTAACGCACTAACCCACTACGCCACACACCTCCCAATTCTGACCTCAAGGTTATGCAAGATTAAACTGTTTTGTAAAATTCATTCGTAAAATTATTATGAGGTTGCATATGCTTTTCTCATGATAACATCCCTTATAGATAACCTTGGCTGCATGCGATCTGCTGCTCCCTCTGCAGGGGTCTGCTCCTGGGCTTTTAAAATGAAAACCACAGAAAGGTTTCTTTAGATGTGTTGCCTCTGATGTCTCACAGTCACAACATCAATATCCCTCTCATGCCCCTTTCACACCAACGCAACTCCGGTTCAAGCTCCGTGCTAGAGCTTTTCTGGTTCAGAACCGGTTCTTCGGTTTAGCGCCGGCTCTTTTCACACCGCTCAGAGCCCGACTGGTGCTGCCGCTGCTGCGTCATGACGTCACAGTTTACGTCGCTGAGTTTCTCCCCAACGCCGGAGCTCACCTCACAACAACAACGGGCCGGGGACTGCGTTGCTTTTAATCATACGAAGCCAGATTAAATTAAATAACGACTTCTCCAACCTTATACTTTTCTCCAGAGTGCCGTGGTTCATTCTTTATTAATGTGTTTCAGCGGCATTTACCGACCGCTGCAGTGCTGGCCGGCTGCTCTTCAACGGGAGTGTATTCTCCCGTTAGCTCCGGGTTAGCTCACACGGCTCTAAAGTATTCACTGTCTGACTGTCACACAAGCAGCTGATACATATCCCCAGTTCCCCTTAAGTGAATGTGTGTCAGTCTGAATTGACGCTGTTTGGTGTCAGTCTGAATTGACGCTGTTTGGCATCACAACACTGTTATGAAAGTTTCTCTGGTATAACATGGGTGATGTTAGCATAGCAACCGAAGCTAAACTGACTACTTGCTAAGCAGTTTTCTACAGGCACTTTTTACCGACGTATTTTTCATTATGATTCTACTTGTGATAGTCGGACATGACAACCTGTGCAGCCCATGTATTGATTCCATCCGATAGCTGCTATAATAACAAACAAAACGTCTGCCTGCTCTCCACAATGACCAATAACAGCGAACGGATGGTCAAAGTAAGGTACAAATAAACAGAATCACACGAAGCCTGGTTAGTGTTGCCTGACTTTATAAAGTGTGTTTTTTTTAACAAGTGTGTGGTTGCGTTCTAGTCACTTTGCTCAGCACTACTGCTTGTTACAACTTTTATTTGCCGTACTCGCCTTAAGTGTTAGCTCAGGTTAATCTCCCCCCCCTCCGACGTAAGCGTGACGTATGCGGTTCTTGCTTCTAGACGGACAACTTTTTGGTGCTCGAAACGAACCGGATTCCGGAGCTATGACGCTGCTCCGCTGCGGTGTGAACAGGAAAACCCGGTGCTTTTCAAGCACCAGCACCGAACCGGCCCTGAAACACCGTTGGTGTGAAAGGGGTATCAGAGCTGCAATCAATCTCCTCAGAAACCTGCCTCTGGAAACAATGATGTGGAAATGTTGTTTGGGCCTGGTCCTCTTCCTTTTGTGGAAGCGCTGTCTTTGAAGACTCATGTTATTAGTTAGAGGTTTATACTGCGAGGAACAATTTAAACCGTAGATTGCTGCCAGTGACACTACTGGATTAGAGAGCACTTGTATTGGCTGCTGACACTTTTCACTTAAAGGGGACCTATCATGCAAAATGCACTTTTTGATGTCTTTTATACATAAATATGTGTCCCCGGTGTGTCGGGGAACTCACGCAGCGTCAGAAAATAAAACCCTCTCTCTTTTCCTCCGTACCCAAATCTCTAAAAACGGGGCTACAACGGAGCTGATCCAGATTTGCGTCCGATATGACGTAATATCTGAAATGTGGACCCACGGCCCTATCAGAAACGTTGCTATCAGAAACAATGCCCGACTGTTTTGGACGTAATATGGTCGGTGTTTACATTAGCATCGCTAACACTCAGAGCTAACCTGTACTGGAGAGCATGTGTGTGAAGAAGCAGGAAATAAAAAGGAACTCACCTTGTGGTATAACCGCCAAGAGAGAAAGCCTTTGAGCTCCATACTGTTTCAGAAATAATCCTTGATAATCCATGATATGGCGTTTCATCACGGCAGTATTTAGTTTAGACAGTAGCTGCCGGGTCCCGCATGAGCTCAGACCCCTCCTTTTTTTGTAAAGCTTTATACCCAAAATCAGCACGTTTGAAACAGGAAGTGAAATAGAGGGATATGAGGCATGGCTAGAATGGGTGATCTGTTTGGTATTTTGAGCAAAACACTTCATAGACATGTTTTTTATATATTTGTATATATCTGAGACAGTGTGCGAAAAAGCACACGTCCCACCGTCCGGGACGTGTGCTTTACAATATCGGACAAGTAGATCTTTCAATTGACTTGTCCGGCGGACAAGTGACGTTTTTAGCCCTCATTTATTGACAAATTATTGATAAACTCAGTTTACAAAAGGCAGAACTCATTCGCAAATTGTCCGTGTCCGCCATTGTCATACCTGCCAACCCTACCGATTTGGGCGGTAGTCTACCGCTTTTGACATGTTTCTACCGCCTACCGACTTAGCTGACTCTCCCTACCGATTTTCAATCTTCCCAAACTATAAAAATGACACTACATAGACACTGGACTCGACTTTTGGCGGACACCGTTTGCAGCGTGTCTGTGATCCCATCATACAAACAGTCCTCTGTGTTTCAGTCGATCGCGAGATGTGTCTAAAAATAGAACAACAATATTCTGTTTTATCGTTAATGTCCTAAAACATAATCTTCCTGTGCCAGAATAAGGCACTTGAACGCATCAAAGCTTTGTGATTGGTGTGATCCCATGTATCGGGGCGTGGCTGGTAGGCAGTGGGCACTACTTTGCTGTGCAGTCCGCACACACAAGACCACAATTATGGCAGAAGCAAAAGAGCCCAAAATATATAATTTTCACTCCGAGTGGGGAGGATGATTATTTTTGTATCTATTCCAATTCAAAGTCCATCTGTCTCATCTGCAATGCGAGCGTGGCTTTATCGAAGAAGGGTCATTTAGGAGCGGCATTTCAAAACAGTGCACAAACGCTACGAGACGGAATTCCCTCCTAATTCTGTCCTACGCTCCCAAAAGGTGAGGGACCTGAAAGGACAGCTAAATGCACAGCAGTCCATTTTCACCAGGCCCAACAACAAGAGCAAGGCTGCTACCATAGCATCTTATCGTGTCAGTCACGTTCTTGCGAAACACATGAAGTCTTTCAAAGACGGCGAAGTTGTGAAAGAAGCATTCCTGGAGGCTGCCGACGCGCTTTTTGGGGACAGTAAAAATAACAGTAGCATTTCAACAGGTTTTTGATATAATAAAAACTCAAGTTAGATACCGTCAGCTGTAAGTTTTAGTTTGTTTGAACTTATTCATTATAATTATTGTACAAAATGGTATAAGAATGCAAACTTTAAGATCTGTTCTGTTTAAATTGATTATAGTCTATTATCAATTCAGAAACTAGTGTTGCTTGCATCCTATTTTAAAGGCATTTCTTTTTATACTCTACTAAAATGCAAAAAAAAGAAAAGGGTTTGATTCTATTAATTTTGTCTTTATTATTGCACTTTGGCAGCAGATTCCTATAGCTTCAGATCTGAGTTGTCTTATTAGTAAAACTAATTTATACTTTTGTAGCAACACTATTTTTATATAATGGCAAAGAAAGGGTTCAGTCTTTTCTTTTTTTCCTGTATCATATGTGGCAGCACTGTTCAATGTTTCTTGAAAACATTACCCACTGTAGTATGTGACGTGTGAATAAACTCCCAACTCTGTATCAACAACACTGTTGTGTAACTTCAGTTAAATACTTGTATGTGTGTAGATTAGAAAGAGGTAAGATAAAGGATCTGCAGTATTTTATGAAGTATTAATCGTACAAAGGTCAGTTTTATACAAGTAGAAGTGTGTATTTACCTGGTAGTAGGCTGTCAGTAATGGCTACACCTCTCTATTTGGACTGGTAGATCTCGGCAGACTGGCAACTTTAAAAGTAGCTCTCGGTTCAAAAAAGGTTGGGCACCCCTGATCTACACTGTCAAGGTTCAAGGTTCTTTATTGTCAAACTAACACAGCTACAGAGTAATTATGTCGTTGAAAATCTTATGTCACAGGCTTCTCCAACAATGCAACTGAAAGAGGACCAGAAACACATTAAAAATATAATAAAATGTGGAGACTTTGGGATATTTATCTCCCATTCTTTTACTTTTCGGGCATTTTACAGACCAAACATGTCGTTGATGTCACTGTTTAGTGTTTACCAAACTACCACTTTTTCTGAAAAATGCATAAAATGATGCAATATATGTTAAATACATGGTTTATACCAGCGACGTGCAGTCAGTGGAGGCAGGGGAGGCAGAGCCTCACCTGTCATACTCCAATGTAACGGAAAAACAATTAAAGAAAAACTAAATAATAATAATAATAAAATGTCTCCACTGATCTTGTGTAAATGTGATTTCTGTATGATTCCAATCGCATTTTATAGTCAAAATCAGCAAATTGGCCGAGCTCCGCTACGGGAGCTATGAGAAGTGAGGCAGGCACGAGCACTGCCTCTCGTAAGCCCACAGTAACTTGCTGGAGCGCGGGCACTAATTTAGCGCGGCCACTTATTTTGTGAGTGCGCTCAAGCCATTTACTGTGGGGTGAGGTGAGGCACAGATGAGATCTGCCTCACCTCAGAATGCGTCACCCCACAGAAACTGTCTGGAAAGCGGGCCCTAAGCGCATGCCTGTTCCCATCTCACTGTAGGTCACCAATGTAATGTTTGTAGATCCCTTTATTACATTTATCCTCGCCATCCATAGTCTCTAAATAACTTATTTCACGTATATATGATATTTAGGCTCGCTGCTCTCAACGGCAATGAAAATGCACCAGGGGAGGCAGCCATAACCTCTGCCGCACTGAAGGGGGCGCACGTGAGCCCACAGGTTCTTGTTGCTACTGTTATTCTACCGCAAACAACAAACTCGACTTTTGAAACTACAGGAAGATACGGAGGACTTTTACAAAACAGTAATAGAGATTGTTGTCCAGAAGGATAGCATGGACTTATATTCATCTTCAAGTCAAGGTAAGACCACAACTGTAATGAACATGGGATCTTACTTAGAAAGAACAATCCAATATTTAGATTTTGGGTATCCTTTTGTTGATCGGTCTGTTTAAAATTAATCATAGCATCAGACTAAAAAAGCTTTTGAAAATAACAGAATATTTCGATTAAGGTCAAAATAGGCTATAATATTTGTAAATCTGACTCTGAAAGAGTCAGTGCCTCACCAGCCATGAACCTCACCGCACGTCACTGGTTTATACATGTAATTACTGGGGTTCTGATTACCTAATTTGGGCGTGCACATTTGCCGCGCGCAAACCTACCTCTTTTGGATTTGGAAAGGTTGGCATGTATGCATTGTTCGTTTAGAAATGTTAGTTTCGGTTGTGCTTGTCGATTCCTGCATCTCGCCGCTTTCTGTACTGTTAGACGGGGCGGGGCGGGGCGGGGCGGGACGTGTAGCACAGTGGCAGGGTTGGGAAGCAAAATTCGGTTCCGAGTAGGAACAAATAACAATTGTCCGGTACCGGGATTAATAAGAGTTGTGAGGACAGGAGGCGAGGCCGAGCCCCGCGGACCGCAGCTCTCTCTGCTCCGGATCATCTGATCGATGCACGGTGCAGTTCAGCGTCTCTCTCTCTCCCTCTCTCTTTCTACACACAGCGGACCCGCTGCCCGTTTAACAGCCTAATCTTTGTCAAACTTTCTTATGTTCTTTCTTTAACACGCAATGAAGGTTATTAAGCGTTTTAGCTCCTACGTTGTTAATATTGACGCCATTTCCTTTATGCAATAAAGCAGCCTCCCTGTCTGTGTCCTCGCGCTGTCCTCACATCCCCCGTCCCCAGACTCGGAGGAGCACAGGGATGTCAGTATTGTTTATGAAGCAGGGTATAGAAAGTACATTATTGAAATGAAAATACTATTTATTTACAAACAGTGAGCAGCTGGGCAGCTGCAGCATGTGTATTGCAGGACATGTGTAAGCATGCAAGCGTCTTTGAGTTGTAGAAAAGCGCTAGGCCTATAGGCTATAAATATAATGTATTATTATTATTATTATTATTAGGCCTATGTGTTGGACATGTGTGGTTGGACTCTGTCTCACAGGCAGGTTGCAGTGTAACATCAGAGGAGACTGGGCCAATTGTACATTCTCAAACTGCACCACTTAGAACTAACTAAACAATGCAGAGATTATTTTTATATAATTGTATTCAATAACCGTAAGAAATTAAACAGTATGAAGTGATTTGTAAATAGGAATACAGGTTTGACTTAATGTTTTCATAAATATGTTTTTCTCCCAGTTTGTCATGGGACTTATTTTTACTCTCTCAAAGAACCGGAATCAAGAACCGAAAATAACCGGAATCGAAAAGCAGAACCGGAATCGTTAAAATCCAAACGATACCCAACCCTATGTGTGATACAGTAAAATCTTACCGCTCACTTACGTTAGCGGTGTCGTAAAAAACGTGGGAAAATGTAAAATACGTTGGCGAAGAAGAAGATTCCAGTGGCCCCAATTTTTGTCCAATCTGGACAAGTGAAAAATGTATTCGGACAAGTAAATTGCCAAACTCACTTGTCCATGGACAAGTACTCTCTAAAAACTTTTTCTCACACTGTGAGACCTATGCTATTGCCTAAAAATAGCATGATTGGTGCACTTTAATGAAAAAGATGCTGCACAGATCAACCTAGATCCAATTCATTTGAGTCTATTTGGGGTTAAGCTGAACGTATGATGTGAGCCAAAAGGTTATTATTCTTTTCTGCTAATATTGAAATTTACAGCAATAACTTTCCAAATCTTGTAAATTCTTTAAAGAAAATCTGACACTTTGAATAAAAAGATGCTTTCAGTTTCTAGGCGAGTGCCTCAGTGGATGCTTCAGTCATCATTGAGTGATATCATCCAGGGATTAAGTCCTACACCTGTTTTAATATGAGAAAAGGCAACCATTTGGAGCGAAATCTACCTGTCCTTGATCCACAATATTAAAAAGAGGACAGAAAAATACTGAATATATCTGCACAGACTATGAAACTGTTAACATGACCTTGCCTATTATGTTAACTTTCTATGAATTCACACTCTACCCTTTCTCCTCCTAGGTACAAAACAATCATCCAGGATGGCGGCAGTCTGTGTAATCGCATTAAGCGTCCTACTCACTACAGGTATGTTCATTAAATATCTGAATATGTTTCCTCTATAGTGATCTGGAAAGATATTAAATGTTTTTTTGCACAACTGTCAGTGTTCACTCTTTTGGCAGTCAGGTGATCCTACTACTTCTACACTGTGTTTATTTGCTCAGGAAACATTGTTTGATTTGATATTAAAGGACAGTTTGATGGTGCTGGAACATTCTAACAGACAATATGTGAATACATCCAGAAGAATATGGTGTAACAATTTAAAAACAGGAAGAAAGGGCCTATATTGCACAACTGATAAAGAAATGAGTCATTATATTACTGATATTTCTTTTGATTTGTATTTCTTTTATCTCTGTTTACAGCTCTTTCTGCACCTGTGAATGGTAAGACTTTTTGTACCAGTTCATCTCACTCATTAATGATGAATTAGGAGCTGTTGTTGTCCTGTTACTGGTTTGTCACCACTCACAAATATGTATATACCTTCATTTAATTAATTTCTTATTTTAAAGTTACTTAACTGTATATAATTGTAATGTTATCTTTAATTTTATCTGTAATTGTATTGGATTCTGTGCTGTCCTGTTTTCCAATCTTACCCTGTTGCTGTTTAAACTACTGAATTTCCCCACGGGGATTAATAAAGGACCATCTTATCTTATCTTATCTTATCTTATCTTAGATAGATAGGTAGATAGATAGATAGGTAGATAGATAGATAGATAGGTAGGTAGATAGATAGATAGGTAGATAGATACGGTAGATAGATAGATAGATAGCATAGATATAGCTAGATCGATATAGCTCGGTCGGTCGATCGCTCGATCGGTCGCTCGCTCGCTCGATCGCTATCGCTCGCTCGCATCGATCGCTCGCTCGCTCGCTCTCGCTCTCGCTCGGTCGGTCGGTCGCTAGCTCGCTCGGTGGGGTCGCTCTCGCTCGCTCGCTCGCATCGCTCGGTCTGTCGCTCGCTCTCGCTAGTAGATCGATAGATGGATGCTGGATAGATGGATAGCTAGGTAGGTAGATAGATAGAAAGATAGAAAGTACTTTATTGATCCCAATTTGGGAAATGTTTGCGTTGCAGCAGCATAAAAAACAAGGCAATGTACATAAGAGAAATTAAGACACAAGAAATAAACAGTCCAAAAATATTTCAGAAATAGAAATAAAATAGCATTAAACATTTAAAAGTTATCATCTATCATCTCCTTCGTACGATCCAGTGGAGGAGGACTTCCAGACCTTCTTCCACGGGGAGGACTACCACATCCGGCTGCCCTCTCTGGCGCTGGACGTCACGTTTAGGAACCGCTCCTCTCCGCGGTCCGGAGACGTGTTCCTGATGCGCGGCGGCATCGTGGTCAACAGTCGGGCCAAACTCAACAGCCATTTCAGCCACCTGATCATCGACGCTGTGGACGAGGGAGACGAGGGCGTTTACACAGTGAAGAACCCGGAGACGCTCCAGGACGTCCAGCGCACCACGCTTATTGTCCGAGGTACTGGAAGAGTGTGTTATACATTATGAATGGTAATGAAGCATAGCATCAACTGCATGCAACACTATCGCAGGCCGAACTGGAGTTTATAACACTCATTTAAAATCTGAAAAACGAATATGTGAAATTCAAAACCAAATCAAAGTTTATTTATATAGCCTACTATCACAAAACACATTTGTCTCATTGGGCTTTACAGATTAACAAACATAGATGACGTAAAAAATAATTAAAATTACAAGAAAATATCTTGTGCGCATACATTTATTTATTCCAATAATATTGCATTTATTTGTTTACCTAAATTGTTTTACCTTTATTACCTGAAGTACATGCTGCTGATAGTAATTCAACGCCCTCTAAACACTTCGCTCTCACTTGTAATATAGTGTTTTAGCAGTGAGTTATTGGTACTTTTATTTAAGTAAGGTATCTGAATAGCACCACTGGATGCTTCTGATATCTGATCTGGAGTCAGTGATGGTCGTGTCGGCGCTGTCACTTCTGTGACGGCATTAATCATGCAGGCAGCAGCTAAATAAACCTCTCAGTTACACATCGTGTTTGTCCTCCAAGTATTACAAGTTGCACCAGTGTTGACTGTGGTCTGTGACTGTGATGGGATTAGACACACGCACACGCACACGCACACACACACACACACACACACACACACACACACACACACACACACACACACACACACAGAGAGAGGGAGGCAGTGGGCTCAAATCCAGCGTGGATAAATGCAACTGTAGCGTAGCAATGTGCGCAAGATGTGCCATATGGAGGGCGTAATGTGTTGTGAGTTGATGAAGAGGTGTGTGTGTTTGTGTGTGTGTTCTGAAAGTGTGAGGATCTGCCAGGCAGTAATTATGCAGCTCTTTAACCACCAGCCCACTCCTCTCTCCTTCCCTCCCGCTGTTTTCCTCTCTTTATCTTGTCGTTGCTGCCTTTCCCTCTGCTTGGTTTGTATCCCTACCCTTTCATTTCAGCTGCCTTGATATTTTTGGATCAGTGCTCTTTTCTCTGCAATCTGCCCCCCTTTCTGCCACATCTGCCAAGCCATTCCCTCTCCCTTCCTCTCTCTTCCCTCACTCCTTCACCCCCCCATCTGTCCTTTCTCTCACTGCTCCTATGTTTCTATCATGTAATGGCTCTGCGACAGCAATGGCTGCAGGCATTATGGTTTCTTGTTGTCCATTCGTTAAACAGCTGTAACGTACAAACATCCATCCAAATGGACTCAAGGGTGAACTGATACTGTTTTGGTTTTCAAAATGTAAAGGTCACTGTAACGTCACAAATGATTGGGCTATAACCAAACAAATCATATGCTTAATAAGACAACTGTACACAGAAGTCTAGAAGGATAAAACAATGATGTGATGATATTTTGGACAGACATATAAACAATCGCTGTGTGCTAATTCTAGTTAACTTTACTCAAAGCCAATGAATTGTCTCTCTTTTTCACTCTTTTCTACTTAAAAGTCAGACCATTGACTAACTTTGTTGCTTCTTTTTATTCAAGAACACACTCTAACCCTAACCCTTATTTTACTTTCTAGATTGCTCCAACGAGCTGATCGTTAAATATGGAGATCACTTCAATATTCCGCTGTTGGGGATGACCACCCCCATCACCCTGGAGTACAGGCCCAGTGCTGTGGAGGCCAACCAGACGTCCAGGTAGAGTCAGCAAAACACACTATGTATTATATATAGATATTTTAACCCAAACTGAATCTTTAATGCCATTTTCCTACCTTGATATGCATGCCATGTAAAATACTTAAAGGGGCCCTATTATGCTTTTTGGGGTCTTCCATTACATGTAGTGTGTTATATAGGCTTTTGTGCATGTAAATGGTCTGCAAAGGCAACAATCCCAAAGTTCCCTCTTTCTCTCCCACACACGATCAGCTAACCAATCAGAGCAGACTCTGGTTTCAGACAGAGGGTGAACAGAGGTGCTGCAGCACAGAGAAAAATAAAGACCTTTTTGAACATTCAAGCATGGAAACATGTCACAAAATACAAATATGAACCACAAAATGTCTTCTTTGAATGAGAAAGGTTAAGGAAAGTTCACCCTCCCTGACTTTCTCCTCCTCAGACCTGCTCTGATGCTGCTGACCAGCACCGGGATGTCCAGGGACGGATACCAGGGGCGCATCAGCGTCAGCGAGCGCCACGCCTCGCTCAGCGCGGTCTCTGGGGCCGACGAGGGCAGCTACACCGTCAGGGATGCTGAAGGTGTTATCCAGAGGAAAGTGTGTCTCAATGTCAAAGGTAAAAGTGCAAATGAAGACTGATCGTATATATTTTTTTCTTCCACGCTTGACCGGTTTTAAACGGTCCCCACCTTCCATCAGGATGTTGTTGTTGTTGTTGTTTCATCTCTAGTTATTACGCTCCTTCTGTCTGCCGTAATGGCTTTTTAAAGACCCTAACGTTAATGGACTCCAGCAGGCTAATGCATTTAAGATGATTCATGTAAACAGCGCTGCGATGTACTTATCCTACGTCCTCCCTTCTCTGTCTCTCTGTGTCGCAGAGCATCAGAACTTTGTAAAGCTGCACCACGGTAAAACTCTGAAGATCAACCTGATACTCAACAGCTCCTTGGTGCACCTGTACTACACCTCCGACTACGACCACACACCCCATCTGCTGCTGGACAAGGGAGAATTCACAAGTGTAACCAAAGCCTTTTTATTCATTTTAGTCCCATTACTGTTGTGATTACTTTAGTCCCTGTATTTAACGTCAGGGATGGAGAAAATGATGTGAAATGGCTTTAACTTTTAAAGTAGGAACATAACAGAGTTGATATGACTGTAGGTTAAATGTTATTTACAATAGAAATCCTCTATGTGTTTGAAAACAAGTTGTGTATTTTATGAAAAGAGGTCATTACCTTAGGGATGAACACCATAGACACTTTTTCACACTGCAAAATCCTTATATTGTATGAGATGTGTATTGTTTAGGCTTACATTATTAACTGAATTTATATGTTTTGGCTTTCAACCTAAGCCAAATAATCCTGTGGGAAACTTTGTACACCTTATATTATTTATATGACACTTAAAGGTGGGGTAGGTAAGTTTGAGAAACCGGCTCGAGATACACTTTTTGTTATATTCCATGGAATGCTCTTAACATCCCGATAGCAATGAATATCTTAAGTGCTTTGACAAAAAATCCATAAAAAACGTCATCTGTGGAAGCCGTAGTACTGTAAAAAGCACGACCAATCATTTTAGCCGGCCCGGCTAAAATAACTGGATGGCCTACCTGCCTGTCAGCCTTCCATCTGTGCACAAACTTATCTCGTGCCCTCATTGGTCATGTGCGCGTTCGTGTGTGTTAGAGGAGGGGCTCTGTAAGGAAGTGGCAGATTTTTTCCGGCTGTGTATTTTCAAATTCTAGCGATCTCGAGCCGGTTTCTCCAAAATTACCTACCCCACCTTTAAGTCCCACAATTTGTCAATGTCAAGCCAATATTTCACTTGTTTTGTGGTTCATCTGGTAATGGACATTTAATCCAGTATGACTCACCTTTTTTACTCGTGATATCAAGTTAACTTCGCCATTTTAGTCTTTTACAAACAATAAGGATTGTTGTTTTTCGGTATTTTCTCCATTGCATCATTCATTAATGTCATCTGTATCCTTTCAGTTTGTTTATGTTAAATGTATAAATGTGTCTCTTCTAGGCCCAAGCAGATCTGGGTTTCGAGGAGCGTCTCTATATGGATGGTTCTTGGATTTTTCTGGATCAGGTGAAAACTTCTGATGTGGGCGAGTTCAAAGTGACCGACATACTGGGCTTCACCGTGTCCACCACCCACCTGGGACTACTGCGTAAGGACTGGGATGTGGCTGATGAGGAATGATTGAAAAATGAGCTAAATAATGTTAGATGTTAAAGGTCACCTATTATGCAAAATCCACGTTTTCATGTCTTTTCTACATCAACATGCACTGTAAAAACTGTTGCTTTGGTAAAACTTATAAAATATGTGTCAAGCGATTCCAAGCAATTTTAAGAGTTTAATCAACTTTTGCAATTTTTGAGTTGGTGAAATGTACTTTTTTTAGTTTTCCTCTACTCAAGAATGTGTTACTTTGCTAAAACTTAAAAAATATGTGTCAAGTGGTTCCAAGCAATTATAGGAGTTGGGTAAACTCACTAATGTGATTTTTTCTGCATATGAAAAGATGAGATGAGCCTACAATTAAAGCCCAGATATTAAGTGTAACCAATGCAAATAACAATCTGCTAAGAACCACACGAGAATAAAGTAAATAATAAAACACAATTGAGTTGCCGGAACCTATATACGACAAACTCTTCCTGATTTCAATCCAACCCTTTAAATATTTGATAGCATTGAAACATTGCAGATTAAACAAATAAATTAAAAAAGGGAACATTATGGACATGTTAATACATTTTATTAAAATGTGATTATTTCAAAACAGTTGTCATAAAAACACATTAACATACATGGAGACACATGGTTATTACTTGATGGTTATAACTGCATCTGGCTCTTGGGCAACGTATCACTTCATGCTGTGCATCACGAGCCTGTTGCACTTCGACCTCTGCTGTTCCCTGTAAATACAAACAAAACACTAAATTGAGTACAAATCAGGACACACCATGTGTTTTCCTCAAAACAAAAATCAAATCCGTCTTGAAAACATAACGAGCCAGTTTACATTAGCTGTTAACAGACGGTAACAGAGGTGCTATTCACATGCATTACAAGGGGTTTAAGCCATCAAAAAAAGGCTGGTTTGCAAGAAAATGAACCAAATAATCATGATATTGATATAGTTCATAAAATGTCCAACTACTTCTTTTTAACCCCACCTCATGCTCAGAGATGTATATAAAGTGGCACATGGGTCCTAGAATAAAAAGAACAGACGATTATTTCAACTTTTATCTTGATAAGTGAGAGCGCATGCCAGTCTACATGAATGCAGGGCAAGGCACGTTTCTGTCCAAAGGTTCCATGATGGAGTCGATAATGTTTTAAAATATCACTTTGAGTGGTGACACTAGTGCTGCATAGTTTACATCTCCATCCCATCTGTGATTCAAAAAATAGAAATGGGTACGTTTACCTGATGCTCATTATATTAGTATGTAAACATAACACGTCTTGAATTAACCTCTGAAACAACAACTAGTCTGACACACTCAAGGGCTTACCTAATGTGAACCTGAAGTCCATAGCAGGAGGCAAAATGTCTTCAAGAGGAGGTGTGACTGTTTTCTGGTGAGGCAAATGAAAGAACAAAATAGTTACATGATGACAATGTAACAATCATTTCAGTAGAATTCATTAAAACATATTTAATTCAATTAATGGAATCAAACATTAAAACACAAGTATCATTTAAAACGGTATTGTATTTATATACATTTATAAGGATGGCATTGTTAGATACCAGTACAATTCCATGATTCTCTACACAGCAGATCCTAATTACTTCAATATACACTCCTTTATCTCGTTTGCATACTGTCTAATATCTACTTTATGTTGTAGTAAAACATCTCCTTAATAAAACTGTATTTATTGATATTTCTCGCTAAAGACTGCATTTTACTGTACTACATTGAACACATCTTGCTGACGTTATACATGCATCCTCGCCCAATACACACTTTTACTGAATTGTGCCTGAATGCACCTTAACTGAAATCACCTCCGTCACTTTCTACTGAGAGCTAACGTTAACTCTCCTGCAGATTCCAACATGGATAGCGTTGCATAAGCATGAAAAATATAGTTTGCACTTAATTTTGTATAATAACAACTCGATGCTGTAACTGCAGACTGAGTTTAAATTGGGTACACTTAAGATTGTTGAAAGATAATTCATTGCTCACAGTAAAACAAACGGCGAAATACATATAGAGGAATTAATATCAAATAGGCGCATTAGTAACTTACTCTTACATAACCGCTGGGTTATAAAGTAGTAGGGAATAGTTTTAACGGAGGTATTTTACCGCACAACATGCACGGCAGGAGAGCCTCTGAGCCCCGCGGCCGCATCACGGTGCCCGGGCCAACGCTTAGAGCGGCATAGGGGAACAGTTTGCGGAGTTGATTCTTAATACGTACTCTTAACTTAACCACTTTTAACAGAATTGCGTCGGTAAGCACTTGATGCAAACTTTGCCCAACAACTTTGCGTGAAGAAATAGACTACATGAGCACGACAGGGCTGAGTCTAACTTTAACAGCAGTAATGGCGCTGGCATGCATTAAAATGTCGATGTTTCGTTCAAAACAGTGAATACAAGAAAAGTAAATAACACTTTCTAGTTAAAAAGCAGTAATTAATAACTCAGGCAGATCAGATTTTGGCCACTTTATGATGTCATAACGATTTGTTGGCTTGTGTAACCATTAGCCAATCACCAACCAAGGTAACCCCCCCCCACCTTATCACCTGAATCTCCTCCTCGAGCACCATTGTGTTTTTTTTAACCAAATATCTCTCAGAGGGGCGTGGGGAGGGGCTCCTTATTTTCATCTGAAGTAACAGACAGAGAATCAGCACTTTTGAAACAGGGCTGAAACAGAGGGGATTATGGGATGCTGCAATGATCAGTTTGGTGTTTCAGCCAAACACTTCAGAGACATGTTTTGTATATATCTGAGACCTATAATATATTGATGAGAAACAGAATAATAGGGGACCTTTCATATTGGTGTGGTAGCTGCTGAAGGATGGATGTTTTGTGGCTAAAAACTGGAATTTGAATACATCAATGAAATGTCAGATGAATTATTAGCTCTTCCACCTTTTCCCACGTTGCCTCCACACAGCCTACAGACTGGAGTCGCTGTACGTGGCCATCATTGCCATGTTGGGCTTCCTGGCTTTCCTTCTGCTGGTGTGTCTGCTGTCCTGCCTGATCAAAGTGAAGAAGAGGGGGCAGAGGGGGGCGGCCCTGGAGAAGATCGCCCAGAAATCAGGGGAGGACGAGGGAGAGGCCTTCAGACAGGTGGGGGGGACAAATGCACATATAATAATCATAATCATAATACATTGGATTTTTATAGCGCTTTTCCTAATGACATTGACATAACGGGATGAGGGTCATGTTGATGATGATTATCCTGCAGCGGTGGATGAACTACAGAGATCTTAAGTTACTTAAGTTCAGAAAGCAGGACCACAGTATAACATATCATCTGCTAAAAGTAAAATCCTGCAATCAAATTGATTGTTGAAGAGGACTTATTTTGCTTGTAGGACTTCTGCCTTTCCTGTAGTGTTATATTGGTTTTAAGCATGTAAATGGTCTGCAAAGGCTAAAATCCCCAAGTTTCTCTCCCACATGCCTGAAACACCTCCATTGGACTCCTTTGTTTACTTCTATGACATAATGACATCACTAAGTAACACTTGCGAATTAAAATATGGAACATGACAATTTGCATAACAAGGCCCCCTTAAAGTACCAAAAGTATAAATATATGTTCTGCACAACAGACCCTTCTAGAATTGCACCAATATTTAATTTTTTTATATAAAATGATTAAACCATTAGTGTGTTCATCACCTTAATGTTGCAGCTGGTAAAGATTGAGCTTATTTTCTTTAACTATAAATACGGCTTTTGAAATTCACTACAGGATCAATAATATTTAGTCTTTCATTTAATTAAACAATAATCCATTGTTTGTTGATTTTGTTTTGTATTAAGAATTTAAATCTGAATCTTTAACCTGTTAAGCCCGAGAGACCCCGGTACCGGGGCACTGCCGTAACATCTTGCAGGAAACAGTGTCTGAGGGAATGTTCATTTAATAAAACTATGAATGTTTTATATCCATGTAACGGGAAGAAACTCATCTAACTGATCTTTTTTTTTTTTTTTCAAAATAAAACCCACAATGCTAACACTGAGCCTCTGAATTAGCAACGAGCGAAAAATGCTAACACCTTACTGCACCGAAAATCACTCACAAAACCTTATTATTTAGCTTTTCACCACATCCAACACATCGATTCACATCGTGAGGTGACACAGAATCTATTGACACCGACATTACCACTGAATTATACGTATTTGCGACGTTATAAGCAAAAACGGACATCAAAACAGGTGACGCTAGGTAGCTAAAAATGCTAACATTTTTACCTTGGCTCTGTAGTCTCTCCAAAGTGGTCTTCAATGGCATTAAAACGATAAAAACGCTGCTGAAGTTAATCCATAGGTTAATCTAATGTGTCTGTGTCCCTTTGAAATGATTTCTGATAATCCATAAGCATTAAAACTGCTTTTCCGTTTCCAGATGTCAAAGCTAGAGATAGGTTCACTCTGATTGAAAATTACATGCGCACCTTTTGTCTTCACAATGTGTGTGTGTGGGGGACTCCCCCTTCGATTCTATTGGCTCTAACGGTCAGAAAGAGGTGTCAACCATCAAAATCGAGCAAGGGGGGCCAGAGATATGGAAAATCCACCCAAATGACCCCAGAAGTGGTTTCTTTTTGCTAAATCTCTCAAAAAATCTGAATTTTCTTTAAAATAAAAAACATCCATATTGATTCTGACTTTTCTACATCCAACTCACAGGTTTATCATTACTTTGAGAAAAAAGATTATTAATTTAACCCTTTTAGAAGGGAAGATATGGTCATTTGTTCTGGGAATGTCATTTTCGAGCCTGAGACCTGAAAAACAGGCTCAGGGCTTAACAGGTTAAATACATGTAGTGAAATAAAAAGTACATAATGTAGTAGAAACTTAAAGTGCTAATACTCAAGCACAGTAGAAGTACCAGAGAAATGTACTTTCTTAATCAATCAATCAATCAACAACTTTATTAATCCCGCAAGGGGCAATTAGTTATGAGCAGTTTATGTCATGTACACAGGCAGGAACATACAGGAAGAAAGCACACAGATACACCCGGGAGCCTGGATGTGGATCATTCCAATTTACACCATGAATAGTTCATAGCATCACAATAATAAATAAATAATCAAGTTAAAAAGCCTATCAAGAATTTAAAAGTTTGAGCACAGAGGGGATGAATGATTTTGAAAAGCGATTTGTCTTAAGAGCAGGTAGATCATATCTACGCCCTGATGGCAACAGATGAAAATAATCTGCAAGAACATGACCTGGAGAGGCCAGAATGCTCTCTGCTTTCAATACAGTGCTTGATATACTTAGTGTCCACCACCTCTATAAGATAAGATAAGAAAAAGATAAGATAGGATAAGATAGGACACAAGTTACACAAAGACTCTATCCTGATATCATTACATGACTACTCTTGTCTGTGTGCATTTTCTCAGGTGGTCAAGAACATCACCAAACTCAGTGAAGACTCCAAGCACTCCCAGGCCGACAACACAGAGAAGTCCCAGAGCACTGAGGTGGATATCAAAGTAAGGATATTTAACATTTCTTTCTTAAGTCTTTGAGAGGTTTTAATAATGTCTGAATTGACTAAACTATTTCCTGCGTTCAGACGGCTGCAGTTTATTCAGAGCGCTGCTGCTAGAGTCCTCTCTCACTTCACCAGAGCGGATCGCATCAGTCCAGGTCTCAGATCTTTGCAGTGAAGAATTCATTTTATATCTACTCCTGTTGGTTGAAGCAATGAATGGTTTAGAGCCCAAATAGATTTTTGATCTGCTGCTATGTTATGAACCATCCAAAACCTCTCAGGTCTTCTGGGACTGGCCTGCTTACCGCCCTGACTATAATAAAGCAGTGGGCAGTATCTGGAGCAAACTCCCAGAAGATCAGAGACGTGCTCCAGATCTCCGTTCTTTTAAACAACTCCTTACAAAGTTTCTGTTTGCCTCTTCCTATAATTACATTTCATTTTGGACTCTTTCTTGCACTGCACTGTAGCTGAGCTGGGACCTGTTTCAATAATTTCTCCTCTTCTTAAAACCTTCCATTTTATTTATGTATCTATTTATATCCCTTTGTGTCTGATTTACCTTGTCCTAACATATTTTGATGTCCTTCTGTAAAGCCCTTTGAAGTGCCTTGTTGTTGAAGGGGAAGCGATCCAAATAAACCTGCCTTACCTTGTTGTCTGTTTTAATCTCAGGGTCTGGAGGTTTCCTCTAAAGAGGTTGGGATGGGTAACCTCGACACCAGTGACTCTGGCGTTGGGTTTAACACCGCCCTCCCTCTGGACACTGACACTGATGCCGCCGATCATAACCTCGACTCTGTGGCTGTAAGCGTCTCTGAAGCCCCACCAAGCCCCCCGCCCGCTGCTGCTGCCGAGTCCAAGCCAAGCACTCCTCCTGCTGTGGAAGTAAAATCAAGTCCAGTAGTTAAAACTAAAGCCCCTCCAACACCTGAGCCTACAAAAACCCCCGAGCCCACGAAAACCCCAGATCCACCAGTTGAGATTAAGCTAGACGTGCCCAAACCTGCAGATGTTAAGCTCAGCCCAGCCTTAACCCCTGAGCTCAAGTTTAGTCTGAGTCCAGCTGATCCAAAACCTGCACCCACCCCGAGCCCAGAGCCCAAATCACCTGCTCCGAAAGCCCCCTCTCCATTACCTGAAAGTAAAAGTGCCCTGACTCCAACCCCTGAAAGTAAAAGTGCCCTGACTCCAACGGCTGAAAGTAAAAGTGCCCTGACTCCAACGGCTGAAAGTAAAAGTGCCCTGACTCCAACGGCTGAAAGTAAAAGTGCCCTGACTCCAACGGCTGAAAGTAAAAGTGCCCTGACTCCAACCCCTGAAAGTAAAAGTGCCCTGACTTCAACGGCTGAAAGTAAAAGTGCCCTGACTCCAACGGCTGAAAGTAAAAGTGCCCTGACTCCAACGGCTGAAAGTAAAAGTGCCCTGACTCCAACGGCTGAAAGTAAAAGTGCCCTGACTCCTACGGCTGAAAGTAAAAGTGCCCTGACTCCAACCCCTGAAAGTAAAAGTGCCCTGACTCCTACGGCTGAAAGTAAAAGTGCCCTGACTCCAACCCCTGAAAGTAAACGTGCCCTGACTCCAACCCCTGAAAGTAAAAGTGCCCTGACTCCAACTCCTGAGCCCTCTAAGCCCACCACACCCGAGCCCATCACCAACGGTACGCCTGAGCCAGACTCCAAACCCAGCCCGGATCACATTGATATCATCGAGGCTCCAAAAGCAGCTACCCCGAAAACCCCTGAAGTCGAGCCGAAATCTAGTGGCGCTGCAATGGAGGCCAGCAAAGATGGCGCCGCGGCTGAGGATCCAACCACCACCACCTGAGAACTGCCCCTGCAAAACACCAAGGGAAGCCCCACAGATATTCTCAATCTACCACCACTGACAATCGAACACCCCCCACCAAATAATGAAGAAACCACTGAAACTGGAGCGAGGACTTCGGTCCAACATGTCTAACACCTGAACACAATATTACTTTGATAACGGTATCTAACTCACAAACTAACACATAGCCTGTGAGACTTTTTGATTCACAACAACGTATACATATACAGTAACAGATGTGGCTTGTTGTTAAAATCTGTTTTTTGGTAACTTTATATTAGAACTGTCAGACTGCAAATTAACTCCTTTGCAGAGTTTACAAATAAAACTCCACATAAGGTTTTTCTAACATAATGAGGTAGCCAGAGAGGTTTACAACATTACATTAAAACAAATATTCTAGTATATTGTCAGACCTAACTGTTTCCAATCTAAAATGCTTGTTCCTCTATCAGCATGTGGATAAAATGCATGAAATTTACAGCCACTCAGATTTTTTTTTAGATTGGACATCATCAAAACAAGAAAATGAAAGCGCTTTGATCACACGCTGTACATACTGTAGCAGAAATATGGCCTCTGAAACATCTGCAATACATGATCACATATAGGAAAACAATTCGTTTTGCGTAACTTCACCAAACTAATAATACTAACTTTACTATTTATAGCCTCTGATATTGATATTCAGTCTCCCAATGGATATCTCCGCTGATTAAAATGTGTTTTGCCGACTGATCCCCAAAGTCCGGATCAACCACTTTGCTGCCTTTTGATCTGGATTTCCCCGCGGCTCTATAAAAGTCCCATTATTCCTTCAGTTTTATAGCAAGCTTATAACAGCAGCAACTCCAGCACTTAATAGGACCACCATGTTCCCGCTGTGTTTCCAAGGTGAAACCCTGAATGAAAGCGTCTGGTGAGGTCGAAAAGTTAGCACGTGCTAGCTTGTCCCTTCTTTTTTTGTATCAACCTTCCCTTCTTCATTGTCTACTAATTAAGTAATTCTTCCCTGACCCTTCCCCTTCTTTTTTTATCCCTTTTCTCCGTTCCTTCGCGGAGCATTACTTACTTAAAAGGACAGATCACCCCAAAACACAGAAGGCATATTTGCTCTGTTACCTGTGGTGCTGTTCATTAATCTAAATCGTTCTGGTGTGTGTTGCCAAGTGTTGGAGATACCTGCCGTAGGGATGTCTGCCCTTGTTTTAAATATAATGAAACTACATAGTACTTGGCTTGTGGTGCGCAAGTGTGCCAAAAATGAATTAAAAAAACACAACAGCAATGTTTCTTTCTACGTTTCTTTCTACCAACTAAAGTACACCTGCTACAAAGGGAAGCGTGCATCCACCTCCTTTTGCACGTGAGCGGGTGTAATTTGGCAGTAATAAAGTTGTTTCTACATTAAACTGATCGTAACAAGGTGTGTGGATTATCTTGATTATTGTGATATCTGGAAAGAAATATTGCTGATGAGTTTTTTTTGCAATCTACATTGATAAATGTTACCGGAAGTAAGAGCAGAACATTATTTTGCGGTGTCTCTTAAAGTACACAGCCTTTGACAGAGATTTGATTAATCTTTCCAACTAGATATTTCCTCTGAAGTATTTGGTTGTGTTGACAGTGACTTACAGTAGTTCCTGTTTCTTTAATGGGTCAAAACACTTCAATGATGCATATATGGAAGCCACAGCATCATTTGTGTGGCTGTTTAACACAGATCAAACGTAGCTGAACCTCCTGTATGGTAGAGGGACGTGTGCAGATACATTTTAGTGTTACAAAATGCATGTCTCTGCCTCATATTCTAACCAACCAATGGAAAGTCCAGGTTCATTGCACGGAAATCTATAAAAACTTTTTTTCAATTAAGCACAAAATGACAGCCATGAAATTCAGTTAGTGAGATGTGGGAACATTTCTTGGTAGCTTTCCTAAATAATAGATTTTTCTTACAGTTCAATTAATATCATGCGACACTTTAGCATTTTAAAGAACCATATGATGAGGGAGGTTTAGATGTCGGATTTGATACTAAGATCGACAAATATACTGTAATAATGAATGAAGGGGCCTCGATGTTCAATTTACAAAAAGTATCAGATAGTCAGATGTTTTACACAAACTCTGGATAGGTCTCATTTCTAGACTGGATCTGTAAAAGAAACACAAACCTATATTGGCAATACTAACAATTGTCTTTACACACACGCACACACACAAACACACACACACATTCCAGCCTTGTAAATATTGCATGTGTACGCCGGTGTAACCCCCTACAGGCTGAATGTTTCTCGTGTATAGAATGGTTGTTGTATTATACTGAATAATAAAGAAGAATTTAACATTTCTCACTCAAATTAAATCCAGAATATAAAATATATACGCTCACAGTACTATAATCTATCTACACTAATATTCACTAACATCTTGAACTAATTTAAGAACCAAATATTGTAAAAAAATCCATTAAAGAGTATATTAGATCTTTTGAGATCTGCTGTTATTGCCAACCTGACGGTACTCGCAGCATCCTTCACAGTATTTACGTGTTGTATTAAAATGTTTAACCTACGTCACCTAAAGCTGCAGCATGCCCACGACATGAAAAACAGGCTTTTATCGTCCTAAAGTGTGTGTGTGTGTCCAGAGGAGTGACGTTTCAATGTTGCCATCATTGTGTGTTTGGGGTTTCTGTGTTTTTGCCTATGACGCACACGTGTGAATGATTTACGAGTGGTTTATTGTGCGTGCTGAATCTATGCATAGCCAGCGTGTACAGAGTGACCCGACTGTACTTTATTTGAGCTTCTCCGTGTGTGTTGTCGAGTGAGGTATTCATGTGCCTGCTTAAATCGTCCCGCAACATGAAGAAACCAAGTGCTGTGTTTAAGTGTGAATGTGTGTAAAGCCACAGAATATTGTAAAAGATATCGTAACTTTGAGATATTTGAGTGACTCTTGTCTTTGTTTAGTGCCTCTTGTCATTTGCCGACACTCCTAATGGCACCTTTTTCTTGAAACGTAGGGTATTCACGAAACATTTTCGCACACCCGACTGAACAACAAGTGGCTGGCCTGTGATATGCTTTGGAGATATCTATAATGTATAAAAACGTTGAAAGTGATTATGGTTTTCCAGATTAATATAAGTAGCATAATGAGTGCTGATGGCGCTCTGTTTGTAAGTGAGTGGTGTTTCAAATAGCATTATTCAAGTCTGTGGCACAGCAAGGAGTTGGTGAGTGATCAGATGAACGCTTTGTAACCAACAGGGTTTGGTTGTGGTGAGCATTTGACGAGAGACTGACCTAAAAGCATTTCCATACACCACCGCTACTGTACAGTATTATTGTCAGTGATTGTAATACCAAGCCACTCCAGTCAGAGTGAGTAGGGTTGTGAGAGAGGCAGGACAAGCCTTTAGTTTACCAGCATCTCAAAGAAGGCTCAGTCTGGTGGGTTATTGGAGATTCTGGTGTTTTACCCACCAATAACTAATAGATAACTACTAGTTTTACTACCACTTCTGCACTTCTTGCACTATGTGAGTCATCTCTGCCCTGATCTTCTCTGTTTACTTCTGCTGTTCTGGCCTTGGTGTGTGCGTGTATGTGTGTGAGAATGTGTGTGTGTATGTGTGAGTGTATGGTGTGACATCTCTCTGTACTCCCTTTTTGCACAACACTTCACACACAGATGTTTTGTAAAGAAAATATTTTTTGTTTCTTTATTTCATGTCTAAAGGAATACTAAGAATAAACAAGCGATTATGACATTTCTGCCGTCCTCTTGTCTTTGTTTTCCTATTCTCTCAAACTGTTTTCTCTCCCTGTCAATGAGTCGTCTCACTCAATGTCAGCCATCAGAGTGTCACGCGCCACTTTCTCACCCTTCAGGCCCCACGTGCCACTAATACCAGCTTCTATACCCTCGCAGGACACATCATAGCTAAGCAGCCACAACAGAGATATTTATAGCCGAACAGAGGTGACATCATAATGTTCACACTTGCAGATAACAACCTTCATTTGAAGCAAATATGTATTTTACTTTTTAAGTTACAACTGTAAAACATCATTTAAAACAGAAAACATACTTGTATAGGCATGTTTTATGTTTGTACTGAAAAATCATTTAACAGTTTTTAAGCAAGTGGTATTCACAGTATACAATTAGATAACTAACGATTGTTTTCTTTATAAATTAATATGTCTGTTACTTTCTCAATCAATGTATCATATTGTCAGTAAAATGTCAAAAAAATGTAACAAAATTGAGGTGAAGTCATCTTTTTTCTCAATCAATTAATCCTTCTGTTAAAATTACAGGAAATTGAAAAACGTCCAAAGAAAATTGAAATGCTGTTATTTCACATAAGATGAAAATGATTTCATACTAACCATACTTAATTAATAGTTGCCACTTAATTATCTTGTCTCTTAAGCCCTGGCCAAAAAATGATATATACTGTAGTTTTATTAACATTAAATGAACAATTTGTGTTGTAAACCTCTGCATCAAATGGAAGGGTTAAACATCTTAAGGGCCGCCACGTTCCTCCCTTCGTCTGCGTCACACGGGTTAAAGAAGGGGAACAGAGCCACGCCGACATACTCCATGGAGAAGGTGTAAATAGGCGACATGGTGACAGCGTTATAAAAAGACAACTCCTCCTTCTCACAGTCTAAGAACAACCCGATGCGGACGAGGCGGGTGGACACGTTGACCTTCGTGGGCTCGGGGTCGGTGCAGGCCACCACAGACCCGCCCTTCATGGCCATAGTCCAGACGCCGCTGGAGGTTCCTGTCGCGTCCATCTCCCCTCGTGGGACGTCAGCTCGCGCCACGCCCAACCTCCACGCTGTCTTACGTCCCACCTCCACCTCCCAGTAGTGTCGTCCAGTGGTGAAGCTCTGGTGGCCGAACACAGAGTAATAATAGTGGAACCGCTGAGGGTTGGGCTGGCAACCCTTCGTGTCTTTATCCTCCTCAAACCACACTGAGGTGCAGGACTTGGACAGGGATAGGTTAGGATGGGCCGTCTCAGGGTCAAAGGTCATTGATGTTATACCTGTAGGCAAATAGAGTACGTTTGTATGTGGTTAATCAAATGACATACTGTAATGGCAATTCAGCGAGGAGAGTACTAGGAAACAAGGGAGGTGGGGACCAATCTGACAACTTGTCGATGAGAACTTTAAGAAAACCTGTTATGCTCATTTTAAGGTTCATATTTGTATTTAGTGCCTCTACTCTTTTCACCCTCTGTCTGAAACCAGAGCCCAGTCTGCTCTGATTGGTTAGCTGGCCGGCTCTGTTGTGATTGGTCAACCGCTTAGAGATGTCCCGCCCCTTAGCACTATCACGTGCAATGTGTTTGAGCACAGGCCAATAGAAGCGCGAGTGTTACATAGTGATGTCTTTCAGTGTATGTTACAAAAGTAAATAAAGGAATCCAATGGAGGCGTTCAAGGCAGAGAAACATTTGGGATTTTAGCCTTTGCAGACCATTTACATGCACAAAAACACGAGACCCATGTAAAATAGTTTAGAGAGATATGTATCAAGTTTAAGGTTTGAATTTGTTTGCACACATGCACACACTTGTAAATGGGAGATAGTGTGAACATACTTGGGTAGAGCCAGCTTTTCATGTGCTTCCATATCCGGTACTGAATGGGACCCACAAACTGTCCGGAGCGCACCTCAGTGTCCACCTCTGCTGGAGGTTTGAAGCTGACCTGGGACCTGTTAGGACAAAGCAGGAAGGGGGAGGACTGAATGATGAATGGTGGAACATCGATCGGGTAAACGCACCACAGTTTGAGGGTTATGGAGATGGATTTGATGTGCAGAAATGAGAGGAAATGCCCAGCATGCTCACACAGAAGATTACTGAGAGAAAGGGAAAACAGTTTGGTTGAGAAGACCTGCCTTTTTATGAGATCTTGAATTTCCTGCAATGAGACAAAACATTTCAAGGAGAGTTAGTGGAAATAATCACATTGTCTATTATGTCATGTTATTATCTTTTTCAATCCATATACACAACAACTATTGCAGTTGTCTTTCATTATTTTGGGGCAGGTTTTCTGAGAGCAATTTTCAGTTTGAACTAGAAATGCAAGCTTTGACCTCAGCCAGATTGCTGCCTGTTCCTATTTGCTGACTCCCTTTCACTTTTAAATGAGAAATTGATTGTGAAAGTCAACCGTTTAGCCAATCAATGTCTATAATTGTTCAAAGGAGTGCAGAGGAAGAGGGGCAGAACAGCTAACAGGGTTGCTCTGCAGCTCTTCATGTTAACCTGCACAGTCACATTGTTTCCCAGCAGCTCCAAGAGAAGGAGCAATTATAGACAGTTATTTCGACAAGTCACGAGTGGTAAGTATAGTTTGTCGCAGGCCAAGGGGAATGCTTGCAGTGACCCTTTGTGACCCCGTGTGTGGCCCTGCTGCTGGGGAAGGAAGTTTCCAGAGTGTCATATGGAGGGAGTCCAAACTATTTTACACCTCTATCTTACATTAGCTCACCCTCTGTCTAAATGGTTACAGTCTATTCAAGCTAATAATAAGCCACATCTCTGCATGCTAATTTCTTCTCTTCCTCACTCTGAGCAGTTTGGGATGGTCCTCCTCGGTCAGTTTTTTGTTGAGGACATATATCGCTGTCTCCAGGTCTGTCGCTTGCGCTGCTATTTTCTTCTCCCTCTCTTTGAGCTGCTTCACTTGTTTCTGTCTCTCTCTCTGAAGTCGCTCCAGATCCTTACATTCCTCCTCATCCAGGAAACGATGGAGGTTCTCAAACTCGGATCTGACTTCTCGTTTGAGGGCATCAAAACTGTTCTGAAAGAGGAGGAGTTTAGAGATAATGAATGTGATGATATGGATAATCTTTTCTGTTTTTGAACTGTAAAGAATATCACAGTATGTGCGGAGGAGGATTAGGGCCACATGTTAACATTGTTTTGAGAGCTGATCAAAAGTGAAATGTTGTTTTTGTGATCAAAGTCAGATTTCTGAGATTTTCAGAAAATTATAATATTTTTTTCTCAGAGATCAGAAAAGAATGTCACCTTTGGTCAGATCTAAAAAATGTTTTCACATGTGGCCCTAATCCTCTACCGCAGGGCTATTCAATTAGTTTGGAATGGGGGCCGGTTGATGAAAATGATCCAAAGGAAGGGGCCGGGAAAAAGATGGCTTGAAATATGAGCAATCATATTAAGAGCTTCAGATACAGTAAATACTACAACAGCATAGTGGAGTGGAGTGCATATATTGTGTTTAATTCAATCAAACAACATCGCCCCAAGGCCTTTAGAGATCTAAATGGCAGGTTCAGAACTCAGTACATGTGAAGCTAATTTAACCATCAACATCATTTCATTTGATTTAGGTGAAATGATCTAATCATTCACGCAGAGATGCAATAAATGACAGGAGTTGTCACTACAGTAGCTAGTAGGTGGGTTTGAAACCTGAGCCCGCCGAAGTTTTCAGGCAATGTCTTCCCCTCTATCTCTCAATTTAATTGTTAACACCCTCTCTGAAAGGCACTCTGGCCCCAAAAAAAATCTTTAAAAAAAAAAATGAGATTACTTTTTAACAATATACTCAAAGGGCCAGTAAATATCACCCCGGGGCCGGATTTGGCCCGCGGGCCGCCAATTGAATCGCCCTGCTCTACCGTATATATGAATGTAGTTTTAGTCAAACTTCTTTAACTGCGTCGAAAGAGAGTATTTTAGTCAAAGATGAGAATTAATAACGCAGTAACAATACCTCTACGCCCAAAGACTCTATGAATGTCTTCGTCTCTGCTTCCCTGCATTCGTCTACCTCGTGCTTGATTCTTTTAATAGCCTGGATAAGCTTTTCCTGTAACACACACATACACACACACACACACACACACACACACACACACACACACACACACACACACACACACACACACACACACACACACACACACACACACACACACACACACACACACACACACACACACACACACACACACACACACACACACACACACACACACACACACACACACACACACACACACACACACACACACACACACACACACACACACACACACACACACACACACACACACACAATTGGAGAACAAGTACACATGAAACAGAAACGTTACTAATTTAATATCCTGCAAACAAATACGATCTTTGAAAAATGAATACAGTCACATTATGTTAGACAATGTCTCCATGTCAGCAGCTGGTGAAAACCATGAAACATCGGCGCTTACCTTTTGATCACTGAGAAGACTTTTACTGCAGTTGTTGTTGTTGGTGCCTTTGTAGTGATTTTGGTTCATTCCAGTAACTGCAAATTGGACAAAATAGAAATGTATTGAGCAAAGTGCAATATTAGAGCTGGACTGAGTGAGAGGGAGAGACACATTGGAGGACAAAACAATACAGAGAGGGAGAGGGAGTAAAAGAAAGAGGGGGGGAAACACACACACACACACACACACACACACACACACACACACACACACACACACACACACACACACACACACACACACACACCACACACACACACACACACACACACACACACACACACACACACACACACACACACAGACATGCTAGAACAACAGTAATGTAACCGAGCATCAAGAGAGAGGACATACATCTTACAGAAAATGAACAGGAGAAAATGTATTGAGCACAGATCAGGGTCCACAGCCTGACTTGAGTATATATGGATTTATTAAGAGTAGAGAGTGAAGGGGTGTGTGCATAATGTTGACTGTTTTAGCCGACAGCAGCGATTTATGGCTGGAGACACAGGAGGGTCTATTCTATTTCTGTCCGCCAGCGTCTTTGGAATCAAAGCAGATTCTGTCGGTGTTGGGGGGCAGATATTGTGTTTCATATCGACAGGTTTCTTTCTTTCTTTTGGGCCTGGAAAGGTAGACAATACGTGTTTATTTTTGCAAGTGGGCTCTACTAATGTCTGGAAGAGGATGCAGAAACTGAGACATCACAGCTCCTGCTTTAGTTGCAGTAAAGGATGCTCAGTTATCCCTGCTGGGGTTCATATTGTCTGAGAGGTTCATACAGTCAGCATTTCTGCTCTGTTCCCCTGAGTAAATATCTGCCTCCCAGCCAAAAGCCTATCCTGTTTTTATCTGTCCATTTATCTCAACTTCTTATATATTTTCCTCTGCCTGTCTCCCCCATCAACCTTGACACACACGGAGGTCTGGCTGTGTGCGTGCGTGCGTGCGTGCGTGTGCGTGTGCGTGTCTGTGTGCGTGTGTGTGTGCGTGCACGTGTATGTGTATGTGTGTGTGTGTGTGTGTGTGTGTGTGTGTGTGTGTGTGTGTGTGTGTGTGTGTGTGTGTGTGTGTGTGTGCTTGTGTGTCTGTGTGTGTGTTTGCACTGAAGCAGAATTGCTCATCTCTGCAAATGTTCATAATCTATTATTCATGGCGCCTGGTCCTGGCACTGCTCTGATCTGCAGACTCAGAGCTCTACAGTATGCGGCAGGGGGAGAGGACACTGACAGGAGGATTAAATAAAACCAGGGGATAAGAAACTGCTCACATGTTGTTTTACTTAATCAATAGTAGTATTACTAATTTGTAAAAATACAAGTTAAAGTCCTGCATTTCAAAATCTTACTTTAGTAAATATACAAAAGTATTGGCATCAAATTATACTCAAAATACCAATCGTAAAATTACTCATTACCATTTGAGAATCACATATATCAAATTAAAGTAGCTTAACATGAAAAATGTTTGAGTAAATTACAATAACCTTGAAATTGTTCTCAAGTACAGTACTAAGGCCCACTGCTAGAAGTCATGAAGGCGTGTGAAGCTAGTCCTGACTGAGGATCAAAGCAGCTGTAAATGCACATTTCAATTTAAAGGTAGGGTAGGTAAGAATGGAGAAACCAGCTCGAGTGCGCTAGAATTTGAAAGTACACAACTGAAAAAAATCTGCCCCTTCCTTCAGACTTCCTCACAGAGCCCCTCCTCTAACACACGAACGCGCACATGACCAATGAAGGCACGAGATAAGTTTGTGCACGAAATGGAAGGCTGACAGGCAGGTAGGCCATCCAGTTATCTGCCGCGGGCCGAGGCAGATGATTGGTCGTGCTTTCTACAGCGCCACGGCTTCCACAGATTACATTTTTTTATATATTTATAGCCAAAGCATTTAAGATATTCATTGCTATCGGGATGTTAAGAGCATTCCATGGAATATAACAAAAAAGTGTTTCTGAAGGGAATTACCTACCCCACCTTTAATTAATCTTTTTTTAGTTTATGTTTAATTAGGAGATCTTTAATCAAAAGCAAACTATATCTAATACTCACATGTTTACAGCATGTCAATTTTTTTAACGTCATGCAGAAATAAACATGTAAGCATTATTTCTACATAAAGGCATATATATATATATTCATTTTCGGGATCATAAACTGTCATACAAAGACACACCATATCACGAAAATGGCATTACAGGTATTTTATTTTGTTTTATTACATTTTTCTATTTGTATTCATACATATACATCAGATTTGAAAAATAAAAACACGTCATGTTTGATTATGGTGCAGTCTAGTGTTCAGCCCTTTAACAACTCTGTTATAGAAGCTTAATAAGATACAAGCTCAGAGACAGTGAAGTCAGCTCCATTCCCAGCCCTGTGTGGTGCAGGCGGGAGAGGTGCCACTAGATATTAGAGGTAAAGTGGTTAATGAGCAACTCCTGGGCTAACCTAACAGGACAGGAAGAACAACACCTCTCTAAAGTGCTGCTGCAGGAGTAACAAGGCAGAGGACAAGGTGGTTAAGGTTGGCAAAAGATACACAGAGGCAAATTGCATATATTCTCTATCACTTTGGGTCATTTTGAAACAATCTTAACATTCTATAAATCAAAACTATATTGCATATCTGCGAAAGGTTACACTTACTGTTTTTGTTATTGTGTGATGTTATTAAAGGACTGATTTTGTTTGAGGAATGCATTGATAAAGTGTCTGTAAACTGATTTGGATGGGGTCAATTGATTGATTGTATATGTTGTGATCAACCTGTCCAAACATTTTTAGATTTTGCATAATTCTGCTTTATTGCAATTTTATTTTCCTTTTTTGTAATGCTTTTTTAATTTCACCATCACCAGATCCTTATTCAAAAGGTCTCAGAAACTCTAGAATTAGGGGTTTTAATATGTAAAGTATCATCATTTGATTTGATCAGACAAACCATTGAAAACGGATTAATGATTATGCTTTAAGAGAGGCAGCAGGTGGCGGTAATGCTCCGGATCGATGGTTGCACACTGCCATTGAAGGCGTAGAAGAAGATAACAACGACGTCACAACGTAAACAAAAGCATGTCGCACAGACAGAATCAAGCTAGAGGTACCAATGGGTCTCAATAATAAAAAAAAATTGCTTTGAATTGAATAGAAAGCTTGTTTGCACACTTTAAATTAATATAGGTGTATATTTTCAGCAGCTTCTGAGAACAGCAGCTCCGTTAGTTAGCGAGCTAGCTATGTGAGCTAACGTTTAGCTTAGCATACAGTAGCTTCTTATGTGGTTTGTAATGCAGCCCGAGTTACTACAATTACCTCTAGTTTATATATATTACTGTTAGTAGATGGTTTAGTAATTATTCCATTATTTGCATCCTTTATTTAAGAAATGAACGGTCAAGCGGACGTCGAAGTTGACTACAAGCGGAAATACAAAAATCTCAAGCGAAAATTAAAATTCCTTGTTTATGTAAGTACAGATAATCTATATGTGTTCAGTCAGTCATTAGCAATCGAGTTTAGTACTTTATTAATACATATATGTGTCATTTTCTGCATTGATTTCGTGTTTGTATTCCCTTTATTCAGGAACAGGAATGTTTTCAGGAGGAGTTGAGGAGATCACAGAGGAAACTTCTCAAAGTGTCCAGGGACAAAAGGTGAGGGCACATTTTTGCCATATTTATATTAATTAGACATTTTGTATTTGTATACATTTGTGTTCCAATGTTACTTGCCACCTTTTCGGTGTGTTTAAACATAGAAAAATAAAGTAACCCTCACTCAGGACTCTTAGCCCAGATAAAATAACCCCGAAAAAAAGAAACTCACACAAAATAATTTATTTAAGGACAATGAGAATCATTTCAAAGGTACTTACTTCAGAGAACAGATGCTTAGGGAATCAAGTATGGTCCAGACAATATTTAACAATTAGATTATAGGCTGGAAATGGTCAGATTAACTTGTTACGGGATTTTTCACCTTTTTCTGATTGAAGAAAAATACATTGAATGATTTAGCAAGGATGTGGTAGAAGGGGTTATAGCGTTTCTAATGTGACCTGATATGTCAACAGCTATGGCAAACCTAAAGGCAACAACATTAGAATCTGTGAGCTGGCTGCTATAACAGGGCAGGGTTCCAGTGAAACATCAAGGGCTTTCTTTTATGTACTTAAGAAACAAAAATGGCTTATTCTAGACAAGAAAAAAACTTGAACGTGATCAAAATGTGAAGGTGAGATCACATTGCGTGTACTTGAAAATGTGTTTACGTTAAACAATATCCTTCACTTGTTTTCTAGCTTCCTCCTGGACAGACTGCTACAGTACGAGAGGGTAGATGAAGACTCCTCAGGTAATCCAAACTTTCTTAACAGTATCGAGTGTTTATGACTACGTAAATGCACGAGTTGTAAACAGTAGGTTGATTTATGTTTTCTTGTCTTCTGTTCCAGATTCAGATGCAACAGTTTCTTCAGAAAACAGTGAAGGAGAAGCCCCCAGGGAGAGGGAAAGAGAACGAGATGTAACAAAGAAGTAAGCCAAACATTTATACTCACTGACTTGGTGTTGCCTATTGAACCGAGTGGACCACTGTGAGAAAACATTTTGCACTGTGAATGCCCTTTCTGCCACACTGAGTTTCTCTTAATCTCTCATGTACTCTTTTCAGGAGAAGAAGTACATGGTAAATGGACTGTACTTATATAGCGCTTTATCCAGTCTTTACGACCCCTCAAAGCGCTTTACATACTACATGTCATTCACCCATGCACACTCATTCATACAGAGCAGTGTACCTTACTCTAGGAACTAACATTCACACACACTCACACACACTCACACACCGTTGGCCATGCCATCGGGAGCAACTCAGGGTTAAGTATCTTGCCCAAGGATACATCGACATGTTGGCTGCACGGGCTGGGATCGAACCCACAACCTTCTGGCTGAAAGACGACCGCACTCCCTCGCAGCCACAGTCGCCCCCTTTCTGCCACACTGAGTTTCTCTTAATCTCTCATGTACTCTTTTCAGGCGAAGAAGTAGTCCTGGAGCGTGTCTTCCATCTTCCTCATCCCCTCATCTCTCCCTGCTGTCCCGTTCTGGTGTGAACCCCCTGCAGTCCTCAGGCTCTGGACCTTACCTCAACACCGTGAGTTTCCATCTCCCTTTATTATTTCTTAGTGCGGCCAGCAAGATGAACATTGCTGCCACTGCCCTGTCCTCATCTGCAAACATCTGTGTTTTAATTTGGCATTGTTTATATCATTTGATTATTTTTTCATTTAATTCATACGTTTTTATATCTTCATTTGGTGTTATTCAATGTTTATTATGGCTCCACTGTCGTTGCATTGTTCATTTTTCTTTGTATTTTTTTGTGTGTTTTTGTGTGTCTGTCTTGTAATGTTGCCATGCATGTGTGTTTGTGTGTTCATTTGATGTTTGGGGCCCTGCGTGTGTCGGGCAGATGCCCTTCCCACCGGAGTATTTGGCTCCTCCAGCTGAACGAGTGAAGAAAGAGAGAAAAACAAAGACGCCTAGAAACAAGAAAGAGACAACGGGGAAGGTGAGAGAGGAAGAGAAAAAAAAGATATTCATAGATTACAAAATACATATTCACTGCTTTCCTCTTACATATATTAATGTGCCATTTATGTTAATTAGCACCCAAGTCCATTCCAGTATTTAGGTCACAGAATATATGCATAGCAACAAGGAAATAATATTTGTTTACTTCTATGTTCTCCTTAGAGAATCCAAGATGTATGTATATAGTGTGATCCAGAATTAGCACTAGCATGAGCATTAGCTATTCTTCCTGATGTCACATAAACAGTCAAACAAACATTGACACACTATAGTCACATTAACACAACTAACAAAACAACTCATCCCAAGTATGGAAGTGCAAACAGAGGCTGTCACCCTTTCAACCATCTTACAGAGGCCCGATATTGTTTTTTTGGTTTTTCCATTTCTTGTAGTGTGTTATATAGGTTGTTGTGCATGTAGATGGTCTGCAAATGAGCATAATATGTCCTCTTTAAGCCAAAGACAAAACTAAATGAAATTGTTTGAACACAGACGCAGTTCAAATATAATTTCTGAAATGAAGGTCGTAGCCAATCTTTAGTATTTTCTTGAACAATATGCACCGGCAATGAATTGGTTGATTTTACCTTCTTGCACAATATTGCAGATGGGTTTTAATATATTAACTCAACTCAACTTCAATATTTATTTTTAATAATGACATTCCAGGACACTGATTTGCTGATTCTGGTTGATTACTGATTTATTATCTTTGCTGATGTATATCTGTAATGCAGTTATCCATCCAGTTATACCCCTCATTCCTTCATCTTATCTCAATCTCCATCCCTTTGTCCTTCCTCACATTTTCACTCTTATTTTGCATTCCTCTCAGGTTGTTGCCCCCATGGCAGCCAATTACCCATCAGCCCCTGCGGCCCCCCCGGCAGCCAGCAGCCCGTTCAGCTGGGTTCCCCGACAGATGCTGAGCGGAGACGCAGCGGAGGAGGAGGGGGAGAGCGACGGAGACAGTGACAGAGGAGATGAAGACAGAGGGGAGGGAGACGAGGCTGAACTGGTCATTGACCTCCCTAATGAGTGAGCCGCAGTGTGTGGTTAGATGTATTTATAAGCAAGGGATGCAGGGTTTGTACATCTGTGTGTGTGTGTGAGTGAAAGACAGAATGTGACTGAATGTATTTCCTGTTTTCAGTAGCTTCTTCCACTTTCACCCCTCCCCCTTGTGGACTTTTTCCTAATTGCAGTATCACTATCAAAAAACTCCCAGATAGATGTGGTTTTTATATGTGGAGAATTACATTTGTGACTAAATAACAGTTTGACAAGTGTTTAGGAGAAATCCACAGCCAGTGAGATGAATGGATAGTTGTTAACATTTCCAAGCTGCTGATTATTTGTCTAAACAGTTTTAGCAATCTACAAAGTGTGACTGAGACTAGGTGTGTCCTGCATAAAGAGAGCTTTGGTTTATTTGTTTTTGCATTATCTAAACACCATCTCCGACTTTGGTATTGCATAAATGCTGCACTCCATTAAAGCTAGTTACGTCTTTTTTTACTCGTTACAGGAGGTTTTGTCGTTTCTACTTCTGCAATGTTCAATTTCTTTTTCACAATGTGTCATAAGTCAAAGCTACACCTTGTCAATTCCAATGTGTTTTGCACCTTTTCAGATGTGTGTGTAAAATGTCATGCTGTCAAACTAAAAGATTTTGTTATAAATTGAAATTGTGTGTCACGTTTCATTCACAGATTCTATGGACACAATGCTACACAAACTAGTTTACATAAAACGGTTTATTAAGGTTGTATGTTTGTCTTAAACTAAGTGTGTAGTGTGCCCCACCCAAAGCATCACACCCTAAAAATCTCATTCCAGAGTTACAGGTTATGAGGTGTGCTACAGTCTGTGTGAACACTTATTGTACCCAGGACATGTGTACTTACCACATTCACTACATACAAGCTGTGTTTAAGAACATCTTAGTGAAACCTGGTTCATGTTAGTTATGCACATGTTGTTTTTCTTGACTTGATTGCAAAGAGTCCTTATTCCACTCTTGATAGAAGCCCAGGGGGACATTTGGCTGATGTTTGCCAAAACTCTTAAGCAACTTAAGGGCAGAATAGCTGGACTCCACCTCTCCTTCATGCCAAAAAAGAAAGCTTGACATGTTTGTGTTCACTCTTACTCATGCACATGATAATTAGATAGCATGCATATTGCTGTTTAAGACCAGTCAGTGCCAAAAACGTGTCTCAACATGCATTTCTTTAATAGAAAACCAACTGTAATATGTAAGAGGGAGTGTGTTTTTATCCAGGAAGAGCTCAATAATCGCTGCACTCTGTGATACAATGACCCGTGACTTTGACACCGTCAGGATTAAGTTCTAATGAGGATGACATTGTTAAATTTAGCTCAGTCAGTGACATTTTAGCTGCTGTTATAAGTGAGAACTCCTGCCTGATAAGGAAGTATCTTATCAAAGCTGCTGTATCTTATCAAAGCTGCTGTACCTTTTCAGCACTTCTCAGGAATGTGATTTACACAGTAATAATGGACAATGAGAGTGTGTCATTCCAGGTTCTAACCTGTACAACGACCATTGTTTTGGAATGTGGACTTGCAGGTATTGGGCAGCTTTTGATGGGTGTGTGCGTTGCTTGTATACTTTACAGCAGTGGGAGTTAAAGGTGTAACCATATAGAGTGCTTAAGAGGGAGGGGTGAAGTGGAGGTACTGCCAGAGGGGGCGAGGGAGAGTGGAAGAGGGAGGAACTGACAGAGGGGGCGAGGTTGTCAGTGAAAAGGGAAATGAAGGAGTAAGCAGGATTGTGCCTGCAATACAGATCCACTCTGCTGACTTTCAAATAACACAGCCATGGTTGGACAAAAACTGCAGCAGAGAACCAGGAGCCAGTGAGGAAACAACAACCTTATCTTTCCCATCTATAAACGGAAACCACTGGATAATTTACAAGCCTCTCCCTCCTGCTCTGTGTGTGTGTGTGTGAGGCAGAGGGGGGATTTGCTGAGCTCACCACCACCATGCTGCGTCCTGCTGCTGTCAGTGCAGCTGTGAGTGTGTGTGTGTGTTTGCTGCTGGGCCTGTCTCTGGCAGATGAGGACTCGTCGGAGCCGAGCCTCTGCAGCGGCTGCTTCCACAGACGGACGCCTCCTCAGGGGGGGTCCTCGGGGCTGCGCTCGCACTGCCACAGCCTCCCCGGGGGACAGACGTTCGCCTCGCTGTCCAAACCGTCCTGTGACACAGCTGTCTGCACGGCCTTCACTCTCAGCATCGCAGGGACGGAGGAGGGGGGAGAGCATGTTGATGTGGTAAGGCAAATCTATTATGTTGTTTACAGTAGGACTACCTGCTTTTGAATGATGGATCTTGAAAAAATAACTGTATAAATCACAGATGGGGATTCCAGGATGCAGTTTTCGAGTACTTAATTATTTCGATTCTATGCTCCTTTATACTTCGACTCACCTTCAGAGAAACATGATATGTGTTTACTCAACTGTACATCTGACAGATATAGTTTCTATTCAGATTAAGATTTTATATACACATATGATAAGATAATATAATAAAAGCATTGTTGAAAATGAATCCATTTGTTCCTAAACTCTTTGTGTTTATTCAAAAGAACTCCTAAGCTTTTGAAATGATTAATCAAACATGTAATACAATAAATCATATTTGAAAGTACCAGCTGACGTATATGTAAGTTAAATGGGGCCTATTTGTCTCTTTCCTGTAGTGTGTTATATGGGTTTGTGTGCATGTAAATGGTCTGCAAAGGCTAAAATCCCTGTATTCCTTCAAGAGGAGTTTCTCTCCCACCCCCCCCCCCCCCCCCCCCCCCCCCCTTCATGAAATGTCTCTATTGGAGTCCTTTGTGTACTCACGTAACATAGTGACATCACTATGTAACACTTGAGCTTTCTATTGGCTACAACACATTGTACGTGATAGGCTAAGGGGCGGGACATTTCTAAGTGGTTGACCAATCACAACAGAGCCGGCCAACTAACCAATCAGAGCAGACTGGGCTCTGGTACATTAAAGCATGGAGACATGTCCCAGTAGAGGCTCAAAATACTATACCTGAAATTAGCATAATAAACCCCCCTTTATTTAGGGTTATAATGTACACTTGCATATATGTTACTCATACTGTGGCTCTTCTTGTTTCTGGCAGACAGAGGAAGACAACAAAGTAGCGGTACCAGCCCTTCTCAGAGGAGGGGATACATCTCACCCTGTCTCACCCACAGACTCCCCCCTTCAGCTCTGGGACGCCACAGTCACAACACTGGTCCAGTCCACCATCTCTCCCAAATGCAGCTCTTTAGGCGGAACTCTCTACATCCTGATGGGGGTAGGGCGTCTCGGGGCGGCTGAGGATGGAGACGAGGAGTGTCAGACGAAGCCTCTGTGGTCTGCAGTGTGCTGCGCCGCCCCGGAGGGGAAGAGGGGCTTCAGTTTGGGGTTGATCACAGAGACAGAGACAGGGGAAGGGGAGAGCCAAGTGAGCGTTAAGGAGCTGGAGGAGATGCTAGGAGTGGCAGAGCTGTTTGCAGAGGGATGTGGAGGAGCAGCTGGGGAGATTGTTGACATCAAAGAGGGAGAGGGTCTTCACAGTGAGGGGCTCCCTGGAAACATAGAAATATTGGATGCAGATCTTACTGAAGAAAACAAAGGAGACAAAGATGCAGAATCAAACACTGCAGGTGGAGACGCTGATGGAGAGGAGGTTAGTTCAGGTTCAAAGAAAGGAGAAGAGGCTGGTTCAGAAGGTAGTGTTGAAGAGCAGAGTGATGTGACTCAATCAAGATCTGTCAGATCAGAGTCTCCTGAGTCCTCAGCCGACTATGGGACTGTGGAAGAACAAGAAACAGACACTAACTCCAGCTCCATGTTGGTCTACGTCCTCTCCACCACCTTGTCCATCCTCAAAGCTCCGCTGCGACCGGTGTTCTCCAGAGTCACAGATTTCCCTGGACAGGTGATATAAGTTACTGAAGCACTGTTTTATTTGATGTATAAAGGGACACTCCTGCATCGCTGCCATAAGGCTCACAAGAGAATGGTCTGAAGCAAATTGTAATGGCCATTTAAGTGATCCAATGTCCTATTCTGCTAGCCATCATTACACAGTAGAGTGGAGAAAGTGATCTCACGCAGACACAAACAGGGCCATTTTCCAGTCATTGGATGCAGTTTATAGTTGAATGTATATTGAAGCAGTTTTACAATTCTGCATCTGGTAAGAACGGCCTTACCGGTCACCTATGACCCTATTTATACACTCTGTGCAGCTAAATACTATTGCATGACAAATCGAAACAAAATAATATATATATATATATATATATGCCAGCAATAAACGGAAATAGCTCCTACACAAATCATTCTACTCTTCCTGTAATGCAGAGGACTCAAAGGCTTTATTTGTCATATGCACAATAGCTACAGTGTAGTTAAGGAAATGAAAATCTTAAGAGCCAGGCTCCTCCAAAAATGCAACACAAGAAGAAAAAGACAACCCAGTTTCTAACGCAGGCTTTCCACTACACATTTTTGAAGTGAAAGGCCAAGTCGGACTACATTTTCAAGTGACCTTTTTTAGACTTTAGAGTGTTTTTGCAGAGAAACAGAAAACATTATAATACTGTTTTAACAGGCGGAGTAGGATTCCTCATTGCAAGGAAAGTGTATAAGTGCATGTGTAAAATTTAGAAAGTGCTCCTTTAATTTGACCAATTACAGCCAAAATATTTCATAATGACAAGTACTTTAGCTTATGTAGAGTAACTGATAACTACAATGATTACTACAGGAAGTGAAAATAATAAAAGAAACAAATTAAACAAGTCTATAAAAGTCAACAAAACCACATTAAAACTTGAACGCAACAACAGCAGCAAAATATTACAACTGATAGACTATTACAGCAAAAGTCTATTAAATAGAACGTGGAGATGTTTAGTGTGTTTGTAGGTAAACAATTCAGTTTGAACAGGTTGAGTTTCAATGATTATTAAATCTCCTCATGCCAGTGTGCTCCTCCCAGACACTGGAATGAGGTGCGACCTGCAGCAGGTGTTTACTCCTTACAGGCCCTCAGGTTATGTGTCATTTTATTATTCACACCATTCTCTCAGGTAAAATATTAAATATTGTTCTCTTCCCAGGTGACATACGTTCTTCAGGAAGACCTCGGGGTTCTGTCTGCCCTGCCTGGAGAAACCTACTCTCTATTCCACCTCCTGACCTCTGACTTCTTGTCCTGTATGGGCTCAGCTGGAGATACAATCCTCAATATCGGTGAAAACTGCTTCTCCAACACCTACTACGTCTCCTCCTCCATGCTGGGGGCTTTAGTGGACAGCTGCTACACGGGGGTCACAGGCGTAGGGACCCTTGCTGGAGACACTGTGGGGATATGTGGGGAAGCGTTGGATAATACTTGGTGGGTGACCAAGTTCTTCGGGGGGCGGCTGTGGGAGCAGAGCGAGGGCTACGTGGGGACGGTGGTGTCAGAGATGGGGGGTCAGGCCAACGCTTTAGGTGGAGGGTTTGGGAGGCTGGTGTGGAGAAGTGGAAGTGGGGTGTTTAATGTCTTTAGAACGGGAGGGGGTTTAGTGTTTGGAGTGATGGATGTACTCATTGGTGGGATGAGAATGGCTTTGGGGAATGAGTCAGAGTAGAAAGTCCACATGAAGCCATTAAAAACGTTTCAATGTATTTCTCAATTTGTGAATTTCTTTAAAGAGTGTGAAAAAAGGGGGTACTGTTTCACTTTGATGTCATTTAATAATAATTAAATAATAAATATAAATTGTATTCAAGGCGCCTTTCATGACACCCAAGGACACTGTTCGATTTGTTAAATATTCTAAGAGGTAAAAGCATGAGAACAAGATAAAAACACAAACATACCATCATGGAGAAGACAATTAAAGTGGACACAAATGATAGGGATAGGTTATTCAGGGGAAACAGATGATAGGGAGTTGGCTGATCTGAGATCATTTGATACTGTATGCCTTAGCTGTTTTAGAAGGATAGCCATATGTTTTTGAGTCGAATTTAGTGAAATTTACACTGTAGGTCTTACACTTCACTGTGGCTGGCTGTCCAATACATCTGCTGCTGCGACAAGCAACCCCACTGTGATTTAAAAACCACTGTGCACAAGGCTTTTGGATGTAGATATATCCAAAACTATTCCTGTATGATAGTTATGTTTGCTTACGTGTACATTTTAATAAAAGAGAATGCTGGCTTATCGCATTGTTTTTGTCTTTGTGTGTGCTTGTGATATATGAAATATGTTACTCTATACTGAGCTGATTAACTGACAGAAAGGTAGTTACCTTTACATTTTGCAGACAAAGCATGATAAGCTTAACTAGAGGTGGAAATTCATGAAACTGGACTGGGGTTCTACTTTATTTGGGTATTACCATTTCAGTTTTTTTTTTACTATTTTTCAGGCTGAAGTTAAATGCTTTTGAATTCACATAAAATTACTCAACAGGTAAGGATTTAAAGGTGGGGTAGGTAATTCACTTCAGAAACACTTTTTGTTATATTCCATGAATGCTCTTAACATCCCGATAGCAATGAGTACATTAAATGCTTTGACAATAAATGCATAAAAAAAATGTCATCTGTGGAAGCCATGGCGCTGTAAAAAGCAAGTCCAATCATCTGAGCCGGCCCGGCTAAAATAACTAGATGGCCTACCTGCCTGTCAGCCTTCCATCTTGTGTACAAACTTATCTCGGGCCCTCATTGGTCATGTGCGCGTCCATGTGTGTTGGAGGAGGGGCTCTGTAAGGAAGTCTGAAGGAACTTCGGAAGGGGCAGATTTTTTTCGGCTGCGTACTTTCAAATTCTAGCGCACTCGAGCTGGTTTCTCCATTCTTACCTACCCTACCTTTAACATAAAAACTTGCAGAGGTGTATAGTAAGTATATTTACTCGAGTACTCTATTTCAGTACAATGTTGAGATACTAGTACTTTACTTGAGTATTTCAGTTTTATGCTACTCTGTTCTTCTACTCCACGACAATTCAGAGGTCAATTGTACACTTTTGCTCCACTACATTTATGTAATACCTTCAGTTACTTTACAGATTTGGATTAAAACTCAACTGACTAGTTCCACCTGGAGTAAATTCACAAGCTACCCTGCAGTATACAAAGTCATGAAAACTAGCTGCACCTTTACCAGCTTTGATAACACTTTAATGATCAATAATAAAACATATCATATATTATTCTGAAATGGACCAATCTGCACTACTTTTGGTACTTTAAGTAGATTTTGATGCTAATACTTTTGCACTTTTACTTAAGTAACATTTTTAATGCAGGATTTTTTACTGGTAACAGAGTATTACTACACTCTTGTACTTCTACTTTTACTTAAGTACAAGATCTGAGTACTTCTCCCACCTCTGTTATTATTGTTAAAAAATAAATAATCTTATGGTTTTCCGGTTTGCAGCCGAAGCGGCTGGTGGAACCCGGAAGTGTTTGGTTGCATCAGACAGCAGAGAGAGGACTCATGTGGCTCTGCTGTGGATGCTAACTTAAGCTGACGTCTCTTTCTGTTTCATTCAAAGGTAGGATTAATTTCTTACAGACGCATTCAATAAAAAGCCCCGGGTTTATCAAACACTAACTTAAGAGCAACTTTTAAATAACCGCTACGTGAGGTAAACAAGCCTAAAACTCAGCATGCACTCACAATAACTCGAGTTTCAGTTTGTCTGAGGAGCTAAAGCTAACTAGCCTGTATTGCATGACTTTTCGTCATCCTTTGACAGGTGGCAGAGATGAGCTTTAAAGAAAGTGAAACCTGTTGTTAACTAGCTGATTTAACCGCACCCTGACACTTTGAAATGCTAAAATACGAGTATATTATGTGTTTTTTAGACACCTTTAACCAGTTTGTTGACACATTTCGCATCTCTGGTTGCCTTAATAGATGCCAAACTGTTTAACTGGTTTTTACAGGCTAACACACCCACTCCACCATCTTCAGGCACAATGCGTTTGATTGCATTTCGGACATATTTGTTTTTGCAAAACTACTCACTGAAAGCAAAAAGAAAATAAGCACAAAGTCAAACCAGTTCATAATCAGAATAAGAATCATAATTCCTTTATTTGTCCAACAAAGGGGACAATTACATTGTTACAGCAAAGTATAGAGACGAAGAAAATAGAGAACTGTTATGTAAAGGCATGCACATAGTAGTTTTACAGAAGTACACATTCAAGTAGAGCAGTATTTATAAAATCAAATACGTGTAGCACTGTATATTTTAGTGTGGTGTATTACTGCACATAGTTACATACAGATTCCTGTTGCAGTAATGGATGGACTAACTAGGAGTAGCAGCCAGTAGTAACAATAATATTAGCTGAATGTATTGCACATAAGTAATGTACATACTGTCTGTGTTTTCACCAGAGATGGCCACTCTCTACGTGTCCCCTCACCCTGATGACTTCAGGAGCCTCCTCACTCTCATCGCTGCAGAGTTTTGTCCGTCCTCCCGACCCCGGACCCTCACAGAGGACCCTCCTGCGTCCCTGAATGCCTGCTCCAGACCCACCCTGGTGCTGGGCGCTGGGGGAAGTGAATCTGTCCTCAGCGGGGCCCCTGCTGTGTCCTGGTACCTGGCCAATCAGGGGAAGAGGGCCGGTGCGGATACAAAGCAGCAGAGCCAGGTGTGGCAGTGGCTCAGCTTTGCAGACAATGAACTTACCCCGGTGTCCTGTGCTGTGGTCTTCCCTCTGATGGGGATGACAGGAGTGGATAAGAAGGTATGTTTCAAGTTTCAAGGCTTTATTGTCATTAGCACATTAGCTACGGTGTAGATATGGCAATGACAACTTAGGGCACAGGCTCCTCCAAAAGTGCAACATGAATATATATAGGACATAGAACAAATAAAACAGATAAAACAGTGCAAGAAAATGTTTGGAGATGTGCAAGTAAATACAAATAAAATTGAAATATTGCAAGAAGAGTCTATATACAAGTAAATGGAATGATATATTAGATAAATAATTTGCAAAATGCAATCAGATGAAGGTTTATGGATGTTGTTTAAAAGGTTCAAGTGTTTAATAGTCTTATGAGGTGCAGCCACATTTCTTTGTGGACATTTGTGTGTTTTATTCATGGGATCTATTCTCAAATAAGTGATTGTGTGTTTCAGCTCCAGCAGAGTTCCCGTGCAGAGATGATGCGTGTACTAAAGGTTCTCGATAAGGCACTGGAGCCCAGAACCTTCCTGGTGGGGGAGAGCATCACCCTGGCTGATATGGCTGTAGCTACAGCTGTTCTCCTGCCTTTCAAATATGTATGTATGATGTGCATCACTTATCTCAGTTTTTTTCTGTAGAACAAATGACTCTGTAGAAAGAAATCTCACCCATGTTTGCCAGCTGTTTTTTTAAATTAGGGGTGCACAGATTGTGAAATTGTGGGCCTGTACTGTTTTAATTTACAATTTGGCTGATGGCAGATACCATCGTTTTGTGGCTTTTGTTGAATTAGTTCTCATGTTATTTATCACCCTTGTTTGCCAGGGAAACAAAGACATATCTGTAATGCAGTCATTCACCCCTTTATTACACTATCTTTTAATGAGCACACATTCAATCATATTAAACAATTAAAAACCATCCATCCAAAAACTACCCATAACTACTATATATGTCCTGAAAGCTTTTCTGCCTTGATACATGTCAGTGTGTTTATCTATGAGACGCAGAGTTGAACTGCCACTCGCTCTCCGTGCTGGTACAATGTGCTAGAAAACATGAAGATTATTTCTCTAATCTGATTGCAGTTTCATTTGTGGAAAAAACATATCTTTCAAACTGAATGTCTGGTCCTTAACTGACAGTATAATACTCGCTTATAGCCACGCACACAATACGCAGGCACCTGTTCCTTCAAATCCAAAAATAACTAAAACAACATTTAACCGGCACAAAATGTATACGAAACAACAGGAAACATCAACCAGTTTCATCTCATTTACCTATAGGCAGGTGGAAGTCAACAAGGCTGCAGATACTAAAGTATATTTATCTGTTAACCATAGTATGATACTATTTTTGTCCGTAAGGTGTTGGAGCCATCAGACAGGAAAGTCTTGACCAATGTTACCAGGTGGTTCACAACCTGCACAAATCAGCCTCAGTTCCTAAAGGTGTTGGGGGCGATCACTCTCTGTGAGAAGATGGTGCCGGTTACACCCAAACCAAATGCTGCTGAGAGTCCTAAAGTTGCCACGAGTCCTAAAGTTGCTGCGAGTCCTAAAGCTGCCGCGAATCCTAAAGCTCCCGGGAGTCCTAAAGCTGCTCCTGCCAGTCCTGCTGTTGAATCCGCTGAAGCTGAAGCTAACGGTGAGGAAGTCCTCTGCCACCGTTCACAAATATTTCTTTTTTTTGTGTGTCTGAACAGTATTCTGATGTTGTCATGTTTCCTCCTTCAGGCCCACCAAAGACAGAGGCCCAGCTGAAGAAGGATGCTAAGAAGAGAGAAAAGCTGGAAAAGTTCCAGCAGAAGAAAGACATGGAGGAAAAGAAAAAGACTCTGCCACAGACAGAGGTATAGATAGTTAACTTTTAGAATTTGAACTTATTGTAAGATAAGTAAAAACATAAATATGGTCTATATCAACGACATAGCTTCGTTACTAATGTTTTGAGTTAGTCAAAGATCATTTGATTATATTTTTTGTGCTTTTTTGTCTTTCAGAAAAAGGCCAAACCGGAGAAGAAGGAGTTGGGAGTGATCTCATACAGCGTCTCCACGGCCCCCGGGGAGAAAAAAGGTGATTAATCACTCTTGGCACATGCGTTTCCTTTCTTGTAACGGAAGGTGTGCTTGTGACGTTACCAGATACAGAAAGATAGATTTGCTGCAGATATATTTAGTTTCTCTGTCCCGTGAATCAGATCAGCTCCAAAATATTGTGGGTTCTTCCTTTGCCCATTTTACATCCTTCCACCAATTTTCATGAAAATCGGGCAGTGGTTTTTTCTGTATTCCTGCAGACAGACAAACTGAGCTGAGAAACATAACATCTTTGGCAGAGGTAATAAAGAATAAAACACAAAAACTAAACTTTGAGAGTTAAAGTGGACCTATCATGCTATATTTGAATAATATAGTGTAGGACCATACCTATATAAGGCATATTTATACTTTTTTTTTTTCAAAATACCAAACAGATCATGCATTTTAGCCATGCCTCATTTTGCTCAATTTGACATTTTTTAGATCTGTTTTAGCAAGGGCAGATTCAGTGAGAACAGCACCACCTACAGGCCTGGCATATGTACTACAGCGTCTCCAGTGCTTTCGAACGGCAATGGCCGTGGCTGTCTCCTCCTGATTGGTGGAGTTGGCCCAATAGCCGTAGCGCCACCGTCCTGACGTCAGGACAGTGTTCAAATCTGGATCAGTTTTTATCAGATCCGTTGCAGCCCCTTTTTTAGAGATTTGGGTATGGAGGAAAATAGAGAGGGTTGTGTTTTCTGACACTTGGTGAGTTCCCTGGAACACCGGGGACACATATTCATGTATAAAAGACGTACAAAAGTGCATTTTGCATGATAGGTCCCCTTTAAGTGATAGTCTAGCCACAATAACTACTAAAGAGAGCAGTCACTACACAAGAGTATGTTCTAATGAAAGTATAACAAATTGAAAGTAACTAAAAAACGAATTGAAAAGCAAAAACAGTGCAAATTAACAATTACTATGGCTATTATAATTACAAGTTGAAGAAAAAATACCCGCAGTCATAGTAGGTTTATTTTGCCCCTTAGTGGTGGTGATGGGTATTGTATCATGTAAGAAACTGACCTCCATGGATACCCTTTATAATACAACGACCTCCTGTATTTCACTATGATTAGATTCAGATAATATCAACCCTTTTTCTAACTTTCAGATGTGATAAGCCCGCTCCCTGACTCCTACAGTCCTCAGTATGTGGAGGCGGCCTGGTATCCGTGGTGGGAGAAGCAGGGATTCTTCAAGCCTGAGTACGGGGTAAGGAAGTCCTCCCCGTCACAATATGTTCACACAAAAGACTATGTCGTATTTCTATGCCTCTACACCTGTGACATCTGTTGATTTTGGGTTGTGCACCACTTTGAACTGATTTAGAATTAGCTGATTAAAGGTCAGGGTCACTGTAACCACACACAACACATGTTTCAGCCGTAACTCAAATATTCATTTGATTTTAAAGACAATTTCACACAAATGTCAAAACAGGATAAAATTATGATATTAAATCTAGTTTATCACTTGATTTGAAAGTGATTTTAATGATTTACAAGGCTTTACATAACCTTGCCCCGACATATTTAAGTGACTGTCTCTCATTTGATCAACCTGCAAGGACATCCTCCAATGTTTCACTTTTAAAAGTACCTAGACGTGCATTACAAGAAAACTGGGGAGGCTGCTTTCTGTTTTTATATCGCCCCAAACTTGATCTTAGAACGGCAACCATTGTCATTTTTAGTAGTATCACTGTTCATGTTTTATTGTTTTCACATATTTTAATTATGTTCCTCATTTGTTATTGTGATTTGTTGTCATACTCTGTAAAGCACTTTGGGCTGCGTCAAGCATGAACGGTGCTATATAAAAAAAAAAAGTTCATTATTATTATCAAACATCTCTGTCTGATATAACATGCGTCTCCCTCACTACGTTCTGCAGAGGAAGAGTATCAGCGATGCAAACCCTCGCGGTGTCTTCATGATGTGCATCCCTCCCCCTAATGTGACCGGATCCCTCCACCTGGGTCACGCTCTCACTAACGCCATTCAGGATTCTCTGACCAGATGGTACAGTAACTACCCTTGGACTTTTTAAATAGCCTGAAATACAGAGTCATATTTTCAGTAAGCCTTTTGTTGCATCATGGGATTTCTCATGTGTGATTTCTGAAGCGCTGTGTTTGCAAGATGGCTGCCTCGGTGTTTTGGCCTTGTTTTGTGCGTTAATTCAGTGTTTACATACAGTACATCCAACTCTTTCTTCGTATCTGTCTTCCTTGTGAACTAATTTCCACCACCTAGTTTCCATTCAACATATCCATCACTTCAGTCACATGCTTTTATCACATGGCAATACTTGTGTTGATGTATAATGTTGTATAATGTTTTCATAATTTTTATGCTATGACGTTTGTGTTTTGTTTTTGTCTTTGTACAGCCCTTTGAGGCATTTCTTGTGGGGCTATAATACATTTTGATTTGATTTGATTTGAAGAGCTCCTCCATTCTATTTCTATGTAAATACTGCTATATTTTAATGTTATTATATTTGTCGTAAAATTGTTCTCTCTGTGTTTTTTTATTTTTGTTTATGTATGCACCCTGACATCAATTCAAATTCCTCGTACGTGTCAACCTACCTGGTAATGAACCTGTTTCTGATTCTGATTAAATTGGCGTGTTTTCCTCTCTGTTTCCAGGCACAGGATGCGGGGGGAGACCACCCTGTGGAACCCGGGCTGTGACCACGCCGGCATCGCCACCCAGGTGGTGGTGGAGAAGAAGCTGATGAGAGAAAAGGGCCAGAGCCGGCACGATCTGGGCAGAGACAACTTCATCCAGGAAGTCTGGAAGTGGAAGAACGAGTGAGTGGAGGGAGTAGAAGAAAGGAGGACATATGAGCGATATCAGCTTTGAATAATACTGGAATAAACATCATCTGTCAATCACAAACTGGATGTGTCACGATGGAGAAAGTGGACTGATTTCGTAAAACCTCATAGGCCAGATTTTATTTTTACAAACCTATGATTTTACTGTGAAGTCCTGATCTCTCCCTAATGTTCGTATTGTTCGTACTTTTTACTGTTTTAAGGAATTTCGGACAGACAAACTCAAGATGTACAATTACTATGTCTTGAAAAAACACTGTGTAATTGTTTGCTGCCAAATGTCAATACAAAATATATTACAGAATAATACTGGAATAAAGACACAGTGATAACCTAGCCCTTTTGCCTTTTTCAGGAAGGGAGACCGTATCTACCACCAGCTGAAGAAGCTGGGCTCCTCTCTGGACTGGGACAGAGCCTGCTTCACCATGGACCCTGTAAGTCCTCTGAAATCCCTGAACTCATTTGAAAAATACCCTAATTTCCTCTTTCTCATGACCGTATCCGCTTCACTCTCCAGAAACTCTCGTATGCTGTCCAAGAGGCCTTCATCCGCATGCACGATGAGGGAGTGATCTACCGGAGCAAGAGGCTGGTCAACTGGTCCTGCACGCTGAACTCTGCCATCTCCGACATCGAGGCAAGTCTGCTTTTTATTAGAGAGATACAAATGTAGGTCACTTACAGTCAAATCACAAACATATGTCGGTCTACTTGTTTCTATTATTTTCTTATTATGTTTGAATCTTATAACTATACACTTATTTTTATAGTTGGGTAAGAAACAACAGTTGTTATAGATCACTACAAAACTTTATCTGAAGCACATCTTAATAACAACTGAAGAATGCTGAAATTGGTCTGAGTTTAGAGTCTTTGTTCAGATACTTTAAGTTTCTTAACACTCAAGTTTGAAAATGCATCCTATATTTCAGGGGTACTCAAACTTTTTTATTAAAGGTCCAGTTGTGAACTTTATACAAGGTCACTGGTCCGGATCAATGCCAGTAAAGTCCCCCCCCCCCCCCGGGCGGAGAAACGAAACTGAAATTAAGAAGCAGTTTCTTGGCGCTCTATGCATGGGGGGTTTTCCCGACATGTCGTTGCAGTAAATTAAAGGGTGTTTCATGTTGTCGTTGCTGTGGACCTTCTTAATCTACCTTCTTTGGGGGACCCCTTCTGGTCCAAGCACTTGCCTGCCTTGCCTGTCGGTAAACGGCGCCCCTGTATACAGTACACACACACATTCAATACATACATACAGTATGTCAAGGTAAACTTGCGGTTAACTTGCGGTCTGCTATGCGTGTCACGCTCGCACACACAAGTAAATATATATGCACGTTCATTCTCACAACGCGTCAGACACAAGACGTGCGTACATGATGATGTACATTCATTTATCAGAATCTGAATTTTTTTTTAATGGGACACAGGGTTCGGTCCGGATTGATTTGCAGTTCGGTCCGGATCCAGACCTTGGTCCGGAGTTTGAGAAGCCCTGCTATATTTCATCCAAGAAATAGTTTTTTATGGCTCTTTTTGTTAACACAAAATGTAATATTGATGCATTTGAGGAGTTTAGCGTGTTCTTTTGCTCCAGAAGTTACATTTGAGTAACTAAGGAATGGGAATGTGTTGCATTTCTGCTTCTTCTCTCTCCTCACATCCCTTGTCTGCCTGTGTGTTTGTGCTCCCTATAATAGTCCTGTAAATAAGGAAAATAGCAATTATTTTTGTGGCTTTTCTGTAGCTAATTAGCACTCAGTATATAAGTGAGAGTCAGTGTTAGTATACTCGGGTTCTGCCAGAAGGGTAAACAGTTTTTGAACACACACACACACACACACACACACACACACACACACACACACACACACAGGTACACGCTGAGGTAAAGTTTTACGAGTAGTCATTGCGTTTTAAGTGTCATGTTGTGTAGACTGAATGAAACTGGTTTGTATTGAATGGTCATCATTAACTAGAAAATAAATGCTCTGACTGTTAAATTTCCAACTTTTGTACCGGTTATTATTCATCAGAGGTATTGTGTGCCTCAATTGTTGTAAACAAAGCTACAGCTCATTGCCTTAAAGTATTGGCTTTAAGGCCTCTACAATGTGATTATAGTCAGAAAGTATAGGCACACAAAAGAATCAGTTTTTCCCCCCCGAGTACCCAGCCTTACTTGTTAACCCTGTTATACGCCGGTAGTTTGATCAGAGCTGTGCATGCTGTGCTCTCTTGATTACATCTGCGGTTGGTTTCAGGTGGATAAGAAGGAGCTCACTGGCAGGACGCTGCTGCCCGTGCCCGGCTACAAAGAGAAAGTGGAGTTCGGGGTGTTGGTGTCTTTCGCCTACAAAGTGGACGGAACAGGTATGTGAGCACATGGAGAGGAGAAAATAACGAGCAAACACCTTGATACGATAATACTTTATTTCATTTCATTTCATTTCAAACCTTTATTTATTCAGGTTGTATCCCATTGAGATCATTGACCTCTTTTTCAAGGGAGACCTGCTCAAGTAGGTTCCACATGAAACATTAAAAACATAAACAGAACAACAAAAGGACATCATACAGTAGCATTACAGGGATTACAATGTACATACTATCCACATGCACAGGTACCAACAGCTTCCGAGTCAGTAGCATCCAACCGAGCTTTAAAAACATTTATTGGTCGGATCAAGTCTGAAATTGGACTTGCATCACGGCAGCTCCATGTGTAACATCAACAAGGACACATATCAAGACACAATACATGAACAACAAACAACAAACATTTAACATAACATCACAATCACTGAGAGAAAACATTTTCAAAGACCCTTTAGCGTGCATCTGATGTGGGATTCAGCTCTGTGTTTACTGTGAGGATTGACTGATGCACCAAGGAGTGCTTCAGTGTGACTTTATTGAATCGTGGGACCCTGTATCTCCCATTTAGATGGTAGCAGTTCATATTCACTGTTCAGAACATGAGCCACTTCTCTAACACCTTCCTTCTTTCTCTGTTGCTTAGACGAGGAGGTGATCGTGGCAACAACTCGTATCGAGACCATGCTGGGAGACAGCGCTGTATCCGTGCACCCCGCTGACCCCAGGTATCAGCATCTGAAGGGGAAGATGGTGCTGCACCCCTTCTGCGACCGCAAGATGCCCATCGTCTTCGATGATTTCGTGGATATGAGCTTTGGAACAGGTAGGCATGGTTACAGGACGAGCCAATCTGCCTGTGGCGCTGCAGTGTGCTGAGAATAAGTGGTCATAACAAGTCGTTACGCCATTGCCACTTGCCTCATTATGGCCTGTATTTCTCTCTCCTGTCCCTCTGCACCATTCTGTGCTCAGGTGCTGTCAAAATCACCCCAGCCCACGACCATAATGACTACGAGGTTGGAGAGAGACACAATCTGGCCTTCATCAACATCTTGGATGAGAACGGCCTGCTCATTAACGTGCCCCCTCCCTTCCTGGTAAAGTGTCTCATTATCGCCCCTTCCCCCTGCAGAGTGTGCATTTCCACCACCGTCTCACTAAAAAGTCAGAGTTCCTCAGATGTTTGCTCGGTGTAGCAGTTTCATGTCTTGCATTTTCATTTTGAAGTATTCTGTCTGTACCCCAGGGCATGAAGCGCTTTGAGGCCAGGAAGGCCGTGCTGCAGGCCCTCAAGGACAGGGGCCACTTTAGAGAGATCAAAGACAACCCTATGGTGGTCCCAGTGTGCAGGTAAATAATAATAATAATAATAATACGTTTATTTAGTATAGCACCTTTCACAGAAATACAATTCACAAAGTGCTTCACAAGAAAGAACAACAGTTAAAATTCAGATCACAGAAACATGAATACAACATGAGGCAGAAAGTCAAAGTCAAGTCAACTTTATTGTCAACCTTTCAGTTTGTGTGTACAGACAGAGAGATCGAAATACCGTTTCCCACATTCCGAATACAAAAATACAAGTAAATATAAGAATATGTATAAAATATGTACAGTATATCCTATATATACACAATCAACAGACACATGTATACATATGCACACATTAAGACATAAATAAAGTGGACCTATCATGCTATATTTGAATAATATAGTGTAGGACCATACCTATATAAGGCATATTTATACTTTTTTTTTTTTCAAAATACCAAACAGATCATGCATTTTAGCCATGCCTCATTTTGCTCAATTTGAAAAATGTTAGCTCTGTTTTTGCAAGGGCAGATTCTGTGAGAACAGCACCATCTAGAGGCCTGGCATATGTACTACAGCGTCTCCAGCGCTTTCGAACAGCAATGGCCGTGGTTGTCTCCTCCTGATTGGTGGAGTTGGCCCAATAGCCGTAGCGCCACCGTCCTGACGTCAGGACAGTGTTCAAATCTGGATCAGTTTTTATCAGATCCGTTGCAGCCCCTTTTTTAGAGATTTGGGTATGGAGGAAAATAGAGAGGGTTGTGTTTTCTGACACTTGGTGAGTTCCCTGGAACACCGGGGACACATATTCATGTATAAAAGACGTACAAAAGTGCATTTTGCATGACGGGTCCCCTTTAAATTAAGACCACAGAAACATGAATACAACATGAGGCAGAAAGTAAAGGTAAAGGGAGGTGTAGAATAGAGGTTTTTAGATCTTTCTGGATATTCCTTTAAGCCCCGCTGTGATTTCTACCCTATCACAATATCTGTTTTATTTTTTTATTAATGCCGAATTGTATTCCATTCTATTTCTATGTAAATACTGTTATATTTGACTATATCTTTTATTATTTTTTATATTTTGTAATGTTATTATTGTTTTCTTAAAGTAGTTTGGCGCTGTGTTTGCAGACGGCTGCCTCTGTGTTTTGGTGCGCTCCGTTTTGTGCCTTAATTCAGTGTTTACATACGTATTTACATTCAGTACATTGACCTCTTTCACCAGGGAAGAATACTGCTATATTTTAATGTTATTATAGCTTTCGCAAAATAGTTCTCTATCTGTGTTTTTTAATTTTTTTAATGTACTTTTATGTATGCACCGTGACATCTAGTCAAATTCCTCGTACATGTCAACCTACCTGGTAATAAACCTGTTTCTGATTCTGATCAGTCGCTCCAAGGACATCGTGGAGCCTCTGCTGAAGCCTCAGTGGTACGTGAGCTGTGCAGATATGGCCAAGCAGGCCGCGGACTCCGTGAGGGAGGGACGCCTCAAAATCATCCCCGACCACCACCTCAAGACCTGGTTCAACTGGCTGGACAACATCAGGTATTCATCTATGCAACATTCTTCTGTTATTGTTCAGTTTTATTTTTTAGAACTTTTGATTTATTCCACAAATATATAACATACATGGAGATGTACATACAAATCACACCCGCCTCAGTTTACACTCAAATCTACACGTTATTGCTCACACACACATACATACATTACCCCTTTCCTTCCAAGGCAAATTATACAAAAATACAGACATTCATTTAAACTCTCAGACCTTTCCCTGGGTAGTCGGTACAGACAGGTATGCTTACAAATCTGAAGCAGGTGCTAGTTAAAAATTAAATATAAAAGAAAATAATGATTCTTCAGTTTTATCGCAGTCTGATTTTGGTTCATTCAGTATTTGCTCTTGGCCATTGTACTGAAATGTTGGCAGTTAAGCATTTTAAATCGCAATTTCACACAGGGAATATGCAATTTTCTTTTGAAGGAATCTCATAATAGTGGGACTGCTTCTAATGGTTTCTTTCATTATAAATGGATTCATACATTATTTTCAGGATTATTCTATAAATATTAAAGTCTGTGAAATGTCAAAAAAAGTCATTTCTTCAGAAAGATATTCTCCAAACCCCGAACATATTTACATTGCTATCGGGTAAGACATGCAAAAAGAGCCAATTACAGTTGAACACTTCTAAACTGAGAATGTATAGCAGTGAAACAATTATGGATTGATTATCAAAATAGTTATCTAATAAATGTTCTATCAAATAATCAGTGAATTGATAAAGGGACTAATTTTTGCAGCTCTAGATATAGATCGAAAAATGTAATAATAACATAATGGATAGATGGATATATAGATAGATGGATAGGTTGATTGATAGGTTGATTGATAGATAGATAGGTTGATAGATAGATAGATAGATAGATAGATAGATAGATAGATAGATAGATAGGTTGATTGATAGATAGGTAGGTAGGTGGATGGATGGATGGATAGATAGATAGATTGATAGATAGATAGATAGGTAGGTAGATAGATAGATAGGTAGATAAATAGGTAGGTAGGTGGATAGGTAGATGGATAGGTAGATGGATAGGTAGATAAATAGGTAGGTAGGTAGGTAGATGGATAGGTAGATGGATAGGTAGGTAGATAGATAGATAGGTAGATAAATAGGTAGGTAGATGGATAGATAGATAGATAGATAGATAGATAGGTAGATAGATAGATAGATAGATAGATAGGTAGATAAATAGGTAGGTAGATGGATAGATAGATGGACGGATAGATAGATAGATAGATAGGTAGGTAGATGGACGGATAGATAGATAGATAGATAGGTAGGTAGATGGACGGATAGACAGACAGACAGATAGATAGATAGACAGATAGATTGATAGATAGATAGACAGATTGATTGAGATATCCTCTTCCTCTCAGGGACTGGTGCATCTCTCGGCAGCTGTGGTGGGGTCACCGTATTCCTGCTTACTTCATCACCGTCAACGATCCCTCTGTGAAACCAGGAGAGGTAAGAGGATGTCTGCCACTTTGTCAAGGCCTGCATGCTTTCAGATGACAGATAAAAGCTTATTTCCTGTGTCCATTTTCCCTCCAGGACATGGACGGTCATTACTGGATCAGTGGGAGTTCGGAGGAAGTGGTCAGAGAGAAGGCGGCGAAACGCTTCAATGTGTCCGCTGACAAGATCTCCCTCAGACAGGGTGAGACTGAACACTATTTAATTTACTCATTACTTCAATTATTCCAAAGGTTATCTAATCCCTTCATGTGTTGCTACTACACACATTCACCTAATGTGATTAATTGTCGCTCCATATTCATACACATTAGGTAACTTTTGTCCCCCGTGTTTCAGATGAGGATGTTCTGGACACTTGGTTCTCGTCTGGCATTTTCCCCTTCTCCATCTTCGGATGGCCTAATGAGGTAAAACACTGAGGTCAACCACCCTTACACTGACACAAATGGCAGATTTTGCAGTAGATTGGGAGGATTCTGCAGAGGAAACGCGCTAAATATATAATAAAGGGAAGCAAATTAGAAGGAAATGCCACCAACCAAATGAATAGGCACCCATCTTAATTAGAGAGTTTCCTTCAAATTCAACTCAATGTTTCTTTTATATAATGATTTTCACAACGTCACCTTTTGACCTGTCCATAATATGTTTTCCTTTTTAATAATTAAGATATGTTGTGTCTTTTTATTTTAAGTAAAATCAGTAAGGCGTTGTGCAAAACCCCTTAAAATTAGGCTTAAAGAACCAGAAACGGCTACTTAACCTCAAAACGGGTTTTTTTTTTTTTAGGTAAAGAAAATTGTTATAAAAAAATGTTTGTTTTGGGACACAAACAACCCTATGGTCAATGTATTTGATCAGAAGATGCTGCGATATTATACATTTTATTTATTTGTGGCCAGAGACCACATCACATCTTTGTTTGGTAACACACGTCAGCTACGTAAAAGGGTTACCTGTCTTTTCTGTCCTTAGCAATCAGTTTGAAATGCTTTTGCAACCGTCTTAAAACAATTCTTAACTAAGAATAATAATAGTGAAATCCTTATTAGAAGAACATTAAGGCCTCTGTGCAGATGGCCACTGTCTCTGTAACTATCAAAGTGTAGAATATTACCTTCAAAAAGTTGACTTTGATGGCTGTCACAACATCAGATTTCCCCTTCATGAATATTATGGCCAAAAGGATGAATCATGATCCCACAAACATTGTTCATGTGTGCTCTTTTTCGGCAAATGAATTACACTCAAAATATGTGACGAAGAGCCTGTAACCATAACTGTGCAAACTAAAAGCACAATTACACTAATGCATGGTGAAAAGGGAACCGGATGGATTGGGAAACAAAGAAAGGCCTAGCATCTGCCATCAATGTCAACTGGAACACAATCATGAGCCGGGAGGAGAGGACAGAGAGTTTCTGATACGAAGACATGACATGAATATGAATTTTTTTTTAAATAGCACAATGTTACATTCCCCGATTAGCCCAGGGAAGTAACATTAAAAATAAACCCAGGGAGGGAGAGTAAAAGACAGCACGTGACACACGGCTGTCGTCAATTAGATTAGAACAAATTAGATTTGATTAGATTCAAATGTATTGTCATTGCACAGGGAACAAGTTCTAATAAACAAATGCAATTAGCATCTAACCGGAAAGTGCCGTTTGGACAGTTAAACTAAAATGACTAAATAACACTAATTTGCAAAGTCAGTCACTTGGTATCCAGAGGTTTGTGTGTGTTTGTGTGTTGGAAACATTCAATTAAAGTGTGTTTTAACGACCTGTCTTCCTGTAGACCCAGGACCTGAACGTGTTCTACCCCGGCACGCTGCTGGAGACGGGCCACGACATCCTGTTCTTCTGGGTGGCTCGGATGGTGATGATGGGCCTCAAACTGACCGGCAAGCTGCCCTTCACAGAGGTGAGACCCACCAGTTCACAACACAGGGAGTGATATCACGTGTGGTGCAGTGGATTGTGCGTTGGTGTTGGGATCAGGGGGTTCAAACCCCACTGCAGTCAGCATGTCGTTGTGTCCCTGGGCAAGACACTTCACCCCAAATTGCTCCTGTGGGGATTGCCCATAGTATTGAGTATGTAAGTCGCTTTGGATAAAAGCGTCTAACAAGTGACGTGTAATATCAGGGCCTGCAGCACGACATGACTCGGCAATAATAGTCTGACACAATCACCACATTCAAGACCCTCCTCAAAACCCACCTGTTCAGATCAGCCTACTCACTGTAGTGCTCCCTATCATCTGTCTCCCCTGAATAACCTGTCCCTATCATGTGTGTCCACTTTAATTGTCTTCTCCATGATGGTATGTTTGTGTTCTGTTGCTTTTACCTCTTAGAATATTTAACAAATTGTACGGTGTCCTTGGGTGTCGTGAAAGGCGTCTTAAATAAAATGTATTATTTGTATTATTATTAATAATGCTTTTGCTTCAGGTTTATCTGCATGCGGTGGTGAGGGACGCCCACGGGAGGAAGATGAGCAAATCTCTGGGCAACGTCATCGACCCTCTGGACGTCATCACAGGCATCTCCCTGGAGGTAAAGACTTTGTTTCATGTTCAAATATGTGCATAGTATCGTCCATCCGGGGTGTCTTTTACAGAGTCACCACACCCCCCCGAGGCTCGCTGTGTTATGTAAGCTTTATTAAGCACCCTTTCTGCTCCCAACGAGCTTTAATTGAGGCCATCAATCTCTCCCCGGAAACTGCTCAGCCAGACGCAGCCGACCTGTCCTCTAGAGGGCACTGAAGGACTTGGGTTAAACTACACTGTACCCCTAAGAACAAGAACCATTTAACCGTCCTTTGCTGCCTATTAAAACACACAGCTGTTGTTTTTTTCATTCTCAATATGAGAAGAGGACATTGTTGCTTTTCAATGATGATTTATGTCAGGGATCACCAACTACATTTGTCCAAGGGCCAAAATGTATCCAATATCACTTCTAGGCTACTGTCCCGCAGCTGCTGCCTTTCCTTTGGGGGGGGGGGGGGGGGGGGGGGGGGGGGGGGGGGGGGGGGGGGGGGGGGGGGGGGGGGGGGGGGGGGGGGGGGGGGGGGTGGTGCATGTACTGTGAAGTCGCCGGAGCCTCGCAGCGGGGCTACTGCTGCGGAGCGCATAAAGCAGACTCTTCACGCTAACGAAGGATCACTTCTTCTTCAGGGCAGGGAAGGCTACGCAGTACGCAGTCTACTGTCCCGCAGCTGCTGCCTCTCTGTTGGACTCCGGTACTGCACCTTACTCACAAAACGTTGTATAAAAAAAAAAAAAGTGGGGGGCGAACGCACTAACCACTCCGCCATGCCACGGTCACCCCCGTCACGCGTGCCGGATGAGAATGTCTGGCGGGCCGGATGTGGCCCGCGGGCCGCCAGTTTGATGGTCACTGATTTATGTAATGGAAATGTTGGCAATAGAGGTTTTTGCAACCTTTAAGAAATCCTGAATTATTACGATCGTTGAGAAACAGATGTTTTTAGGTTTAGGATGAAGTGTTTTTTTAACACTGGGTCCATGCGGTTATTACGTTTGCCTCTTTAAAAAACAATCCCCTGTCTTTCCTTTCAGTGTTTGTTAGCGGGTATCTAGTGTGTGGGAGAGAAATTCCCAATGGAAGGAACGCAGGGATTTTAGCCTTTGCAGACCATTTACATGCACTAAAACCTGTATAACACAGTACAGCAACGGTTCCCAATCTGTGGGCCGCCAAATAATTTGCAAAACATTGTGATTTGTTTGGAAACATTTTCATTATTAAGATTTTTTTTTATTTTAACCTCCTTTCCTTTCTCTTTCTCGATCTTCCATAGCAACGGTCATTACAGTCCTTGACAGCGGTCTGTTCTACTGGATTAACAACGTGTCACATGTTCTGAATCAACCTATCAGAACTTTATTTAGCCTCCGTAATGTTTATGGTTGAATGTGGGCCGCAATTAATTTTTTTAGATTCTTAAAGTGGGCCCTGAGTTGAAAAGGTTGGGAACAGCTGCACTACAGGAAAGGGAAAACCCCTAAATGCATATTAGTGCCCCTTTTTTTTAAGTTGCAACGTCACATCCTCACTTATTCCTCACCCCCTCTAGGGTCTCCATGCCCTGTTTACAGACAGCAACTTGGACCCAGTGGAGGTGGAGAAGGCGAAGCAGGGCCAGACGTCGGACTACCCTAACGGCATTCCAGAGTGCGGCACGGACGCTCTGCGCTTCGCCCTGTGCGCCTACACCAGCCAAGGTTAACTCAACTTTCTCTTTCTCACTTTCTCCCGTGGTGTGCCGGAGCTCAGCCTTGACTACATCAAATATATCAAAACAGTGAATAAACAGTGGGTACAAGGTCAGCTGTTACAAAATATACACAGAAGTCATACTTTAATCCTTGTTGTGCTTGTGTGTCTCTCAGGTAGGGATATCAACCTGGATGTCAACCGCATCTTGGGCTACCGTCACTTCTGCAACAAACTGTGGAACGCTGTGAAGTTTGCCATGAAGACGCTCGGAGAAAACTTTGTGCCGTCAGAGAAAGCCCAGGTGAGAAGATCAAGGACACGGAGAACATAAACAAACACGGAGAACATAAACAAACACTCATCTAAACCTATTCATATTCAGCTACTGACATATTTTGACCAAGTAAATGTTAACTATCTGTGTCTGGGGGTTTCTCTTACCGTTATGAACTGTTGATATTTGGGAGGTAACCCCTGAATCATTCCTTCTGTTTTGTCCTGTCCTCGACCTCCTCAGCTGTGTGGAGAGGAGAGTGTGTCAGACAGGTGGATTCTGTCTCGCCTCAGTGCTGCTGTCGCTCTCTGCGATGCCGGCTTCAAGGCCTACGAGTTCCCCACCATCACCACCGCCATCTACAACTTCTGGCTGTACGAGCTCTGTGACGTCTACCTGGTGAGAAACCCTGTGACATTCATCTTAAACAGCATCTCAAATGTCACATGTTACAGAATCTTGTGGAGGAAATTCTTAAGAGAAACAGATACATGATTCATGGACAAAGTTTGTCTTTTGTTAAATTCAATAAAGTAATAAAGAAAGTCAATATACAAGTGAAATCGATCTCAAATGCAGGAACAGAGCAGCTTCATCCTCTAAGGATAAAATGGCTTTGCACCCAGAACACAGCTCACAGTCACACTATGATGTAGAGTCCCACCCATCAATTCTCTTAAGCATTATCTAAACATCCCCACCATTAAACCATAAAACCCAAATCCCCCTTTTACACTTCCTTTGCTCTCCTGAAATGTAAATCATTAACATGTGTCGTGGCTTCCTTCCTTGTTTTTCTTTCAAGCCACTAGACGCCTTAAACGCCTTATGATTATAGGATAATTTGACACGACAAATGTGCCCCCTCCCTCTCTCTCTCTCTCTCTCTGTGCTGCAGGAGAGTGTGAAGCCGGTGCTGAGCAGAGCGGAGGAGGACAGCAGCAGCCAGAGGCAGGCGCTGGTGTGCAGGCAGACACTCTACACCTGTCTGGACGTCGGTCTGCGGCTCCTGTCTCCCATCATGCCCTTCGTCGGCGAGGAGCTCTACCAGAGGTTACCACGACGACGACCTCAGAGTGACCCCCCCAGCATCACCGTTACTTTGTACCCCGATTCAGAGGAGGTGAGGGTGGTTAAGAACGGATTGATGTATAAACACAGCGACAATGGGTCATTGGAAGTGTGTGGATTTTAGCGGGGAGAAAGTCAAAGCCTTATTGTTTTTGGAAAATCACATAAATAGACCATGGGAATTCAAAGCACTTGAGTTTATATATTTTCTAAAAAGGAAATTGATACCTTTTTGTGAGATTCTTTTAAAGCCTGCTACTTACCATTATAAAGAAATCCAAGTTTTGTAATATTACTGTAACTACTTAACTATCCTGTGCTAGGTCTTTGAATTTGTGGTGAATTGGGGCTGAATGTCCTTGAATTTGATGTTTAAGAAGGTGTAGATACTCTGTATAAATGACTGTACGATATTTAATATTTGAATTAGGACTGCTTCGATTTCTTTTTAATTTTGTATCTTTTCAGCTAACATTTTTTTAATTAGTTTAATTTCAGTTTTTCTTAGGGGCAGGTATAATGTCTCAGAAGTATGTAGCTACATATAAAACAAATACATAGTTGGAGCATTTCACTTTAGTTTGAATAATTTTTTTGTATTGAGTTAAAGGTCCCCTAATATACTGTTTTTCATCAATATATTACAGGTCTCAGACATACACAAAACATGTCTCTGAAGTGTTTGGCTCCAAACACCAAACAGATCATTGCAGCATCCCATAATCCCCTCTGTTTCAGCCCTGTTTCAAAAGTGCTGATTCTCTGTCTGTTACTTTAGATGAAAATAAGGAGCCCCTCCCCACGCCCCTCTGAGAGATATTTGGTTAAAAAGAACACAATAGGCGCTTTCACACCGGAGTACTTTTCACCGTACTTTTCGCGTTTAGTTCCGTTGGTACCCCTTATGTCGCGTTCACACCAAAAAGAGCACTTAATCTCGGGAATTTTTACCCCCATTTCTAGTGCCTGCTGAGAGATGGTACTTTCCTGGGGGAAAAAGTGCCCCATTTCTGATTGGCTGGGCTAGTGCTCTAGGAGGAGATTCAGGTGATAAGGGGGTGGGGGGGGGTTACCTTGGTTGGTGATTGGCTAATGGTTACACAAGCCAAAAAATCATGACATCATTAAGTGGCCAAAATCTGATCAGCTCATTTTCAGACAGGTTTTTATATAAATGGACCAGGACAAAAAGAGAGAGAATCTTTTTTCCTGAAACTTTCAGAGTCTCTTTACACAGAGGGGACACATGTTGATGTAGAAGAGACATGAAGAAGAGGGGACACATGGTGATGTAGAAGAGACATGAAGAAGAGGGGACACATGGTGATGTAGAAAAGACATGAACAAGTGGATTTTGCATAATAGGTGATCTTTAAATAGAAAAACCTTGGTCAGAACTGCAGATTTCTATTTATCAAGTTGCAGTTCCAGACATTGAGAGAGTTGTCACTTATTTGAAGTGATGGGCACTGGAAATGATCTTTTTTAGTGTTGCTCTCCTTCTGTCTTAGTGATGAATGTGTTTTTTTGTGATTTGTAGTTCTGCTGGCACAGTGAGGAGGTCGACCGCGACATGGAGTTCGTGATGACCGTGATCAAAACCATCCGCTCACTGAGGGCCGACTACAACCTGACCAAGACCAGAGCCGACTGTAAGCTCTCACGCACTCGCACTCGCACACGCACTCGCACTCGCACTCTCACTCGCATTCACACACACTCACACACTCAATCATTCAGAAAATGAATTTCCTGATGAAAATAAGTGGAGAAAATGACATTAACTCAAGTACTGTACCTAAATATAGGTTTTAGGTACTTTACTTATACTTAAATACTTCCACTTCACTGATTCTCAGAGGCAATTATTATACTTTTTTACAAGTGATGTATTTCTTACTTTGACATATGTAATGTATAAAACTACAGAGCACTTTATACAGTAGAGAAATGCAAATTGTGCTCCATCCTGGATTACAATATGAACTGCTGCAAACGCATGCATATATAGTAATAACTATCTACTAGAAAGGAGTTTACTTTTTAGATATTAAGTCAATCTTGCTGAAAAAACTTCTGTGCAGTTACTGAAGTAAAGTTTGAAGGCAGGACTTTAATTGATATATATAACAATTTCTTTTGGATTGTATTTACGTTGTTGTTTTGCTTTTTGCACCACTGCTGAATATAATTGTCAAGAAAGAAAAATACCTCTGTTGACAAACACCCACATTTTCCTTAAGCCATTTGATTTCAATCAATTGTGTATAAACAATGATTGTGTTTCCTTTCACACTTTTACACTTTTGTTTAAATCCTTAATGTCTCTTTTCAACAAGTTATTAGAACCAGAATACTTTATTTATCCTGGGGGGAAATTTGGTTTTGTGACATTTGCTAAAAATCAACACAAGAACTTAAAGTAAAAATTAGCACACTGTACACAATATACAACCGTAATTATTTTTAAATATGTATATTACAATATATACTGTCGTGTAATGTACTGTAATGTTATGTACTGTATTTGTATATTTGCTCAAATGTACAGTGACGATGCCTAAACTTCCCTTCCTCTCCTTTTTTCCAAGGCTTTTGTTGTCATGTGTACATAGCTACAGTGTAGTTATGGCAACGAAAATCTTCGGTCACAGGCTCACCAGATAATTGCTCAAACGTACAGTATAATAATGCCTAAAGAAACATATTTCCCTCTCCTCCAGGCTACCTGCAGTGCATCGACTCGGCGACGGCCTCCCTGCTGCAGAGGCACAGTCTGCAGATCCAGACGCTGTCCTCCTCTCAGGCCGTCCTCCCGCTGACCTCAGACCAGCCCGTCCCAGCAGGCTGCGCCGTGGCCATCGCCTCTGACAGATGTACCGTCAACCTCATGCTCAAGGTGAGTCGTCTGTGCAGCTGTGATTGGTTTCTCCCGCCTCTCTTCACCAGACACCGGACGTGTAAATACATTAGCTCTGGTGAAGCCTCTCAGACACGTGTTGATGCATCATGATGTTAACCATGTCATATGTATTCTGAAAGTCGCAAACATTTAAATTCACTGGTTCTGTTTTGACTAGTTACATGACTGCTTAAGTATTATATATTCCTATCTAACATATTTATATCTTATAATAAAGCTTTATTTGTATAGCACTTTTGATACACTAGGTGCAGCTCAAAGTGCTTTAACAACATGGCACACATTAAACAAGAAATTCACTTTTTGCACACATGCTGCGTAAAACCATAATAAATTCAAGGAGGTAAAAAAAGGACAATAAACCCACACAAAATGTAAAGCAAAATGAATAATTAAATAAAGTTTAAAAGACTAATTGAAAGGGGGATGCTAATAAGAAGCTAATTAAAAAAAATAGCTGTCGTTTAAAAAATGTCCACTGAGTTGACAATATTCAGTATTTAATTCCTCTGTAGTTTTACATTCTATTGTATCTTATTTGATTTTACATGTATAAAATTCATTACTCTCATATTTTGCTTGCACCATTATCACTATCTTATTTCTTTTGAGTTAAGTATGTTGCTTATTGGAGGACTTACTATTTACATTGCCAACAACTACAATGTAAGTGTTCATATGACACGAAAGCTTTGAATATTATAAAGAGAGAAATGAAATGACTTGGCTGAATATTTGTGAAAGAACACATTTTCCATTCACAAGCAATAAAATCAAAGAAGCAAACTTTAAATGTATCAACACATTTTACCTCACACCCATAAAGATGCATTACATTTCCAAAGAAAACTCTCCAAAATGTCCGAGATGTAAAATAAAAGAAGGAACATTTATGCATCTGTTTTGGGATCTCTTGAAACATTTCTGGGATTCGATTCATGCTCTCACAAAATCCGTTTTAGACATCGAAATTAGCCTAAATCCATGTTTTTTCCTGTTAAATGAAATGCCAAACTTTAAACTGAACCCAAAACATTACAGAAGTACTAATCACAATAACATATTTTGCCAAGAAATGTATACTTTTATTCTGGAAGAATGAACGTCCCCCAACATTTAAACTTTTCATTGATCAGATAACACATTTTTTACCTCTGGAGAAAATGACATTGGAAAAATATAATCGTGGACATATTTTTCAAGCTCTGTGGTTGCCATTGTTTTCTTATTTGGAAAACATATCTGAGATATGACCAGTGATGGAATGGTGCATTCTGTGGCTATTTGTCCTGACGGCCGGAAATACTTGTTATGGTGTTGTCATTGTCACTGTATTGTAGGGCTGTGCGATTAAGGCAAAAATCATAATCACGATTATTTTGGTCAATAATTGATATCACGATTATTAAAAAACGATTATCCATTTACTTTGAAAACATCCATATATGAAAAAATAATATTTGAACAGTATGTTTTTAACAGTTGATTACCCTGAACTTTAAGTATAATTCAACAGAAAAACCAAAAAAAAAAAAAAATTACATTTTTTTTTTTTTTTTAATAAAAATAATAATCGTTTTATTTCGATTACATTGTTTTCGTAATCGTTGCAAGCCAACATCGTAATCGAGATTAAAATACGATTAATTGCACAGCCCTACTGTATTGTTTGTTTTACTTGTTTGGTTTTTATTTATTTATTTTTTGGTTCTGTTTTTTCCTTTTTATGTTTATTTTCATGGCTCTGTTGTTTAAGTTATATTGATAAGCATTTTTTGGTTTTGCCTGTGCGGGTATGTGTGGGTGGAGGGAGGGAGGGGGGAGTGTAGTGAGTGTACTGTGATATTACAATATAAATGAAATGGCATCGATTACTGTACACTATAATGAAATAAAAAGACTTGCACCATTATGATATGAATACTATTTAATCTAGGTCTCCTCCACTTTGAGTGTAGTATTCCATCTGTATCTCAAAATCATAATATACATCCATAATATGTTCTTTTAATTCCCTCAGGGTATCATTGATGTGGAGAAGGAAGTGGCCAAGCTGCTGACAAAGAAAGGTGAAGTGGAGAAAGCGATGGACAAGCTGAGAGAGAAGATGGCGAAGAGCGACTACGCGGAGAAGGTTCCGGTGAAGGTGCAGGAACTGGATGCGGAGAAGGTGCGAAAAAGAAATTGGCTCCGAGGGTTTGTGGAGGTGTTGTGAACTACTGCGAACTAATGATTACCTGTTTCTCCACAGCTACGACAGAGCCTAACTGAACTCGAGAAAGTAAAAGAAGCCATGGACAACTTCAGGAAAATGGTGTGACTTTCCCCTTAGCAATATGTAAATCCGGATTTATTTCCATATTTTTCATGTCAGTGTATTCATTTTCCAAGTCGACTGTAGTCAGGAGGAAATTCAATAAATCTCTTGTGACAGACAATCGTCTTCAGCAGTGTTTTGTTCTCAGGCAGTCTCATTAATCTCTTCCATATCTGTACAATGTAATGAGCGAATGAGTTCAGTGCCTTATGTCAAACATTTTATTCAGCATATTTAATAGAACATGTAAGAGGACATTTTAGGATACAGCTTTGTTCATTAAGATAGTGTCCACAAAAAAAGAAACAAAGCTTATCACTTTGGCTGCATTTTTAAAGATTAAAACTCCTACTATGATTATTTTATACTATAGCGATGCATCTTAACTTATAATTGCTTCTTTGCAAATACAGCCAAAGAGGAAGTGGTGAAAGGTGGCTTGTGAGTTTTCATAAAATGCCTTTTTTTTTTCTTCCCTAACAGACCAACACTGAAAAGTATGATTAAAACTAACCTCAAAAGAAAACATGTACCATATTTTACACGTGTGGGTAGAAGGGGGGGGGGGTTAGAAGTAGATCAGATCTTCCCAGATGCCATCACAGCAACATTATACATGACACACTGTTGGAAGAGATCTGCGACAGATTACAGTACGTTCACACCATGCCAGGAACACACTGCTGACCACAGGCCATCTGAATCCTCCGTCCATCTCTCTCTCTCTCTCTACAGTCTCCATGGTGAGTGAAACTCGGAGGCGGGCAGAGGAGTGCAGTGTGTTGTTTCAAAGTTTCTCATGTACTTCCGCGCCTGGAGAGAAAGAAAAAAAGACAGCGGGCATGGAGGAGGAATAGACAATGAGAGGTGTGGGAGGGAAATGAACAAAAAGTGCACAACTTGATATATATATTAGGTTCAGTGCCTTTACAAACGTCCCCTTGTCCTCTTAAGGCTTCACACAGGAGGTGAATAAAGCCTGATTCAGGAGGATTACCCAGGGACCCAAAGCATAGCATTAGCTGTAATTGATGGCAGTGCTCTTGTTTGTTAAATGACTTCAATAAGCTGAGCGCGGCGAAAATATATTACTGCAGTCAACCAGAGAGCACAGGTGAGCCGGTTGCTATGGAGACAGCTATAGTGAGCCTCGGTAAGGAAACGCTGTGAGTGAATAGCTGTGATGTGTTTCTTTAAACGAGAAAATTGGAGTAAAGGAAATTAGACTTGGCATGGAGGCTTGGATAGGTGTGATAAAGAGATCTGGTTTCTGCCCTTTAAACTCAACGGGAAAGAAACAACAGGTGAGATTAAAGTGCATCGATAACTGAATTCTTACCAAGAAAAGAGCAAGCTGCCTCCTTCCCTCCATTGTCATATCCTCACCTGGAACAAAACATAACAGAGTGTGTGTGTGTGTGTGAGGCCTTGTTAAAGAACTGAAGTACACCATGTCGGGGGGAAATGTACATTGTTCCAGCCAAAAGGACAATGCAGAGAAAGACAAAAGAGTAGACTAACATATTAAAAGGGCCATTTACTGTTACATGTTTACAAGCTACAGAGATTTTAGCCTTCACAGACCATAAACAAACTACAGGAAAGGGAAAACCCCCAAAAAGCATAATATGGCCTCTTTAAAAAAAGACACAAGCACACCATAAAACATCCTAATCCTGTAGTAACAATTGTAAGAAACGAAATATTGCACATAGGTGTTATTGCACAACAGTGGTGTTATAGTCCGCCTGTATGTGGGTAGTATTTCGTCTGCAGTTTGTTTGACTAGTAAATGAGAAAGGTCCTGAGGGGCTTACCAACACTCCATGGAAACAAAACATCTCCTTCAGCGTGATAGGACTGCAGCACAGACACACACCAGTCATCGTCCACCTCGTAGCCGCTGTACACCGACGCTGAGAGAGGACATGTTCCCGCATTAAACCCACAACGTAATGCATTCAGATCCTGATGTAAACACACATTATGAATGGTTCAGCTGAGTTTTGAGGCAACTCAAAGTGTAAACAGCAGTTGTGGAAAGTACATTAACTCAGTTACTGTGCTTAAGTAGATTTTTGAGACATTTGATTATTTTCATGTTATGCTAATTCATTCTCCTACTCCACTGCAAATACTTATTACATTTATTTGACAAGATGAGTTACTTTGCAGCTTCATATTTTTGTAACAATAATTCAATTGACGAATGACTTATAACATACTTTTATGAATGAATATACCTTGCAGTATAAAAACTAAACTAAAATGGTTTTCCATTAATGGATCTTTAATAAAGAACCAGTGATAGAATATGTACTCGGCCAAAATGGCAATTGTAAGTACTTTGCTTTTTGGTACTTTGGGTATATTTTGGACTTGTTACTTTCACCGAGGAAGGATTTTGTACGTCAGACTTTTATTTGAGTATTTCTTAACTGTGTTATCGTGACTTTTACTTAAATAAAATATCTGGCTACTTCTTCCACCTCTGGTAAACAGTGTAATGGCGGTCACACTTACCTTCTTCTATGGGATTGGAGGATCCCAGCCATTGTCTTACAACTCGAACTCCTTCTTCTGTCATTATTTTTGGATACCTAAGCAGGGAAATGACGTCACTCAACAAGTACTTACTGTATACACTGATCTTATCCAACAATGAGAATACTGACCTGAACTGCAGCAGTTTAAGCAGCAGGTCGTTGCCTCTGTTGGACATCACGTCCTCTGGACCCCTGCAACACACAGTGAGCAGATTCATGTTATAAATAGAGTCAGTGGTCCAGTTACCAGGTCACTAAGTGAGTGAATGCCTCCTCCTCCCTCTGCGCTAATTAAGGAGTCACTTAATCAAGATAATGTGTTGTTCAATGTAGATGATTCAAGTGCTGGGAAGTTGTGCATTTGGTCGTGTGTGTGTGTGTGTGTGTGTGTGTGTGTGCGTGTGCGTGTGCGTGTGCGTGTGCGTGTGCGTGTGCGTGTGCGTGTGCGTGCGTGCGTGCGTGCGTGCATCTGGACCAGGGATGGGCAACTTGGATGGTGGTGGGGGCCATATCATTTATGTACTGGCCGCCAGGGGAACACACAAACACAACAATTCCATGTATTGTATGTCATTAACAAATATACTAAGTCTGACATCTTCATTGACATTTTACAATCTTTCAGGGAACATCCTCTTATAAGCTCACTAAACAAATATCAGTTCACATAAATGTTATTTAATTTAAGTGGCATGTTTGTATTGAACAGGTTATTTAACAGTGGAATAAAACTATTTTTAAACTATTGGAAAGCACGGAAAATGTGTGTGCATCAAGATGAACCTAAACATGAAGTCATGGACACTAACCCAGACATTAGTGGTCTAACTTGAACCTAAGACACTTATAGCCTGTCTCTGCTGACGCACAATAAGGGGAATGTCAACACAGACACCTGTCAACCCGCACTCTGCTGTTCCTCAGCGCCGCTCCCCCTCCCTCCCGCTGAAATTATGAATGAAAAGCGTATAGTAATCATAGATAACACGGCAGGGTCCGTGACAGTTTGTTTTCATCCGATTTCAAATAAACAAAGTCTTGGTTTTTAGAATATTAAACTTGTTTCGCCAAATTCAGATGATAAATACAACTTTGAAGCTTGTAACGGCATAATTACAAGTGGTAACTTAACGTCACAGCAGGCATAACAACAGCCGGTGTTTCTTGTGACACAATACACACAAACATATTATTTCGCGGTATTTGGCTGCCCGAACGAAATCATGTACGCAGCTCGCAACGTAACTAGGAGTCTAGTGGACGGTATCAGTACTACAAGTAAAAAAATATAAAATAATTTATTTTTTTGGCCGCCATTTGCCCATCCCTGATCTGGACCAATCAGCCTGATAATTGTGTGCTCATGTATGCTCAAGGACCTCTCATGTTTGCAGCAAATCAGACTTTTTTAACACAGTAATTGAAAAGCCTGTGGGGGCTGGATACCGGATTATTTTATTTACTAATTAATTGGTCTTTCTTCAAAGATGTAGAGTTTCTCAGTCACTGATCCGCAGGCAGAGAGAGAGAGAAAAGAGTCGGCCATATTTTGATATCCAGGGTTAATCTTGTGAATAGAGGGGTTACTGTATTTCTGAGTGTTTTGAGATGACAAGGCCAATAAGCTGGTATTAGTTTGGTGAAAGACGGAAATTTGAAGTCCAATTGTATTTGGGCACAACATTTGAGTCCCAGTGGTCGAGGCCAAGTGTTTTTTTCTTCATTTCACAGAATCTTAAATTGTGAAATAACTTTTGATAACATCTTAACAAAGCTGTTGCAATGCCCTAATTCAACATCCTATTCCAAGCATTTGTATCTTACAGGACGCCTGTGTAAACCCAATGGAAAGCACACTGGCTCTACTCAACAGTGTGACATTTAAAGATGGACTCACGTTGTGGTGATGATCTCATCTCTGGTTCTCCTGATCAGCAGGACCGGTCCCTGATATCTGGAGGAAGAGAAGGAGTCGTGTTAATCATCATCATCATCACATCGCGCTACGCCTCCCACTACAAAGGTTAGTTTCACAATTACAATCCAATAAGTTGTGTAATGTTCAGCGAAGCAGATTTTGACTTTCATGATGAGTGACTTGGAAGTGACTCACTTGAGAAGCTGATCAGCGTTGTTGAGGTTCATGTACTGCCTCACTGCGTGTTGTACCAACGGTCCTGAGAGAAGGTATTTCAGTTGTTAAAACAAATCCACTTGTTGCAAACAAATAATGCAGTGTATGACCTTTAACCCCTCAGACTCACTCCAGCTGTCAGGCATGACCTTGAGGGCAAGAGGCAGGAGGTCATCGAAGGAGGCATCGAGCACCACTGATTGGATCTCTGGGTATGACATCACTGCCCAACTGGCTGTGACAGGAAACAGAGAGATAGACAAAGTGAAGATTACAGGATGATCAGAATCAGAAAGATATGTGGTGCCAACGAGGACGGATTTTTGCAAGACTCACCGGAAGTTAGCCTTTACCAAATGCAGTGGGATACTCATTTAAATATTAGTTAACAGCAGAAAATAAGTTCTGTGGTAAGAAAAACGTCTGATACTTTTTTGTACCGCAAAATAATCGCAAAAATAATCTCCTGAAGAGTTAATTGAATCGCCATAAGTCAAATCTAACGTTGTCTATAAAGGAACTACATCACAGTTGCACCAACAGCGCTAAGCTAAAGGCGGCTAATGTTCTACGTGATGAAGTTTGGTAGTCTAATTTAGCCACTTGTTAGCAACCACCGTTTTTATGACACATAGAAACTTCAGACATTACCAAGTGAAGTATTTACTGACATATTTGTCGTAGAATAAAACGTGAAAACCTAAAGCACATATATATTTCTGGTATCTAACCAAAAGCATGTTAAAAGAACTGTTTTCTTCAAGAGTGAACCGGATATAATGCTGACTCATTTCCGTTTTTTAGGACTTATTCCTGCACCACAAGTCTATATCAAAGTGCTCTTCATGTATGGTTGTGGTCTCGGTGTACCTGTGAACCCTCCTATGGACCAGGCGTACACCACTATGTCGGAGAGCTGGAAGCCCAGCCGGTGCACTGCATACTGGATCACCACATCCATGGCGTTGGCCTCATTCTGGGGGAATGGCACTCCCTGGCAGAAAGATACAAGTAAAAAAGAAAAAGCTATATTATCCATGCATTATTAAACATAACAGCAACACTCAATCCACATACAAAACAACACACTCCCAAAGAGTTGACAGATTTACAACAGCGATAATATCGACCAGGGGAGCTTAGCTAGAGTTTCAACATCTCCTGTTGTTTTTTGGGAATATGTGAAGCACAGGCATACACTTAAAGTTAATGCTAGTTTAACCCATAAGAACCCGGACTCTACTTTTGGGGAAATTAAGGGGAACATAATTTAGACTAAATAGAGTTAGACCACCTAGAACACATTTCTGACAAGAACCCAAGAAACTTAGTTCATGAGAACTCTTTAGTAGAAGTTTTGGTCACCCATCCGACTGTGTTTACAGCTAAGCACACACGCTAACATTAATTAAGACTACAAGCTCACTTGGGGTTGAGGCTTTTTTACACGTTGCTTGACTGCCTGCCTACATATCTGATCTAGACATAGTAACGTGTATTGTGGGGGAAATAATGATTTAAAGTTATTTAATAATTGTGACATTTATTTTACTTTTCGATGGATGAATGATGCTCAAGGTGAGGGGGCAAATAAGACAACTGAGGGGGCAATGCCCCCTTTTGCCCCTCGTGGCGCCGGGCCCGCCATGATACACATTTGTAGTCATTATCAATATCAGTACAATTCCATGATTTCTGGATACCAATTTCTATACCACTGTAATAAATACAAATAAATCTAAATAATACAATGTACTTTAACGTTTACTCTTTTCGCATTTTAGCAGGATGTTAAACAGGTCATAAATCCCTCTCTAATTGTTGCTCCTTTAAACAATTGTATTTTTTCAAGTTTCTCGACAAAAACTAAATGTCACAATACTACATTTGCACACACCACGGTAACATTATAATTCTTTGGATCTCGTGAGCTTCAGAGACGACACAGACATTTTATTTTGATGTGTTTGGGACGTTTCCAAAGCATAGTTTCGACAGCTCGGAAAGCTCCGCTTGATTCTCCAGCTGGACACAACACTATACCCATTAGCCAGCTAGACTGAACATCACCAAACTAACTGGATTGTGTCTTCGATCCAATCAGAATCAGAATCAGAATATCTTTATTCGTCCCACACTAACGTACATTGTCAGTAGGAAGGGATACCGGACAAATCTACTCATTCTGACTTTAAGACTGTAGCTCCTCTTCTTTGAAACCAGCTCAGATTGCCTTGAACATCCTCCGGGTCCAATATTTTTATTTTATTTAATTTAACCTTCACAATACCATTTTGGCAAGTGGATTTTCTAAGTTGTAATTGTATTTTTGTACACAGTCATCCATGTACACACTGAGACAAATGTGTTTTGTGATATTGGGCTTTATAAATAACATTTGATTTGATTTTGATTCAGTACCAAATGTGAAAACCCTGCTTACCGTACTGCCTGCAAAGCCAGGGTGGTTCCAGCCCAGCACAGAGTAGCCCCCTACAGCGCACACAAACACGTTTAATGGAAATGCATATAGGATACAAATTGTGCTTTAGCGTGATGAAACATCTTAAATCTTGTGAAGTACAGGATCCTCACCCTCCAGTGGAGTGTTCATGCAGCCCACCTCATAGAAGCCTGCGTTCCCCTCACAGCAGATGACCTGTGGCAGAATTCAAACATTTCAACAGCCACCCGTAATGTGAGACACATTTTGTTACAAACCTGGAGCAAGCCCAAGGCACAAAAACAACAAATGAGTGCAGCCACTAACCAGGGTCTGGCCTTTCTGTCCCCCCTCCCTCCTCCGGTCCACAAACATCGTGTCGATCTCATTGCCATCGCAGGCCACAAGCTTGTTCCTCTGGCCATCAAACTGTGACAAGAAAAGCCGATATCAACAGAGAATGATGATTTATTGAAGTGAAAATAGACAGTTCTAGTGTTAGTGTGTGTTTGTACCTCTTCTATTAGCCTGGCCTGGCCTTGCTGGAGCATGGGCCTCATGGCTTTCTGCAGTAAACCCACAGAGCCCGGGTACAGCATCCTCCTCCCAAACGAGTGGACAATGAGAAAACTAGAGAAGAACAAAATGGACTTCATGAGCAATACTGGAATAGAACTTTTTAGTTTCCTGGTAAAATAAGAATGACTAAACGGTAAATAAGATGCAAAACGCTTATATTATTAGTAACACATCTGTAGTGTCTGCCTTAGCGTTTAGACCACATGTGTCAAACTCAAGGCCCGGGGGCCAAATCAGGCCCTTGGTGGATTTAATTTCGGCCCGCAGGATAATTTCTAATTACTATTAGATCTGGCCCGCCGGTATATTGCACGCACACCTTCACTCAATCCTGAGGGTCTCCTCAGCTCAGAGCCTGACCCCAAACATTGATGAACTTGCCCCCAAGATGAGATGCCAAGTATCTGGCTTGAACTAGCATCACAGAGCAGCACACTGAGTTTACATGGATGTTTCCTTCTGCACTTTTTTTCTTGAGACAACAGGGCATGTTTGGTTTGTTCTTTGAGGGGAATTGTTTTCTTGAAGCTGTTGTTGGCCTGTGGAAAAATGTAATCATAAGAAATGAAGCTGCAGATAGAGCCATAAGAAATGAATGCAACTGATTATTTAATGTTTATAATATAATGTAATAGGCAATAATTTAAGCTTTGTTAGTTCCAGGTTTAATATGTGCAATAAGTTCATTTCAATAAGTTCTGTAATAAACATTGAACCAGTCCGGCCCTCGACTAGTACCCATTTTTTTATTTTGGCCCACTGTGTATTTGAGTTTGACACCCCTGCTTTAGATGGTGTACTGGAATAGTACTTTATAGTTTCCTGCAATATTTAATATTCCATTCTTCACACCCTTAATGTATATACAATATCCTGCTTTATATTTTGTTACTGTAGATTTGTATTTCAACATGTATATTTTCTACTTTTTTTAAATGCTATTTTATTTCTATTTGAGAAATTAGATTTCTAGTCTTTTAATTTCTCTAATGTACAATATCTTTTTATGCTGCTGCAATGCAAACATTTATCAAATTGGGATCAACAAAGTACTTCTTATCTTATCTTATAAGAGTGAATAAATGGTAAATAAGATGCAAACCGCTTTTATTAGTAACCTCAGCCACATCGTAGACTTTACATTAAACACACAATGTACAACAATATCTGTTTTCTTTTTGTATTACTGCCAATTTTTATTCCATATTTCATTCCATTCCCTTTCTATGTAAATACTGTTATATTTTACTATATTTTTTATTATTTTAAATATTTTTCTAGTTCTCTATCTGTTTTTAAAAATTTTGTTTTACCGTTATGTATGCACCACGAAGTCAAATTCCTCGTACGTGTCAACCTACCTGGTAATAAACCTGTTTCTGATTCAGAACAAATCTGTCGTGTCTGCCTTAGCGTTTAGATGGTGCTTCATACACACCTGATGATGTGGCACGGCAGAGTGCGCACAGAGTGCAGGACGCTGTCTGCGGCTCCTCTCAACCGGGGCTCCGGCTTCAGCAGAGAGACACCAGCCTTGGATAGTTTTCTGTCAAACACAATCAAAGGCTTACAATGAAACAGATGAGCCTCAAGGCATTTCACATTCAGTGTATGAATGTATCCAATGTACTTCACAGTGCTTTGAGTGCATGTATACACATAATGAAATGACCCTGATAAGACTGGAATTGAAGCAGACACATGGACGTTTGAAAGTGCAAATAAATAGAAGAGCAGAAACGTACGGATTGCTGACATCTGACCAGCTGAAATCCGAAGGCCAGTGCGAGAAGTCAAAGTCGAAGCATCTCAGTTTTTTCTACACGGAAAGCACAAAATATGTCCCTTGAGTTCAGTACAGCTCTGAGGTATTAATAATGGTAATAACATAAGTAAGAAATTATCATTGTGTCTCATTATTCCCCAAAACTTAGATATACTAATTCCAACAGCAAATCCTGATGAGGTGCCAAAACCTCACTTTGTTTGCTGGCGTGTGATTCTCCTTGTTTTCGTCAAGAATGGAGATGAACTGAAGATACTCAGAGTTTTTCCATCTCCCCAACCCTAAGGGAGAAAAGGATAGAAGGAGGGAAGACGGCACAAACAGAGACAGACATAGGCTTAGTAAACATGTAACAAACAACATTTTGCTGCAAAGCCTCAAGGGTCCGTCTGGTATGCTATGAGAGTGTAAAACTTGTGCAACGGACTCATTGGTCAATAAATCTTTTTGGCATGTGAAATATAGAGCATATTTAGTCATATCTAAAAGATGATTGAATTGTGTTAGTCATTGCCTGGCTGCCAGAGGAAATCCTTACCTCTAAGACAGGCCACTCCGAGGAGGCACACCAGCACTGTTCCCACATACTGACTCACTGGAACCAGCTTACTGCTGCAGATGTAGCCTACAAATACAAAGAGCAACAGTGACACAGACATACACACACCCCCCCCCCCCCCCCACTCCTTCTTTCCCTGCTAAACCTGAGCCTCATTAACGGGCACCGATCCAAAGATTCACAGTCTGACAACTACCCTACAACCATATGCATAAATCAATATCAGGAGCTCAATTATACACTACGGAGTAGCACACAACCTCAAGCACTTAATTTCTATTGCGGCACAGTCTTTCTAGATGATTCACTTGATTAACTTTATATTAATCCCACTTGTAGGAGAACAGAGAACATCCCCCCAGTGGCAGTTTTTCTTCCTTAATGGAAGGAGAAATGTCATCCATAAAAAAATGATTTTTCTTTGACATTTGTCACCCACCAAACCTTCTGAGAAAGACTTCTTCTGAAACATGTCAAGATTACATTTGGATACAAACCCTGTCTAAGGGCATGAGAAATGGGAAATAAATACAATTTGCAATTTCTCCATAGCTGTATTTTGTTTTTTAACATGGAAGAAGGACTGGGCAATAACTAAGAATTATTATCATGACACTAACCTGGATATTTTTTGATATGCCTTATACAGTATATATAAGTTTAACCTAATGTGCCAAAAGTATGCAAAATAAAATTGAAATTCATACATTATAATAGTGAAATTACCACCCAGTCCTTGTAAAGGTTGTCTACTTTTCTACAACCACTCGTTGTCACAGCTAATGAAATTTGGTCTTTTAAGCATCAGAGAAAAGTGAATAATTTCCCACGTCGCAGTTACTCAAAGCCCAAGGTGACATCTTGAAGTGTCTTGTTTTGTCTGGCCCACAGTCCAAAACAAAAACCTATTCAATTTAACAAAAAGAATAATAGGGAAAAGCGGCATATGCTCACATTGAATACTAATATTTTTTAGTCATGACCGCAGTAAAAAGCAGAGAAGTCACCCTGTATTTCCCACCAGACATAATTCATACAGCCTACCTTTCCTGTACAGATAGCAGAGGAGGAGAGGAGAGCTGTAGTAGGACAGAGACCACAGTGCTGAAGCCTGGACGGAGAAAACACAAGCTTTAATTGACAAAACTTCTTAATCTTCTCCATATAATGTTATCAATCATGCAGCTATACTGACCCAGCTGAGGATGCTGTCAGAGTGTTTCTCCAGACTCCTTGGTTGGTAGTTCCATCCCTGTTGCGAGGGAATAAAAATGTTCATATTGTAAATCTCCTTTCGTGGTTGATAGCTTTCTTCAATCCTTTTTGTTTGTGGGTAATTAGCAGGCTATACTTGTTCATGCGTTTGATACAAATACAGGACCATGCACACCCAAGTTCACTCTCTCTTGGTTCATAGCAGAATCTACTGTTGCAAATATTACTCCGACTCTGTTACTCTCGTACCCGTCTCTTGTGAAACAATGCCAGGTAGGAACTACAATTTCTCGTAGGCTAAGGGGACATGAAAATAGAAGTGAAATGTTAATATAGAAATCAAAAAAATAGTTAAAGTGCTATGAATTTAAGTAGATATAGCATGTAATAATGAAATCTAATGCTGTAACTCCAATCCAGAATTATTCCTACTAATAGGAAGCATTTGCAAAAGAAGCCTCTTCCCCCTGCATCTTGTGATAGAGGGTAACTTAGTTGGAGTAAAGCAAGCAATATATATGTATTGGGACACTCTCCTAGACCAGAAGGTTATTGTAAATAGGGTGCAAATACAGATACTAAAAGGCAAATTAACAGTTGATCATTTCAAGTTCAAAAGGTATGATGTTTTGGCAGTCTTGGTCTAGAAAATAGGAAAAGCTGGAAAATGATTGGGAAGTTGTGCTGTGAAATAACTGGTCACATTATACACCCTTAATGACCTTCAGCACCCGATAGGAAGTGAGGTTAATCTCAGAAGATCCAGATTATTGTTGTGGACCCTCAACCTTTACAAGTTAAATTCTGATGCTTCCTTCAGGGCAGAGGTTGCTCTTCCCAACGGTATAAGAAGTCCTTTATTTGTTCAACAGTGAGGAAATGTACACTAATAGAAACAGATTGTCTTTTGTTCCATCTTCTATTGTCTTTTTCGAACAAACTATGACTCCAATCTTATGTCTTTCCATCGTCTTTTTTATAATTCATAGTAATGACAGTTTAGTTAAATAAAAACATATAGAAATAGAACCATCAAATGTATAGATAGACATATCAGCAGTAGAAGATAAACAACACGTGTTGTATTGTAAATTCAAAAAAACTATAAGGGTAATATGTTTACATTAACTTATGTTGTAGTAACCATAGTTGCCTTTCAGGGAGCTAACGTGAGCTAGCAATTAGCATTGACTGTAGCCTTTTGAAGAGACATGGTGATAGACATTTTAGCTACACACAGTATTTACAGTTGTATTTTCAAAGTTAACATATTTGTTCATTCTTGCTTAGCTTTTCTCATTTCGTTTTTTTTTAAGTTTCCTCTCACCTGCTTCACACTTAGCATTAGCATAACCAGGTTAATGCCATTGAGGGAATCAGTTTATGAATCTTCAGCTAGACTAGATATAACTGTGGCGAGGAAACAAAGATTAATATGTATTTAAAATAAAGAATATCATGTAATTTCATTCATTAACAAGCCCCGGCTGTACTGTGTGCAGTGACAGCAGGGGTTTCAATAACAAACACCTGACACTTCCGGGACGCAGCCGTAGCTACATCAATGCTAACAGATCCAATACTGCTCGGTTTTCACAGTCGGCTGTTCTCAGACAAATGCAAAACATTAAAGGTATCCCTACCCTCCTCCCAGCTCTGCCTTCAGGTCGAGATGGGTCCGTTGAACGGTGAATTCGTTGCAAATGAGGCCCTAAAACACAGCGGAGCCACATCCAGCCAGCCATTCTTCCACTAGGAGGGCTACGGAAGCTTGCAGTGACCAAAAGTCTCAGATGCGAAAGCGCTTCGAAATTATTTTTGAACGAATGAATTGGAGACAAGCAACATTGCAGACATTTTTATTTAGAAGCATCTATTCTTACATACAGATATACAAAGGAGAACAATGGCTTACAGTACAATTTTTGTATGAAATAAGTAGCAATAGTAAATAATTCCCACACATTTGGGAAACATTTCATAGCCTTATATGAAAATCTTCCCCCTTCTACTCTATGTACACCCAAAGCAAATCAGTAAAAAAGTTCTTCTGAAGAGAAATAGCTTAGAATAATAAAGAAAAAAACACACATTTCCCTGAAGCTTTAAAGTTTGTCTTCCAATTCCAACTCTGACATTCAGTTGTTACTTTTGTTTATAAAGGCCTTCTGCTGCAGCTGGGAACTGAGTGGATGTGACAGCTGGATGAGGATGAGATGTGGGTAGGTGATCAGCTCTGACACTGTTAGTATCTGAAAAACAGAGCACAAAGACAAACTCACACAACAAATCTCCCGTCCCCCAGTCTCTTTTATTCTTCCTTAAACACAAACACAAACAGCCCACGCAACAACAACAACAACACAGGGGCGAAGGAGCGCTGCCTGTCAGCACATGGCGTGATATTATGCCACAGTGTCAGAGTGATGTTCAGGCCAGTGTGATTGGTGAGTGTGAGAGGAATGTGAGTGACAGTGCACACACACATGAACACATTATACAGTTCAACATACAAAAGCGCAAACAGGTGATGCAAGGCTTTTTTGCTTACCACTCCAGTTCCTTATAGACATCATCCTCTCCTCTTGGCTTCAAATCCTGGCATAAAGCAGAAAAGGGGGGACAGGGAGAGTGGGGACAGTGAGGAGGAGGATAAAGAGAGAGACTCAGTGTAGTGAGGCCAGATTTATGTCCCTGTGTACCCCGTGTAATGAGATTGATTTGTTAATACCACTAATGTAAAGGTGACAGTTGATAGGCATTGGGTTTATCTGAGAGGGCTGACAGATTGGAGAAGAGACTGAGAGTGTGAGGGAAGACATATCTGCTGACAGCTTAGGGAGGAAGAGAGAGTGAGTCTGTATGCATTGGTGGATGTGTGTGTAATAACTTCTCACAAACACACATATGCAACACGCCTCAGTATGTGTGTGTGTGCGCAAGGGAAAACACAATAACTCACCATGTAGACTGAGCCCTGGGGAGGAGCCTGTTGGGAAGGTAAGAGAGAAAAGAAAACAGGTTTAATGAACAACAAGTGACAGAGAGGGGGGATAATGAAAATCAGAGGGGTAACAGTAACAGAGGAGGGAAAGTACAACATTAAAGAATACAATGTAGATGGTAAAAGGGAGCGTGAGAGTAACACAAATGGAAGAGAAATAGTGATTAATACCAGCAGGGGGGAGACGGGGGAAGATGAGCTCAAAATGAGGCTGACATCCAACGGAGGATATTTAGTTGCTAAAAATGTCTGAATTCATCACCTGTCTGATATCCTCAGGATTCTCATAGATGTTCTCTGTTTCGCGCGAGATGACAGACAAAGACTGCTCAATACCTGAGTACAGCAGATAGATAGTTGCCATTACAGTCTCTGTCACACACACACGCACGCGCACACACACACACACACACACACACACACACACACACACACACACACACACACACACACACACACACACACACACACACACACACACCACACACACACACACACACACACACACACACACACACACACACACACACACACACACACACACACACACACACACACTCAGGTACATGGAGGGGAGACGTGGGGGCAGATTCATTACAACAACCCCAGAGGATGTCACGGCCCACATCACTCAGTGGCAGCCGACAGGGGCCAGAGATGGACGGAACACGGAAAGCTGTCAAAAAAAAGAAGAAAAAAAAAAAGAAAACGCCGGAAGACTTACCGCGATCAGAAATGTGTTTCTGTCTCCATAGCAACACACCGACAGCCGCAGCAACCAGGGGCACCAGGAGTAATAAAGCAGAAAGAGAAGGTGGCAGGGAGGGGGTGGGCACACTGACACTCACTAAAGAAAGAGAGAAAAGTGTGAGGATGAAAAAAGCCATGAATGTTTCCAAGAACAGTGATAATGTAAAACTTGTAGAGCTATAATTGTGTGTGTGTGTGTGTGTGTGTGTGTGTGTGTGTGTGTGTGTGTGTGTGTGTGTGTGTGTGTGTGTGTGTGTGTGTGTGTGTGTGTGTGTGTGTGTGTGTGTGTGTGTGTGTGTGTGTGTGTGTGTTGCATGGACACTGCAAGCTATGGATTTGGAATCTAAGATTTCCTAAACATGTTACATGTATTTGCATCATACTGCTGCCAGTAACAGGCAATGGTTGCGGTGGTAGGAGGCGAGGATATCCAGGCTCTGTCAGACACACTGAATAAGTCTGTACGACAGCTGAGTAGACATTGATCTGTCTAGTCTGGACAGTAAACTGTCAATTTGAGATGTGGACGAGAAGAATAAAAGCGCCAGCATCAAATAGAGCAGATGCTGTCGGATCATTACACGAAATCTAAGCAAATGCCACTTCCATACAGAGCAGTTTGATTTTGAGTTTTTGGCAAATCCTATTTCCTATTCTAAGCACTTATTATCATGTAAGTAGCTATCTATGGAGGCAAAGTCAGGAGAAGGTTTTTCGTGCACACTCTCTTGACACCTGATGCTAGCAACAAACTGCCTCCAGGCACACTGACAAACAATGTAAATAGCAGCTAAACCCTGCTTAACCATATCAATGCAGCATTGGTAAACAGATGGATAGAAGGCGTGTGCATGATTATGATAAACATTACATTTGCTCACTGAAGCACCAGTCAAATTGTGTTAGAAGAGCTCACACGTGCATTGGAAGTTGTCAGGTATTGTTTGCATAATGAGGATGACATCACTGTCAAAGCAGCCACAGGGCAACAGGAGAAGCAGGAGGTGTTCATTTCCACTGAGACCGCTGTCAGTTAGTGTACCTGAACATGTGTTCTGTCGCTGCCTGCTCACTGTTCATGGAGCACAAAGCAATCTGATCCGTCAGACATCTTTGGACTCTCATAAACAGACCTGCTTCTAAGGAACTACAGACTACTAATGAATCACCATCTCTTCCAAACAATTTATATTTTTCTATCTGAGGTATTTAATTGACAGAAACCTGGCAGAAGAAACTCAGACATCTTATCAAATGTTGACAAGGTGGCCCAGCTTAATCCTGGTGTCACAGCTTTTATCCATCTTTGACATGATCAATCATTATATGCTGTGTGAGGTGTAATTGATTGGTGAGTGTATGTAGAGGTTGCTAATGGTACACTGTGGAGAGTGCTGACCCCGAGACTGACCCGCACTGTTCTCCATGCCAACTTTAACGTATGAATTATGGTAATTGAGTGCAGCGAAGCGAGGCATAAATGCTCCCAGTTTCCCTCTAACACAACTCTTCTTTCTCGCTCCCCACCTCATCATCCTCTATTTCACCTTTTCCGTTCCTTTATTGGCACTTCCTCCCTGTGTCGTCTATTTCATCTCAAATGAGGGAGGGGGGGAATGACTTCAGAGCGATTGTAGAGGAGGGTGGCTGATAGAAGGCAGACCAAAGAACTGCTTGAATGCTTTGCAAATGATGGACCAACTCGGGATAGCAAATGATTGCAGAACATCCTGACATTTGAAGTATTTGATGTGCTGCAGAGCACAATGATTGCTTCATTTCTGCATTCTCTGAACTGTGCCACCAGTAAAAGGAATTCTATTATGCCCAATTTCTTTTTCTTCATCTACAACCGGCACTAGCTTACAGCACATCAAATATCCCAAAATTACATTCATATATCACTTCTTTATTAGTTATTTCCAGTTGGACAAAAAAAAAGTATTCCAGTTCATTTTTGTTTCAACCCTGTGCAAAATCACATTGTCCTCATTGTTACCCAGAACAACTATTTATACTGTAGACCTGTAATTGTCTTTCCTTTTGTCAAACTGTTTTTTATAAACCAATAACTTTTATCTGGCACAAATGCAGAATCTGTACAACCTGACTCTTTTTTTTCAATTCAAGATAACTCATTTGCCTTAACCCTCCTGTTGTCTTCGGGTCAAATCTGACCGATTTACTACTTTCATCAATCATAACTTTTTTGTTTTACATTCGATTGCATTAAGGCTTTATGATATCCTTCACAGTAGACATTTGAACATATACAATTGCTGATCACCACTTTCATTGCATTTTGGATGATTTAGTCAACTTTGTAACACCCATGGTGTTCCCTGGTCAAAAATGACCGCCATAAAGAAAAGGAATTAGTAACCATCCGGATCAGATAAAACACCCACACACACCCACACACACACACACCCACACACATACTCTAGATGTGTTCCCCCCCCCTTATGTGCCCAATCCCCCCATGTGAATCACACCTGGCACACATACACACACACACACACACACACACACACACACACACACACACACACACACACACACACACACACACACACACACACACACACACACACACACACACACACAGCACAATTTGACACATTTCCCGCTCTTATGTGCCCATCCCCCCACATGGATCACACCTGGCACACGCAATACATGTTCAGTGTCTATTCTTTGTATATTTACTACAGTTGTTCATGTATACCAGTAGTCTGATACAATATGTACAGTTTGAAAGGGTGTTAAATGAAATTTGGTGATGATTAATGTTTTTTGTGTTAATGTAATAGCAGTTCAAACAGGACCGGTCAAATTTGACCGCAAACACCAAAGTAAGGGGGAAAACGAAGACAATAGGAGGGTTAATGTAATGGGAGATATTGCCAAAGTGTCAAATCAAGTTGCTACGGTGTCCAAAGGTGCAAACACACTACAACGGCCCAAAACACTTCCATTAGTAGAAACTGCACATGCGATCACATTGTTAAAATAAGCCAATCAAAATTACATTTTAGGTACGTTACCAGTGACAACTTTATAATCCCTGTTCGTCACGAGCTCTCCGGTCCCAGCTGTGTGCATCACTGTTTCTCCTAATGGAAGTTTTTTGGGCTGTTGTAACAAGTCTGCACCTGTTGGCCACCTTATATTTCAACTGATAAATGTAGTTCACCCAACACTCACATTGTATGAACTCAGTCTCTAAATTCTTTAATTTAAATCAGACAAATGCAACACTATTTATTACTTTTGTGAGTGAGACTGTTCAATCAGGCGAACCCTTGCTCGTTCTTTTGCTCTCCCTATCTTTATCACCATCTCTCTCTTTCTTCCATTTCCATTACTCTTATAGCCGTGCCATCAGCGTGCATCATGATGAGCTCTGGGCCTCTCTCAACCCAAGTGATGTATCGGGGTACGGGGAGTGAACTCTCCTCTGCTCTCAACTGTCACATCCCACTGTGCTTCCCCACAGCCACCAATACAATAAGCCTGAATAATTTAGCTTTTGTGGGGAGAGATGTCCTGAGGTCCTGTCTTCTTATATTCACATATCAGATTGGTGAGTGTGATGAGAAGTTTTATATTTTATAGAAGGCTGAGCAGAGTATTAAAATTGTGGTTATGAAAAATGGCAACGTAAATGGACTGAGTTATTCCCCCTTGATATTATCTGCAAATCATAACTCCGCAGAAGTCTTGACCTTTGATCTTTTTAACTATATTAAGGAAGCATAACATATGGCATCTGTCAGGAGCCTTTTTTTTCTCCGCAAACCGTGAGCTTTCTGGCAAATAAATTGACCTGAGGTAAGCATGAATGCTCCGCGGAACGCTTCACGGAGCACATGTCGGAGAATCTTCCACACTCATGGTTCATTATCTCCACTGAGTTGACAGGAGGTCTGCCAGGACTCCTGTGCTACTCAAATAATAAAGTGTTGATTAAGAAAATCAGAAAACAGACCAGTCTTTATGATACCATACCATCTTTCGTGTCTTCATTAGGTAGGTTGACAGCTTGAGTTGCACTGACGGTCTGCCCTTTTTCCAGCTGTATGGTGCAGGTGTAGTTCCCAGCTGTGTCAGAAGTGATGGGTAAGGGCAGATAGGTGGAGATGCTGCCAGGTTGTTTGCTCGACATCTTCAGCCGGCGACTATTCTTCTGGTGTTTCCAAACTGCACTTATAACCTGGGATCTCTCTGAGTACAGGCACCCCAATTCCAGCTTTGAGGAGGAGAGGCTGGTTGTAACTGTGCAGATCAGAGAGAGAAGATGAGGGTAGGAGGAAACAGGTAAACGTTTTTTTTTACAGAGGGTTGAAACGGACACGAAAAGAGCGAGGCAGAATGAGAAAGTGAGTTAAAGGGTAGTGTGTGAATATAGAAAAGGCCAAGGACAGATCGAGAGTAATGGCGTAAAGGGAAAGTGATATTAAAAACAAAGAACAATTCAGAGAGGGGTCAAAATAATATATATTCATTAAAGTGATTTGCTGCTAATGCATTGGTTGACTGTGACTGATGCTTAGTGTCTCATCAAACTGAAATGAGGATCCATCTGGGTGTAATCAAAATCCACAGACCCCCCCCACACACACGCACAAAAACACAGACATTTCAACCTTGATTAGCGTGATCAGCGTGGGCCACATGCAGCCTTGGTGGGAGGGCAGCAGGTATAATCATACATAATGATACTTATAATGAGGTGGGGTAAAAATATATGCGTCACATGATTGGTGTGTGGGTGGATGTGTGTGTGTGTGTGTGTGTGTGTGTGTGTGTGTGTGTGTGTGTGTGTGTGTGTGTGTGTGTGTGTGTGTGTGTGTGTGTGTGTGTGTGTGTGTGTGTGTGTGTGTTTGAGGGATGCACGTTTGTGAGGCAGGGTGACTGACAGTGACTGATCAGCTGGTCATGTCTGGGCGGCTGTGATGGATGCCAGTGGGACTGTGATTAGTAAAGTCTTCCAAGGCCGCCATGACAGGGCATTGTGTGTGTGAGTGTATGAGTGTGTGTGTGTTGGTGCAGATGTATTCTGTGTGTTTCTGCAAAGGTTGAAACCTCCCCAAGGCCCTCTCGTAAAAATCCACAGGTGTTCTGCTCATATTTTTCCTATTTAAATGTATGAATAGAGCAAATGTTCATTTTCATGAGCAGTATTGCTAATGTCGGCCATTCGTTTAGTGATGTGACATTTTACCAATGGCTCTGGGAAATTTGAGCACTTATTCAACATTGCACGATCTGTGAAAAAAAGGCATTGAGGGTTGGGAGTAATTGAGTATCTGGCTTAAAGACATAAGATTAATGCTTCTAGAAACCTGGGTTATTTGGCTGCAGGGAAGTGTTAGATTCACTGTGTAGCATATTTAGCCTTCTTTTAAACCAATCAGAATAAAGGAGTTATTTGACATTTACTCTCATTTCTGCATGTGCACAAACTTTGGATCTGGAGCCAGACGGTGCTTAGCTTAGCTTAGCATGGAGAATGAGAGCTAAGGGAAACAGGCCTGGCGCGGCTGAATGTGAAAATGCCTAAAGCTCACTTATTATGTCTCATTTGTTTAATCCACACACAAACAGAAATGCAAAAACAGCAAGTCGTGGTTTAAAGAGGAGTTATGTGCTGTAACAGGAGGGTACGGTTGCCAGAGTCTTGTTGTTACAGTGAGGTTGCTAGGCAACCAGCGGAGAGACAGCGCCCGCCATTTCTGCACCTTTCAGAAACCGAGAATTTCTGATTAACCCGCTGTGTTAAGGTGAGCGGGGTGCCACGGCTTGAGCTTCACACTCTTTCTTCTGCTTTGTTTCCATTTTTGCAACAATTATTCTTTTCTTTTTTTTATGTTAACAACAGAGTCCACCTCTATGATTGCTTTCTGGAACAGACTGCCTTAAAAGCTATATAGCCTACTATCCTTATGATTAAACAATATTATGTGTCTGCCTCTCTATAACAGCCAGTTTGTGTGTGGTGATTATCAAATAGCACTCACATCTTATGCTAAGCTAAGCTAATTGCCTCCTGGTTAAAGGTGGGGTAGGTAAGTTTGAGAAACCGGCTTGAGATACACTTCTTGTTATATTCCATGGAATGCTCTTAACATCCCGATAGCAATGAATATCTTAAGTGCTTTGACAAAAAATCCATAAAAAAATGTCATCTGTGGAAGCCGTAGTAAAAAGCACGACCAATCATCTGAGCCGGCCCGGCTAAAATAACTGGATGGCCTACCTGCCTGTCAGCCTTCCATCTGTGCACAAACTTATCTCGTGCCCTCATTGGTCATGTGCGCGTTCGTGTGTGTTGGAGGAGGGGCTCTGTAAGGAAGTGGCAGATTTTCTCCGGTTGTGTATTTTCAAATTCTAGCGATCTCGAGCCGGTTTCTCAAACTTACCTACCCTACCTTTAAAGAGGCCTTATTATTACGCTCTTGTTCAGGTTTCATACAGCACACAGGAAATGAGAACCACAAAAAGCATACTAGGGCCCCTTTAAAAGCTCTATTTTTAAAGCAAAGACATAAAAACGGTATTGGTCTGCTTCTCGAAATCTCTGCAAAGAAAATGTACATATTCCACCAAATGTCAAAGTATTATTTTATAGATACTGCAGATGAGGGACAAATCATAAGGATGACTGAATGATTTGATGAGTAATAATGCTGTGAGTCATGTGTTAAGGCTGTTGAATGTATCAAACCAACACATTATTTCATGATCCAAACAACATATGAGGGGAAATGTTTAAATATGATGTTCAATCCCCCTCGGAGCATAACAGCTCTTTCGGTGGCTCCTAATAGCACAGCATGTTGTTGTGTTTTCCTTTTATTTGTCATCCACCTGTTTAACCTTTCATAACAGCTGCTGTGCATAACAGCATCCACAAATAACCATGCTATACATACAAATACCCAAAGCTTATAAAAGTCACACCACCAAAATCCATGCCAACCCTTTTTGTTTTACTCCTCCTGACCACCCTCCTCCTCCTTGCCTTTCTCCATCCTCTCCTGACCCTGATCCATACCTTTGAGCACGCTGAGCCTTGTCCTTTTGCTGAAGGCGTCTTCATCGCAGAACACTTCACAGATGTAGAGGCCACCATCTTTGTAACCAGGGGTGAGAATGAAGGAGAAGCTCCCGGCCTCTGCGTTGTAGGGCGGGCCGGCCAGCTCCAGCATTGGGCTTTTGTTATTAACGGTGGAACCCCTCCATCGGTCGTACGTGTACACCAGCTGAATTTCATTGTGCTTCTTGGCGTCTGCACGTAGCCAGTAGAGCCTGACATAATCCCCCTTCACATCAGGGCAGGTCAGGGGGACGGGTGTGTTGGCCTTAGTGGCGGTGGAGATCTCTGTCTCTGCTGGCAAGAAGGAAGGAGAAGGAAAACTAAATATTACATTACATGTTACTTGTAGACACTTTTATCCAAAGCGACTCAATATACTGTGGGCAATCCCCACAGGAGCAATTTGGGGTGAAGTGTCTCAGGGACACAACGACATGCTGACTGCAGTGGGGTTTGAACCTGTGACCCCCTGATCCGAACACCTACGGACAACCCACTACGCCACACGCCTACACCAAATACTTGTTATTAATCTATTTCCTTATTCCCTTGTTGACTGTTTCAGACTGATATTAAAGAGGACACATTATGCTCTTTCTCAGGTTAATAATTGTATTTTCTGGGACAAGTCTCCATGCTTTAATGTTCAAAAAGCTCTTTATTTCTCTCATACTGCCTGTGCTGCAGCACCTCTTTTCACCCTCTGTCTGAAACCAGAGCCCTGTCTGCTCTCATTGGTTAGCTGGCAGGCTCTGTTGTGATTGGTCAACTGCTTGGAGATGTCCCACCCCTTAGCCTATCATGTAAATTGTGTTGGAGATAGCCAATAGAAGCATGAGTGTTACAGAGGGATGTCAATATGTTACTGTTACTGAAGTAAACATAGGAGTCCAATGTGTTTCAGAAAAGGGGGGGGCGTGGGAGAGAAACTCCCTCTGGAGGAAACTTTGGGAGTTTAGCCTTTGCAGAGCATTTACACATTTGACATGCACAGAAACCTATCACACTACAGGCAAGAGAAAACCCTAAAAAGCACAATAGAGACTCTTTAAATGATCAGAGCAACCCAGAGCAAATACAAATACAAAATTGAATAGCTTCAATTATCCACAATGCAATGCAGTCACAAAAGACAAGTTTTAAGTAAGGGGTGAATGTTGTTGCAACTATTGAAATGACTGACTCAGGATTAGATAGAAGAAGGAGTAGAGACCGATCTAAAGACATAACAGAGCATATAGACAGGGAATTCAGAATAAAACTAGGGTGATTGAAGAGTGAGGTGAAGACAGAGAGAGTAAACAGAATAGTAAGAGAGTAGGGAAATGGAGATTTTCCCACAACAATAGGGATTATGTTCATAAATGCTGAGAGTTACTTCTTCAGTTGCATTCTGCGCCGCCTGATTAGCAAGCTGCTGACACAGGACTTTCAGACTGCTTGTGTTACAAAGTCACTCACCATGTGTTATATGCAATGAGGACACTTTGTCATCTGTGGAGAGAAGGAGAACAGGGCGGGGGGAAGGCAAAAAAAGCAAATAATGAATAATACATGGAAGTAGCAACTATAATATTCACAGGACTGGTTGAATTTCATTGAAGATCTACAGTGGGCTTTTGGATCTCAAAACTGTTCCATATGAGTAAATACTTTGAAGAACTGTAGCAACACGATGCCTAAATAAATAATGCTGCTGCTCGGTTTTCTAGCACTGATGCCCACTCATACCATCAACAAAAGCAACAGAATATGTATTCAGTTCCTCAATGTTTATCCTTTTATCTCTCTCTCATGAATACGCCTCACCATCTAGAGTCACGTTCACACTGAAGGCGAGGAGAGAGTTGCTGCTGTTGCCCCATGGGTAAACCGTGCAGACGTAGGCCCCGGTGTCATCGTTCTCCACCTGTGGAAGTTTGGCCAATACGGTTGATTTGGGCTTTTTCTCGCTCTTCATAATGTTGCCGCTGGGTGCTGTCCAGGTGATCTGGGTGACGGCATAGTCAGGGGAAACACTTGCAGTCAGCCTCAGGGGGCTTCGGTGAGGAACGGGTGGAGGGGGGACAACCGTGACTGGGGATGAGGGAGGAAAAAGACATTGAGGGGTGGGAGAGGTGTATAAATGTTGCAATACAAAAGTTTTAAAGGTTACCTATTATGCAAAATCCACTTTATCATGTCTTTTATACATCAACATGTGTCCCCTCTGTGTAAAGAGACTCTGAAAGTTTCAGGAACAAAGATTCTCTCTCTTTTTGTCCTGATCCATTTATATAAAAACCTGTCTGAAAATGAGCTGATCAGATTTTGGCCACTTTATGATGTCATAACGATTTTTTGGCTTGTGTAACCATTAGCCAATCACCAACCAAGGTAACCCCCCCCCCCCCCCCACCTGGGACTCCCAGCAGCTTCTACTGAAGCCTTCCGAGTAAATCGCCAGAACGCCGACACCTCCTCATCTCCACCGCTCCCATGTTTTATTTTGTGTTGCCATAAATTAGTCTCTCTGCGTTTGTGCGCTGGGCGAATGCTAATGCAATAATGCTAATGCGAGGAAAATAAAATGGCGACTCTACAAAACATTTCAGAGTTGTACGGGGCGTGGTTTGCAATTCGCCCAGCCAATCAGAACTGGGGCACTTTTTCCCCCCAGGAAAGTACCATCTCTCAGCAGGCACTAAAAATGGGGGTAAAAGTTCCCGAGATGAAGTTCTCTTTTTGGTGTGAACGCGACATAAGGGGTACTAACGGAACTAAACGCGAAAAGTACGGTGAAAAGTACTCCGGTGTGAACGCGGCTAATGTGTTCTTCTTAACCAAATATCTCTCAGAGAGGCGTGGGGAGGGGCTCCTTATTTTCATCTAAAGTAACAGACAGAGAATCAGCACTTTTGAAACAGGGCTGAAACAGAGGGGATTATGGGATGCTGCAATGATCTGTTTGGTATTTCAGCCAATCAGAGACATGTTCTGTATATATATCTGAGACCTATAATATATTGATTAAAAACAGTATAATAGGGGACCTTTAATATATTCAAAGAACTTAGCAGGTACATTTTGCATCATTATATGTTTCTGAAGAAAAACTAAACTTGTATTGTGCACCTTTCTAATCTCTTTGTGAGTGTATAATTTATAAAAACTTGTGCAAATGAATATGTTATCAATAACCTTTGCAGTAAGTGTATGATTAGAGTAAACAGTACATTTGATTTCAGTTTATCTCAGTGTAACTACTGTTTATGATGGATAGTTTTCATCCCTATTTTACTATTATCAAGCCTGTTTATTTACAGACTGTCTATTCCATCTATTGCTTGATCGCGTATAATGTTCCTTTTGTTCTGTAAAGCCCTGTGTGACTGTGTATATCATTGATAGAGGGCACAGTTGGTGTTCTTCTACCTTCAAGGATGGCTAAGAGGATGATCTTTTCCTTCAGTTTCCTCTCTTTTTGCTTCAACATGCATGAGTAGAGACCCCTGTCCTCGAATCTGGGAAGAAGGAACAGGGAGAAAACCCCGGTAGTCTTGAAAGTTAGGGTCAGTCAGACGCGTGGATTTCTTCGTGGCGCCGCCAGAAAACTCTTTTTTTTCATTGGCTGAGAGAACCAGTTTCCATTCTTTCTCCGGACCAACCGGCTGCACCTTCCAGTTAATGGCCACTGCACCTCTCACCGTTGTGTCAGTACAGATTAAGACGGTAGGAATGCCCTCTCTAGTCACCACAACATCTTCCCAGTCTGAGGGGGAGAGGACAAGAATGGAAGCACTGAAACAGGGGAGTTATTCACCAAACGTCTCTACGTGCTGATGGCTATTTTCATCCTTTCTTTCGAGTGAATGTTGACGTGTTTTCCAATCTGTCTTACTCCCATGCTCATAACAAGAGTTACTCATTCCTGTAATTGGTCCTCATGTCCAAACTGGCTGAAAAGAGACTTCCTTTTAAAGCTATTTGAATATCAGTGATGAAGAACATGGGTCTTGCTGGTCGAAGAAGTATTTAGTTCCCTTTACTTAAAGGTGGGGTAGGTAAGTTTGAGAAACCGGCTCGAGATACACTTTTTGTTATATTCCATGGAATGCTCTTAACATCCTGATAGCAATGAATATCTTAAGTGCTTTGACAAAAAATCCATAAAAACATGTCATCTGTGGAAGCCGTAGTACTGTAAAAAGCACGACCAATCATCTGAGCCGGCCCGGCTAAAATAACTGGATGGCCTACCTGCCTGTCAGCCTTCCATCTGTGCACAAACTTATCTCGTGCCCTCATTGGTCATGTGCGCGTTCGTGTGTGTTGGAGGAGGGGCTCTGTGAGGAAGTGGCAGATTTTTTCCGGCTGTGTATTTTCAAATTCTAGCGCACTGAAGTTGGTTTCTCCAAAATTACCTACCCCACCTTTAAGTAGATTTATCGCTGCCACACTGTGAACATACTTGATTTTAAGTAAAAGCCCTGCATTCAAACCATAATCAGGCAAAAGTAGGTATCATCAGCAAAATGTACTCAAAGAACATACATTAAAAGTATTGATTGGGCTTTCAAATGTACCCCGTCATTGTTTAGCTATCATATGTGATGTTTTTGTATTCTTTTTTTCTCCTGCATTAATGTGTATGTTGAATTTTACGGCTGTAGATGTTGGAAATTGTGCAAATGTTAACACCTTAATATAATGTGTGTAGTTGATGGTAGTTAAATCTACAGCAATGCATCATACTCCATAAGATCATCATATATTTGTAGCAATATTAATATGTTGTATTTATTTAATTGTGTCCTGTTTTTCTCAACACATGAAGATAGACTTTATCCTTTTTCATCACAAAAGAAAAGATATCATAAGGAGTTTGATAGAGATTGATGGTGAGCTATACAGAGAGTACAATATGCCTCTGAGATGTAGTGGAGGAAAAGTTGCAATTTTAACTTGGTAAAACTTAAAGTACTAGTATCTCAAATGTGCATTTAGTACATACATGCTAAGTAAATGTATTATTATTATTATTATTATTATTATTAAGTAAATGTACTGAGCTGAACCTTAATGGATGTTTTTCACACATTTCCTCTAACTGTTTCTCTGGACAGATGAGCAGCGGCAAATGGATGATAACAAAAATAGAGAACTTTGTACAAAAGGAACAAAAACACTTGGTTATTCTAATGCAGACCACAAAAAAACAGCAAGGACTATGACTTTCAATAAAACCACTTCAGTAAAGGGATCTTTTTGCAGCCAGTATGGACACAAGGAACAACTACAGCGACCAATGACTCATACATCGAACATGGACATGTGAAAGGGTTGGATTAAATACGTAATTAAATACATAACTTGCATCAGGTAAACTTGATGCATCATTGAGTTTGACTTCTTAGCTTGAATACATTGGATACTTGGAAAGCAACATTAGCTGGAAAATGTAGATCAGTTTAGCAACATATTTATAAAAACACCTAAAGAGTTTCTTACCTGGAACGCCAGAGAGATTAAAAACAGTATAATAGGTGACCTTTAATATATTCAAAGAACTTAGCAGGTACATTTTGCATCATTATATGTTTCTGAAGAAAAGCTAAACTTTTATTGTGCACCTTTCTAATCTCTTTGTGAGTGTATCATTTATAAATACTTGTATTTATAAATACAGGGTCCATTCCTGCATGCATTTGGTTGTTTGTATTCAAAGTGTTTTAAAATATTGCGTATTATCTAAGAATAGTGATAATGTATTTGCCTTTTGTTGTGTCTCATCAAATGTGTTAGTTATGTTTATGTATTATGTCTGTCATTTCATGTTTAGTCAGGTTTTCATGTTATTTCACGTCATGTCAGGTCTGTCTAAGTCATTCATCTCTAGTTAAGTCCCCGTGTTTCATGTCGTGTCTCGTTTTCCATTTCCTGTTTCATTTCAGGCCCTGTTACTTCCTCCCTTTGTGTGTTTTCCCGCCATCGTCAGCGTCTGCCCCGCCCCTGATTGTTTCCACCTGTTCCCACTCACCTCATGTTTAAATAGTCCTGTCTCTCCCTGTCCTGTGTCAGTTTGTGTTTGTTCCCACGTGTGGTCGTGCCAGGCCTTAGCAAAGAGAGGATTGTTTCCAGTCTTGTCAGGTTTTGTTGTTTTGTTAGTTTAAGTTTATCTTAAAGGGGACCTATCATGCAAAATGCACTTTTGTACGTCTTTTATACATGAATATGTGTCCCCGGTGTTCCAGGGAACTCACCAAGTGTCAGAAAACACAACCCTCTCTATTTTCCTCCATACCCAAATCTCTAAAAAAGGGGCTGCAACGGATCTGATAAAAACTGATCCAGATTTGAACACTGTCCTGACGTCAGGACGGTGGCGCTACGGCTATTGGGCCAACTCCACCAATCAGGAGGAGACAGCCACGGCCATTGCCGTTCGAAAGCGCTGGAGACGCTGTAGTACATATGTCAGGCCTCTAGATGGTGCTGTTCTCACTGAATCTGCCCTTGCAAAAACAGAGCTATAAATTGTCAAATTGAGCGAAATGAGGCATGGCTAAAATGCATGATCTGTTTGGTATTTTGAAAAAAAAAAGTATAAATATGCCTTATATAGGTATGGTCCTACACTATATTATTCAAATATAGCATGATAGGTCCACTTTAAGTTCTCTTTTTGTTATGCTTATTTTTTTCCTCCTTGTGAGCGTTTTTTTGTTGTTATTCCAGTTATTCCAGTACTTTCTGTTCAATGACATTAAAAAGACAATTGTTGTTACATTCAAGACTGTGTCTCTGGGTCGTGCATTTGGGTTCTCCAGTTTGTGTCGAAGTCGTGACACCTTTTCAACTACAGGACGTCTCTAAAATGGATTGGCAGAAGAAATGGCTTCATATTTTTTGTGTTGATTTGTTATCGCCACTGTTTTAAAAATGCAATCTCCATGTTTTTGGATATTAAAGGTGGGGTAGGTAAGTTTGAGAAACCGGCTCGAGATCGCTAGAATTTGAAAATACACAACCGGAGAAAATCTGCCACTTCCTTATAGAGCCCCTCCTCCAACACACACGAACGCGCACATGACCAATGAGGGCACAAGATAAGTTTGTGCACAGATGGAAGGCTGACAGGCAGGTAGGCCATCCAGTTATTTTAGCCGGGCCGGCTAAAATGATTGGTCGTGCTTTTTACAGTATTACGGCTTCCACAGATGACGTTTTTTTATGGATTTTTTGTCAAAGCACTTAAGATATTCATTGCTATCGGGATGTTAAGAGCATTCCATGGAATATAACAAGAAGTGTATCTCGAGCCGGTTTCTCAAACTTACCTACCCCACCTTTAATATCGATTGTTTTATGGATGAAAATATTTCTCATTTAGCACAAGAAAATACATGGTCTTGATACCGTTCAACAATTAAGAATACATTGTTAAAATGTATTGTTTGCTGTCTCCCTGCAGTTATTGGTGAGCTTTAAAATTGTGTCAAGAATTGCTGGTAATCTGTAAATTACTAGCATGACATGAAGTATACTATAATAAATTGTTTTACAGTTACAATACTGATACTGTAACTTAAAATTATAGCATTAAAGTTTAAACTGTAAAACTTATTTTACAGTTGAAACACTATTACCGTAAACAAAAATACCGTACTTGGAAGTTACTGTGTTTCATTTTACAGCTAATAAATGACTAATAGTTGCTCAATTTCAATACCATAAGTCAGAACAAGGTCGAGAGTGTGATTATAACAGTGGGTTGGTTTATTTACACTCTGACTGAAACCAATAGAATCTAATATAATGCAACAGTAAGGCTATTTTTATTGTCGTCAACATGAATATTAAAGTCACCTACGATAATTACTTGCGTTTATCTGTTTTAAGTATACCAAAGTTGATGAAAACTCAGAGAATTCTGATAACAATTCTGAATAAGGACCTGGTGCACGGTACACTGTAACAAATAAGATTAGCTGCAAAGTTTCCAGGTCGGATGCGTAAGACTAAAAACAAGGCTTTCAAAGGAGGTATAATTTAATTTTGGTTTAGTATTGATAAGTACACTTGAGTCAAAGATTGCTGCAACTCCACCTCCTCGGCATGTGCCTCGACATACATGCTAAGTAAATGTACTGAGCTGAACTTTAATGGATGTTTTTCACACATTTCCTCTAACTGTTTCTCTGGACAGATGAGCAGCGGCAAATGGATGATAACAAAAATAGAGAACTTTGTACAAAAGGAACAAAAACACTTGGTTATTCTAAAGCAGACCACAAAAAAACAGCAAGGACTATGACGTTCAATAAAACCACTTCAGTAAAGGAATCTTTTTGCAGCCAGTAGGACACAAGGAACAACTACAGCGACCAATTACTTATACATCAAACATGGACATGTGAAAGGGTTGGATTAAATACGTAATTAAATACATAACTTGCATCAGGTAAACTTGATGCATCATTGAGTTTGACTTCTTAGCTTGAATACATTGGATACTTGGAAAGCAACATTAGCTGGAAAATATAGATCAGTTTAGCAACATATTTATAAAAACACCTAAAGAGTTTCTTACCTGGAACGCCAGAGAAAGAGGAATACACCGCAAAGAAAGACACAAAGATAACGGTGAGAAAAGCACACTCCATCACACCTTGAAAGTAAAGATATAAAAAAGTCCCTCTGCACCAGCTGTCTATCTAACGCTGTGACCTTTCTATGTCTGCTCCAGAAGTATTGCTCACTTTCCTGCAATATTACTGCTGCCTCTGACTGACATGGTAACAAGTTAGCTGCACATATTCAGCCCAACAGGATGTGGCTGGGATAATCAACAGGAACCAAGCATCCTCATTGCTATCATGTGTGTGTGTGTTTGATGCTGATTAATTACAAATACTGGTAATACCCTGACCTTAAATTAGCCTTACACCACAATGTAGGCCTACAAAGCACTCAAATGTGGGGTAATTAGTTAGAAACCGTCTGACCTTAACATTCAAAATGACAAAAGGAACGAGCATGTACTGGTGTGTATCACAATGAGTGTGTGAAACGGAGAAAAACGATAAGAATAGCAGAAAGCGAGGGATTGAGGGAGATGAAAAAGACAGAAATAAAGAGTTTGGGTTAGTGTGGGTGCACGGCAACCCCTGGGCTACATGTCTTTACATCCCATTAATGTCTTTAATTAAGCTAAAGGTATTATCAGCTCCTCTGAGCACTATTACAGATTTTCCCATAATTACCATTGGGTGAATGGGGGCGGCGAGGAGAGATAGCGATGGAGAAGGGAGAGTGAGAGAATGCAGATATGTATTGTGGGTGTCTAATGACAGGGAAGGAAGAAGAAAATGTGGGAGAGCAGGAAGAGGGGGGAGAAATGTGTGAGAGGTGCTCAGACAGAAAGAGAAACCCGGGGAGAAGTGTGAGAGCAGAGAGTGTGACTTCAAAGAAGCCTGTGGCTGCTGACACAGAACACAGAGCTGATCCGGTGGCCCCTCCTCCACGGGTAAATAATCACCATAAGCCTTGGCTCTGTCTAATGAATCCACTGCCAATGAGCTAATATCTGTTAACTATGTGCTTCATTATCACTGCCACAGACCCCCTGAGAGCACGGGGATGGAGGGCAGGATGAATGGCTGCAAGGAGTGAAGGACGAGTGGACAAAAGGAAATCGAATGACACGCGAAGAGGGGAAGAGGGAGGGAGATAAAGGGAGAAGGAATAAGGAGGAAAGTGAAGTGTAAACGAAGGGAAGGTGTAAAACGACGAGTGAAAAAGAGGTTATGCACTGCATAAGAGAAGTGGGTGGTAGCAGGAGAGTCTAAAGTGTGAAGGTCGATTTGGTATGGGTATGAAAAATGGATGAGTATTGGACGGAAAAGGAATGAAATCCCCCATTTGGAGGCCGTTTTCTTTAAAGCTCCTTATTCATGAATGCATAACATTTTGTGGTGGCAGTGGTTGTACGGGTGGTCCCTGCTCTGACTGTTGTTGGTGCTCAAACGCTCAGTTACAGGGCCAAAAAAGACGGATGCAAATTTAAATATGGCTATGCAAAAATACTGTTGGCATTTAAAACCCACAGCTGCTTTCTCCAGATGCGTTCACAGTCTCTGGATTTACAGCGGGAGAGGAAAGAAAATGAAACTCATCCTGTCTCTGTGAAGATATAAACGTCCAAAAATTGTAGCTATTCATTTGTTTTTTCTGGTGTGCAGAACATTGTCTGACCTCTGATCGTAATCAGCGTCTCCAGAAATACAATCTGGAAATAAGAGTTTGACACTGGAGGGGAATCTGGAAATTGAAGAGAACAGAAGGAACCGAACAGTTTAAACTGTGGGATTTATGGAGATGTAATTACATTGGCTGCAAAACACTTGGGTGCAGGGATTAGACCTAAACCAGATAATGCCTTTGCTATGCTAGTATGCACCCTCCCTCAGAGGGAAAGAATTGGAAGTTATTTTGTGGAAGAAGAAAAGTAAAATCTCATCAACAAGAGGGTCTGCAAATAGATACACGAGAAGCTGTTTCCTCTTGATTTGATTTTGCTGAATGCCACTGGATTGGGTTTTTTCTGCGTTCATTCATGGATGTTTATTGATTTTGGCATCTGTTGGTCTGGGGTTTATTTATATGAGCTAATCTCAATGGTGTGTGTGTGTGTGTGTGCAGAAACCAACTGCAGAGGGCGCAAGAAGCATCTGTTTCAACGTGTTACAACCACTTTTAAATAGTACAGAAAAAAATGTAGTTACTTACATTGTTTTAAAGTTGAATGCCATTTTTCCTGTGGATGATATTCAAATACAGCACTGTAGAATTAGCTATATGCATTTAGAGAGGTGGCTTCATAGTGATCTATTGTTATTGTCCTTTTTCATCAACAACAATGCAGCTTTGCTATCCGTTTGTACAAAATAAGATACAACATTTTGCGTATTGTCAATTGTGTTACCCTTCCCACCCCGAAAAAATAAAGCATAGTACATAACAGTCACAAAACAATACAATAAAAAATAATATAAAGAGTAGAAATAGCACATAAATAGACAAAACATATAGAAAAAAGCATAACTAAAAGTACAAAGAATAATAAACTATATAAGATACATCAGCAAGGTTGTACCGTCACCTAAAAGGTAGAGGTATATATTTGTGTCAGTTTAGCAAATCCATATATCAATTTTCGGCTACTTAAAGATAACAATGGATGAACGTAGCTGATCAGGAGCTTGTAAATATCCCCATATAGAGATATAGAGATATTCCTGGATATAAATCACGCTTTTGCACAATGTCCATGCCTGGCAGAAATCACAGTGAAACCTGCGGTGCAAATGTAGATGATATATAAATCTATGTTGTGTTTTCTAAGGTGGGAAATGCTTAGGTGGTTCAACAAGTTGCTCCCAGACCCCCCCCTCCTCCCTCCTCCCTCCTCCCTCCTCCCTGCTGTTGCTGGTCCTAATTGGTTTTGGGGCAGAGGGCTGTGACGCCTCCGATGACATCACACAGTCACTGTGTCGGACAGTCGCGCGCTCGCAGGAACTAGTTGTTGGAGTAGACTGAGCGCAGGAGCACTTCATTACAAGCAGAGCACCAGCTGTGAGGGGATATTCACCTGCTGCTGCTGCCGGGAACAATTCAGCAGGATTTTCATTTATTTCAACACTCTCCGTCTTAAAGGCGCAGCTAAGGACCCTTCTGCCGGACTCCCGCTCTGTCCTGAAGACAAACAAGTTTATTCCGCCTTGAATTGGTGCGCTTTTACGCAGAAACTGTCGCGCGTCTGAAGGTTTCGACTCTACGTTTGTCCCGTAGAGACTGCCTGGTTTTCAAAAACAGGGGACCGTAAAGCACCATGGCGAGACATGACGCCCGAAACTGGCATGACTGCTCCAAAATGATCGGACTGCTCTGCCTGGTGGCGTCGATAGTTCTTCAACACGGTAAGACATGATACAAACTTAATAGTGTCCAGCTGGTTGTGGGCAGCTCTCTGTCTTCTATTTCTTTCTCAGAGCTTTAATAATTTAAGAGTAAAAACCTGACTAACACACCTGTCAGGGCGGTGACAGGAGCTGAGATCCAGCAGGTGATTTCCTAACTCGCTGTAGTGGCGAGGTGTTTGGCTCTTAAACCCCTAACATATAACACATTTTATAACAGTGTCGTCCAATTATACTCAAAGATGTTTCGTCTTTTCTTTTCTCTTTAGTATTTCCGTGTTTTCGTTCATACATCAGCTCTTTGAACCAAGTTTCGGTCGATGACTCAACGCCATGTTTAGGTTTCTAAGGTGTGGCTCTGTGGAGCAAGGTGTTTTTCCCAGGTGCCTTCTGGCCTCGATATTACAGTCCTTTTCCTCTTTTAAATCGAGCCAGTCTGTCCTTGGTACTATTTCGCCTGAAGCCACTCTTATCCACGTCCCCCTTCTTCTTTTCTTCCCACTGTCCGCACTTCATCTTCTATTAGTTACACTTCACTTGTGCAACATGGGGATGAAACCGCTCCCAATGTACACAGAGAGGGGAGGCGGACAACAACATGAAACTCAATCATTCTCTCTGATGAGAACTGCTTATTTTTGGTGTACTTGTTACTTCTGCATACTTTGTATTCAGTGAACCACCCCCTCCCTTTATTGGAAATGTGTTGCTATTACTTTAAACAAGGCAACAGGCCACCCTGGCTGTGTAAACAGGTTAATTATTCAGCTCTTTTCCAGTCCACTTGAGCCCAGGTAGCCTACAGGTGAGCAGGCCCATAAACAATAGAAAACATTTCTGGCATGCAGGTAAGCCATTAACATATGAATGTGTGTGGCATGAAACCAGTTCAACATTTCCTTTGCTTCCTCGCTGGGCCAGCTATTTGTTTTGTGTAGTAATTGGGGCAAGAATGTAGGACTAGATCTAGATCTGTGGCACGGCTACATTATACATGTTCAGAAGTGTACACTAATGTATTTGATCGTGATGCTGATGATTAAGACTCTTCTGACTTATTCATGACATGGACCTTTTTTGTTCAATTTCATTTGGCTGAACATGAAGTGCTCTTAGGGGAGGGGGAAAAGTGGGGTAAACAAAACAAAAGAGTTTACATATTTATAAGCGAGGAAAAGCACAAGGCTTAGCCACTACATTGCTTTTAGTTTTTCTTTCATTTAAGTCGTGTTTTTCCAGAGTCGACCTTTGACCCCCTTTTGGGTAATAGTGAAGCAACTGGAGCTGCAACTGCAGGGCTGGAACTCTTCACTTGTCTAGTTAGCATTTTGCATTCCCCTCTACCTCTCAAGCTGCACTGTATCCACTTACCTCCACCTTCTACCGTGGGAGGAGTTAATTTAATTCTCTGCAAAGTTGGCCTTTTGCTGCAATGTAAAACATTCAATATTAAGGTTGATGGGTTTTAATCAAGGAAGGCTTCTGTAGTTGCATATATATACCAAACTTAATAGAAACTGGCAGGTGGGGGTCTAGTTTAAGCTCCCAAAATTACACTATGATAGTAGACTCCCACCCCCCCCTGAGTCAAAGTTGTGAGGGCCCATGGATGTGGGTCAGAAAGGCTTGGCCCATTACCATGGAGATGTTTTTATTGGAAGAAGGGAGGGCTTATGTGAGGGGGAGTTCATGATGGGGGGTATGAGGCTATGGCATTGTGTTTATGGCTGAGTAAGCTGCGTGTTTGGAGGTGGGGGGGGGTCTGCCTGCCTGAGAAACTTTTGAGCCTGCGGGGTCAGAGCCGGGGGAGGAGGCTGCTTCTCTCTCTGCTCACACGTAAACCAATGTTTGCCTGATACCTGCCGCTCAGCTGATTCAGATGCAAAGCTTCTCCTGGTGGCTCCCCTGCTGCAGTGTGCGTGGCTCCGTTTCAGAAAAACTAAATGGCCAGCGTCTAATTAAGACAACCGACGCCCCACCTCCCCTCTTTCCCACCCGCCACCCGAAAAACTCCTTCATTCCCGCCATCCCTCGCTCCCTCCCCCACCCCGTCGAGTTCAAACAGGGAGGCCTTGTTCTCGTCTCTTCTTTATTTCATCTACGTTTCATTCTCTCCTGTCCACTGCTTTTGTTTGAGTGACGGTCCGCGTTGGGTTATTCAAATAGCCTCCCTCCCCGTCTCCCAGCCTCTCTTTGGACTGAAGGCCATGCTGTTTATGAACAACATGCAGACAGACAGGAAAATAAACCACATGTGACCTCACCATGCTCTGTCACCCTGGCTGTTGGAGTTATTGTCAGCCAAAGCAATACCAGCCCCCCTGAAATGGTGTTGTTTTTTAAAAATATATTCCCATAAATATCTGGTAATTTCCCAGCATTTCAACACCACCCCGCTCTCCCACATACAAAGTCAATCAAAACTCTCAAGTGTTGTTTCTTTTGGCAGTCCCTCTTGTGCAACAGCTCAAAGTATTTGCTCCTTCTATTGGAGAGATTGTGAACAGTGAAGTCCTGCCAAGCCTGAGACCATTCATCATTACAACACAGAGAGAGAGAGAGAGAGCACCACACTTTGTCCATTAAGGGGAATTTGATTAATGGTTAATGAGAAGAGTTTGTTATTCCCCCTCCCTAATAATAAAAGACGGAAAAAGCAAGTCCTTAGTATCTCATTAGTCCCAGCGGAGCGAGGGGCTTCGGTCTTGGTTTGCTTTTTGTGTTAATGGCTGTCTCCATTAGGCCCTATCGTTATGTAAATGAGCTGTCCTTGCCCCTTTGCACCGGCCCTGTAAATGTCAGAAGGATTTTGAAAAGGTCAGGTGTGTGTAAAATAAGTCTCGTTCTTGCCGTGGAATTTGCTATAACCACACACACACACACACACACACACACACACACACCTACTAACAGGCCTTCTTGTTTAAATGACACATCAATAACCTCCTCCGCCCCCTTTATAATCACCGTTAAGAGTTTGTTGATTTAGACGTAAAAGTGTGCTTGGATTTACAGCTTAATGGAGATGTGAGTGTGATATCAAGCAAGTGTGTGTGTGGCAAATGTGGCCCCATTTTAATTTTGAATAACTTAACTGTAGAATGACTGAAGCAAACATTTGGCATTTTACCAAATGAACCTAATGATTCAAACAGTTTTCTATCATTACTTGTTATTTCACGAGAATGGGGAAAAAAGTGATTTCAGTTTAGTGGCAATATTTAATGGCTGCCTCGAAATGGAGTACCTCTTATCTAACATTAACCAAGAGATGGAAGGAAAGCTTTTTAATAGACGTATTGAAAACATTTTAGCGGCAGGCACTTTCAATATTCAAAAAAACCCTTTTTTTTCAAATGGAAGCGTTATTGATTTAAATAATGTTGATCCTCAGCATCTTAACAGGGTTTTAGATATATATATATATATATATATATATATAAAGATGTTTTGATAAATGGCTTTCAGTAGAATTACTTTTGCTCTGCAGATTTTTCATCAGCAATGAACAGAAACACAAAGGATCCTTTGGGTTTATTGTTGACTTGGCAACTATTATTAGACGGGACGGATGGATCTGAAGACGAGAGGGAGGTCGATGAGCACGAGCCACTGCTTCTTGTTTCATTTTAGACCACAAACACAATTGAGTAAACACACACACACACACACACAAAGCTGGTGATGAATAAGGGCAGGATCTGCAGGCTGCGCTGTAAGTAAAATGACATTCCAATAATAGGGAGAAACCGTCACATCTCACGATGACAGTGCATGTGTGCGTTAGTGTTTCCTGGAGGAAATGGTGTGTATCAGCCTCGTCTGCAAACCCTGTTATCTTCCTCCGACATCAGATCTGAGGACATCCTTTTGTATCTCTCCCTGCTTATTTAACTGACTCTCTTTTACGGACGCTTTCCCTCCAACTTGTCGGTAATGATAGTGGCTTTCCTACAAAAAGAGAGCAAATCAGGAGCTCTGAGACGGCTCCATGTCCATCCTATCACCCCCCACCTCCCCCCTCCCCCCCTCCGCCTACATGTTCCCGAGCCCCCCCCCCACAGGGATGTTTGTGTTTGGCTCCCTGGGTTGCCAGACTGCTGGAGTCGGCTCCATCTGATCCAAAATGAGCAAAAGTCCTCGTCTTAGAAGGAATGCCAAATGTCATTAGTGTGAATAGAGGCATCTCAGGGGCTTCCAGAAACACAAATGATGTTTTTGGCAGAGGCTTTGGGTTAAGCTACTATCTAACTTAAATCTTTGTGCATTTAGCTCACACACTGATACGAGTTCACTGTGAGACCAATCTATAATGTACTCCAACCACCCACGATAGTTTCTCATAATGGCGAGTTTGAACACTTTCTTGCAGGAGTAGCATGCCAGCCCCTTATCTCGCGTACAAAATGCTATAAGACGTGTGGCTCACTTCATTTTTCAGTCACACACACACACGTTTCTGCGCCATTAGTCGAGATACCTTCTGCCAATTCTGCATTTCCTTATGTCTAACGAACCCCAGATGGAATTTAGGGAGATGCAGGTCAAACACATTCCAGGTCAGCCGAAGTGGAGAATGAGCGGCGAGTCTATTCCAAGATGCATCGAGAGGCAGCCAGACTCTTTACAAATAAAATCCCCTTAATTAGCCAGACTTGGGAGATGGGCGTCCCTGTGAGGAGCAGGGTGTTGATGATATCGACATTTTCAGATTTCACGCCGCAGCATCTTGGCGAGAGGATTGAAGGAGGATTTCAGAAACGGTGTGAAGGAGTTAAGCACGGAGGCCGGGAATGATCAGCTCATTTGTAATTTAGTCGTACCTCCCCTCCCCTCCTTTTCCTCTCTTAGAGCATGAGACACATATTTAACATCCATTGTAGGCAGGAAAAGGACTGCATGCACTAACCTTTCTCTATTTATTATACTCACCTGACCTGTAGCCTCTCGCTGTCATCTTTCCTCCCATTTCTTCTATCTTTGTCACATTCTTTTATTTC